AATTATTAAGACAGTTTAGTATTATAAAGAGGTCTAGATAGATTTAACTAAATAGGTATTCTACTAGTTAATTACTTAGCCTTCTTAAGACTTATTACTTTATCTTAGCTTTAATATATACTTAATAAGGCTGATTAAACTTATTAGTAATTATAACTTCTTTAATATTAATAGATAAGTAGCCTAGAGCTTTATTATTAAGATGTCTTATTCTTCTATATTAGATATTATATCTTATCTTACTTTTTAGGCTAGGCTTTTATAATAAGATTATATTAATAGCTTTATCTAATTACTATTTATTAGCCTATTCTTAACTTTAATAGAAGTTAATTATAGTATAGCTCTTAATTTATTTAGTTAAAAAGACTATTAGTTCTAATATAGAACCCTTAGTAATATTATAGTTATTATTATTCTATTAGTATCCTACCTCTCTTATTACTCTATAGAAGACTAGATTAATATAAAAGCCTTTAATAATAATAATATTCTTTAACTTAAAAAGAGTTAGGCTAATAGAGGTATTAATCTTTATTATTACCTCTTCTATATTATAATATAATATTATAGTATTATCTATATTAATAATATTAGTTATTAGTTAATATATACCCTTAATAAGCTTCTTCTTTAAGTTAATAATATAATAAGTAGTATTAATATTATAGATAAAGTTATTCTTTAATAGATATATAGTAATAATAAAGAAGCTTATTATAATATTTAAGAAGACTCTTTAAGAGGTCTTCTTAACTAAAATTATCTAGATATAGATACTTCTAATTTACTTAGCCTTATTAGATCTCTAATTAGCTAATAATAACTTTACTAATAACTTCTTAATCACTTTAATTAAATTCTAATATTACTTTTATAGCTAATCTATCTTTATAATCTTTTATAATACCCTCTTTAGTTTTCTCTATAAGAAGGGTAGTATATAGACTAGCTTCTTCTCTAGATAGAGGATCTAATACTAATTCTTATTATACTTTATCTTATAAGAGTAGGTAGATCTCTTATTATTAAAAGCCTTATCTTAAAGTATTAATTACTCTATTAATCTTTAGATAGACTTTATTATTATATTAAATAATCTTTTAGCTAATCTTTTAATTATTATTATTATTATAAGTTATTATTAAAGCTAGTAAGTAAGTATATAGCTATTTAAAATTAACTCTTTTTAATTAAGAGTATTTATATAAATCTAGATAAAGATATTATTAACTTTATTAATATTACTAATAATAATAAGAAAGTTCTCTATAGGCTAGTTATCTTAAATATTATTAATATTAATATTCTTAATATATTATAAAGCCTATTCTTATTATTTAATCTATATTAATAAACTAATAGATCTAGATAGTTATCTAGCTTATTAATATTAAGCTTAAGCTTATACTCTTACTTTAAAGTCTAATAACTTAAGATATTTCTTTAATATTATTAGTCTTATCTATATTAATCTAACTCTTAATAATTATCTAATTACTTTTATTTTATTAAAGATCTATATAATTACTTATTATTATTCTTTTAATAACTTATTAAATAAAGCTATATACTACTTAATTATTTAATAAATAAGCTTATTTATCTTAATTAACTTTTTATTCTTCTTCTTATATATTATATTTAGAATCTTTTATTTATCTAACTTTATATTAAAGAAGTTCTTTCTTATTCTAAACTCTAAATATATTATTATTAATTATTCCTCTTAGAGTATTATTAAAAGAATAAAAGAAGATCTTAGATAATCTCTAGAAGATTCTAAAGTTTAATCTCTATCTAGATTAATATACTTTTAAATTTTATTATCTATAACTTTAAGATAGATATATAAATACTATATATTTTAATTTACTTTATTAATAAGAATTACTATTTAATTATTATCTAAATCTTTCTTAACTATAATATTATAATTAAATAATTAAAAGAGTTAATTAAATAATATTCTAGCTTAAATAGAAGATTAGTTAAATTATTATTATATTTTAAAGGATTCTAATTACTTCTTATTAAATTTAACTCTAGGAATCTATAACTCTATAGTCTAAATCTTATAATAGTTACTCTAGATAGGTAGGCCTACTCTAATCTACTTAATTAGATATTAATTAGACTTATAACTTTTAACTAAGGGTTAGATCAATTAAATTCTATTTATTAAGATATCTAATTCTAAGAGAAAAAAAAAGGGGAAGGCTATTAGAGAGCCACTAGCCCTTAGAGGTGGCCCTAAAGGGCGGTATGATTAGGCAGAGACAGCTCTATATACTAAATTTGCCCTGGGGTTGTCCTTAGTGGACCAGCCCCTTCTGACATTTACTGCACCACCCATTCCTCCTGCAACAACGGCTCCAGATTCTGGGACGTAAGGCAACTCCGAGCTTCATGCGAATGGCTTGGGAGGCCTGTCGAAAGAATGCTATGAGCCTGACGGATTTGAAAGACATGCGTAATTACAATGTGATCACAATTACCAGTCTGTATGGGTATTGCACAATAGTGGCTGGGACGATACATATAAGACAGAGCCCTATAACTTAGACCACCCCCCCCCTAGGCCACCTCAATTTACATTTACCATCATCATGACATTGTATGATAAACACGTCAATTCTCAACCAATTTCTATAGGATCGTCACTAAATTAAAGCTATTTGTAGATAGGTTTAAAATATATAGAATCTAAGCTTTAAAATACAATCTATAATATATGATAAGGTATATTCTTATATACTACTATAGCGGTCTATAGGGTACTGTATATTACTCTTTAGTAATAATATAGTGGCAGTATTTCTATCTAGACTGTTAAAGAATACTCTTAAAAGCTCTTAAGTTATTAGAAGGACTAATTAGCCTGATAGGCAGTTATATAGGTAGATCTAGAGCTAGTCTTAATCTATAGCTAGCTTTAAAAGATAGGCTAATAATTATTAGTTATTTAGAGCTAGTTATTATATCTTAGAAAGAATTAGATAGACTAGTTTCTTAAGTAGAATCTATCTATCTATATAATTAAAGATAAGAAGATTAATTTTAATTAGCTTAAAGATACTAGATCTAATATTATTAAGATCTTCTTTATCTAGCTAAGATTTCTAGTAATTACTAAAGTCATATTATTAAATTATTAGAATATAGATAAGATAGGACTTTAAGAAGGGAAGAGAAGTAATAATCTAGTACTAGAAAGAAAGAAGGCTAAGCAGGCTGTTTAAAAGAGCTCTTAATAATATATATAGACTACTATTATTAAATATTTAAATATAGTTAGTAGGTCTCTAGATCTAGTTATAATATTTTATAGGAGGATTATTTAAGATTAATAGTTTTCTAATAAGCCTAATAAAATTAATAATTTTAATAACTAATAATTTACTAATAGTAATAATAGTTAGACTATAAATATAATTAGTCTAGAATAGCTGATTAATTATTTTATACTATAGATAAAGCCTGTCTATATATTAAATTAGTAGGTATTGATTTATAATAGTTATAGAAGTTATATTTAAGATAAATTTATATAGTAATACTACTTAAATAGAATATAGCTTATATTTCTTTTAGTATATAGTTCCTATATATTATAGCTACTAAATCTATTAATATTTAGGCTATTAAAGTTATATTATTATAAGGGCTTAAATAATTTAATAACACTATTAAATTTAGTAAATATTAGAAAAATATACTTCTTATATTGTTATAAAGACGCCTATAATATAGTATTAAGACTAAAGAATATTACTATAGATTGAAATATTAATAGCTTATAGCTATTTAATATAATAAAGCTACTTATAAACTAGTTATAGTTTAAGAATAGCCCTTCTAAATCTATATCTTTAATACTATAACTAAAGCTATTATTAAAGGTCTTAATATAGCTAATAATTCTAAAGATATTTAAAAAAGTATTAGAAGTTATATTTAATATATCTATAGGCAGTAGAGATCTATACTAGTTATTAAGACTGATATTAATAACTAGATATTTAGAATAGAAGGTCTAGCTTCTATTCTATAAGATTTCTAAGAGTCTAGATATCTATACTATTACTATTATCTAGTAGAGTCTTTAGATTAATTGTCTTAAGACTTAACTAGATATATTAAAGCTAATATAATAGAAAGCAATCCCTAAAGACCTAAACAAGCAGTTTATTAATATAGTAATAATTTATATAAGCTATAAGGGCATTATACCACCATAAGAGCGTCTAGACGTAGAACAAGATGGCATCCTTATAGAGATTGATTAGGGCTACCTCTGAGCGTAAAAAGCGATTTAATTGGATTTTTTTTTTGGTTATTTAATTGATGAGTGTTAATTGTGGTGATGTCTTGATTTTGATGGCCCGGAAGGTGGCCCGGGGGGGGGGGGTGGTCCAAGTTGTGGGGCCCTGTCTTATTCGCTATGAATGATGACAGTGCTACCGTGAGGGAAGAAGGCGAGAAGCATTCCAAGGCAGCTTTGGACTTTCTGCTGGAGCTGTCATGTTATTGGAAGCACGCAGCGATCATGGTAAGCCCCGTAATGGACTCTCCCTTGCAACAGCGCCTAATAGTCTCAACCTATAGGCTTGAACAATTCAGCAAATAGACCAAAGGCCGAGCCCAACCCCTGACCCATGGTAAGCAGGACGCTAAGGCGTTGTGGCAGAGTGTCGACTACGCGTTGTTGTCAACGCCCACTCATCCCGGGAGCCCGACACAAGAACAGCGTGCGTCACCTAGCATGGTCGACTTTCACTTTTCGCCAAACCAGCTCTTTGACTACGCCGATCTGGGTTTCCTTGGTGAACCAGTAGATACTTGCGATGGCTTTTCGTTGGGCCTCCAGCCCGAACTCTAGTAGTCGCTGAGTCGATCAGCAGAGTAATGAACATGTCTCCTGCTGAATAGGCCTTGTGTCTATTTGCCATGTTTTTTGCCATGTTTTGCCTGATCCATTTTGTCTCTATTCGAGTCTATCACAACTTAGAGATTGGTCCTTGTAGGGCCTTCGCTGCCAACTGGCTAAGTATGTCCTTCCGTATTTTGCCACTCCCAGTAGCAGGGTATTCCGCGATCGCTTCTTCCCTACCGACCCATATGATGTGCTGGGGTGCCTTGTGGCGCCCCAGCTCCTCATGCACCCACGCTCTGACCGTCTCATCATGCGGCTTCGGCATACCCGGGCGTACGGCGAGGCAGGCGGTGACAGCCTCGCCATAGCGTTCGTCCTTGACCCCAACAATACTCGCTTGGCTGATAGCCGGATGGTGGAGTAACCGTTCTTCGATTTCGAGGGGATAGATATTCTCGCCGCCTGCGAACACGTTCTGATGAGCAATGTGGCCGGTGCACAAAGGAGACGTATCATACCTCGAATGATGATATCTTTAATCCGCCCTGTGATTCGAACATAGCCCCTCTCATCAATTGTCGCTTCGTCCCCAGTGTTCATCCAAAGAACACCCTCCTTATCCCGGATCATAACCTCAGCCGTCTTCTCAGGGGCCTTGTAATATCCTTGCTGTAGTAGGTAACCTGCAGTGCAGATCTCACCACGCTCGCCAACTGGAACGATGTTGCCCTCTTTGTCAACCACTTTGGCACTGGCATGGGGCATAACACGGCCAACTGTCCCGAGCTTATCTTCGGCTGAGTCGCTAGATTCAGTCATACAACTAGCGGGTGACGTCTCCGTCATGCCTACCCAGGTTAACACATATCACGGCGGTCCTAGGAAGAGACACTCATACCGTACGTGATGGAGACATGCTCATAACCTAGGCACTTCTTCACTTCAGCTGCGAGAGCCGGAGGAACCTTGGTGCCTGCGGCAATCCCCTTCTTGACCGTATTGATCTTCACACCAGTACGATTCATGTGTTGCATAATTGCAGTGAACATGGTAGGCACGCCATGGAGAGCAGTGCAGCTTTCCCGCACCAGCATATCGACCACCTGGGCGGCATCGAAGTCGCGGCCGGCGAAGCCAACACAGGCCCCGTGTGTGAAAGTGGCCATGAGGCCTGCTACAAGGCCGAAGCAATGGAACAAAGGGGGCCCGCAGCAAAGGATGTCATCGGGATTTAACTCGAGGTATTCGCCCATGAAGAATCCGTTGTTGGTAATGTTGCTAAGTGAAAATTATCAGTCAGAAGCTCAAATACTCCTAACACTGGAGCAGTTCCACATTGCAAATATCAGTGAAAAATTACTGGATACTCACTAATGGGTCAACATAGCCGCCTTGGGGACACCTGTGGTGCCACTTGTGAATTGGAGATTCACAGTAGAGTGTGGATCGACGGTTGTTTCTACTTGTTCAAGCTCGGAAGTGGCCACGGACCTGGCCGCATCCAGCACATCGTCCCATGTTGGCTCAATACGATGAGGTAGCTGGTCCCAGCGGATCATGACGACGTGGTTGATACTGCCTCTCCTTTTCCGCAAGTGCTGGAGAAGTGGCATTGTCTGCTTGCGATTTACCTCATCGGAAACGAAAAGGATGCATGGATCTGAAAGGCGGTTTCCACGAGCGGTCAGTTTATTTCGCCTAAACTGTGGTGGTTCAACTCTGGAGGCATCACCATACCAGAATGTTTGAGGGCCCGAATGCATTCCGGCAAGTTGTAGGTCTTGTTTAGTATGACGAAGCACGCGCCAACGCGAGCAGCGGCGAAGAATAATTCTACAAACCGCTCGTCGTCGCCCGAGAAGATTGCCACGCGATCGCCTTTGCCGACACCCATGGCCAGCAGCCCTCGTGCAAGCTCCTTGGTTCGAAGGCTCAGATCACGGAACGTGATTCGAGCGTGCGTCCAGCCGATCAGGACAGCTTCCTTGTCTCCATAGCGCGCTGCCTGCTGATCTGCCAGTTGGCCCAGGGTAAGCTCAAAGAGTGGCGGTTGAGCCGGCCCTTTCACCAAAGAGAGGCCGTTCTGGGGAGCTCGACTATCCATTGTCCCAGGAGATTGACGCCGAAGGATACTTAGGCAGGAACTCGTTGTATGGATTTTGAAGTCCAATTATTGAGATAGCAAACAGTCAACAGTGATTTCTTGAGTTCTGATGAATTATGTCTCTCTGCTCAAGTCCTCTTGAGTCCTGCAGTATGCAGTCATCAACTCTCACGTCAGCCTGCATTCCGCGATGTCGCCTTACGTAGTAGTAGCCACGGCCTCACAACGCGGGAGACCCGGCCGCGTTCCTCACCAAGAGATACCAACCATCCTTGCTGCGCCCCGTACCCACATACACCCTGCATCCCGCCGCCTTAGGTGGCAGTGTTTTGGATAGAGAGCATTTCTTTATATTAAATCCAGTGGTTGTATTAAGGAGTATGCGCCGGTAGTCTCACGCTATGCCTAACTAAATCCACCTATCTCCGACATTGACATGCATGTGGGCAAGATGCCAACAACGTCTTCGAAACGTCATCCCCCGACCACGAAGCATAGCAAGCTATCGTTCCCCGATGATAATGTGCTTCTGGTCGAGATCAACAGACCAAAAGCTCTCAATTCTTTAACTATTGCGGCCAGTCACGAGCTAGACGAGGTGTTTCAGTGGTTCGACGACGAATCGAACCTACGCGTCGCCATAATCACGGGCGTTGGGAAGGCCTTTTGCGCCGGCGCTGACCTGAAAGGTGAAGTGTCTCTCTGACTGGAGAAGATCAGCTCTCCTCCTTTTATAATCTGACTTTTCAACACTAACGCTATGGCAGAATGGATGAATAATAATAAGAAAGGCGTGTCCATGAGGCTACCTCACAACGGCTTTGTAGGTCTCTCCTTTCGGCATGGCAAGAAGCCGGTCATCGCTGCCGTCAACGGCCCGGCCTACGGAGGCGGCTGCGAGCTCGCCGTGAACTGAGATCTCGTCGTCGCTGCTCGTACGGCCACCTTCGCCCTGCCCGAAGTGAAACGCGGCGTTACCCCGTTCGGTGGCGCACTGCCGCGTCTCGTCTGCACGGCCGGCCGCCAACGGGCCTACGAGCTCGCGCTCACGGGGCGAACGGCATCAGCTAAAGAATTCAGGGCATGGGGACTCTGCAATGCTATAGCTGAAGACGGCGAGAGTGTGGTGGGTAGAGCACTCGACTACGCCAGGCTGATCGCGGCCAACAGCCCGGATGCCACCATCGTCACGCGGGAAGGACTGAACATGGGCTTGGAAGCACTAGGCGTGGCAGATGCGAGCCGTCTCTTCCTTGAGGGCTGGAGCAGGCGGATCTACGAGGGGACGAATATCCAAGAAGGTCTTGACGCGTTTGTAGAGAAACGGGAGCCCCGGTGGAGGGACAGCAAGCTCTAGGATGGCTTATGTGGGGACGGTTATGACCCGGACCGATACCGGGTGTGGGGATGAAGGGGGAAAGTTCACATTATCCATCTGCGGGTTTTTTCGTCTCCTAGTTTCTTGAATGGTCATGGTCAATAATGTTCTCTCTCAACATGGTAGTAAACTAGACCTTCCCAAAACTTGTCGACCTTAGCACCGTTGAGATGACTTCTGTAGGAGTTGGCTTCCAACACGCCCCGAGAAAGGTGGCTTGGCTTAAGCGTGATGTGCTTCTCTTCAACCTGAGTATTGGCTGCGGGCGTGCGGAACAACATTTTGTTTATGTAATTATTCGTTGATCGTACCATGTTTCTTTGCCCATGAAGATGCATTTGCTAACATGTCTTCATAGGAGCTCGATAAGGATTTTGCTGTCTTTCCTACCTACCCCTTGGCCCTTGGTAAGGAATGAAGCCGCCACAAGGATGAGAAATGAGCATGGTTACTAATTCTGTCTTTCAAGTTTTCAAGTTGGATTCTCAAGAGGTGATTGACTTTTACTCTACTCAGAAGAGTGTCAAAATCCCTGGCGTGCCCCCGCTTGACCCGACTCGTCTTGTGGACGGTGATCGTTCCATCGAGATCTTCAAGCCTCTTCCAGTCACATCCGCTGGCCGGGATTTCGAATTTCGGTCCACTGTTCTAGGTGTCTACGACAAAGGAAAAGCTGGCACTGTTGTAAAATCTCAAGATGATCTGGTTGACGCAGACACCGGCGAGATCTATGCGCGCATAACAGGCTGTCTCTTTTACGTCGGCCAAGGCGGTTGGGGCGGGCCTCGAGGCCCAAGAGAGGCCCGATGTCTACCCCCCGACGGCAGAGACCCAGATGAGACATTTTTCGTCGATGTGGGAAACGAGAGTGCCCACTTGTATCGGTAAGGACACTTCTAGGGACTCTCCCAAATTGTACAAAAGCAACCGAGTTAATGACTGCAGGCTCAATGGCGATTATAACCCTCTTCATGCAACTGCAGAACCTGGGAAGGCCATGGGGTTTGGCGGCATCATTCTCCATGGCGTATATGCTTACAACCTTGTTGCACACAGCATACTAAAAAGGCTGTGCGGGAGTGATCCAAGCTGTTTTAGAGAGATGTATGCAAGGTTCTCAGGAGTGGTGAAGCCGGGAGACCGCATCCAGGTCACGCTTTGGAGGATGGGGGCTGCAACCAACGGCTGGGAAGAGCTCAGATGGATGGCGTCTGTTGAAGGCACTGGCAAAGTCTGTCTACGGGATGGCAGGCTGGTGATACGCGCTAAGACTGGATCTTCAAGTAAACTTTAAGAGAAATGTAGAACTGAGAAGAGGGAAAGGATGCGAGAACGTCGGATTTAAGCCACTCGTGTCATGTCTCCTGTGCCCAGTTCTCCTCATTCACAATGCCGGTCTTGTCACGTCCATCGAGAAAATCGTTTGGGAACATTAATGGGCTTGGCGAACTCCCTCTAGAACACGGCTTCGTCCCGTCCAGGATCCGGAGCGAGAAAGGTTCATGATGCGGGGGAACATACCATGAGTCTGGGGTAGTGTGATCTTCGATAGGAGGGTTCCCCAGAAGGATGTTGCAACTCGATCTGAATGTGTGTCTTGGTTCCCCACGAGGGATATTTAAAACTGATGAGAACCCTTGTCTCAGGCCACGCAGCCAATTCACCATAACATTGACGATCTATCCTTCCATTTGAACTCGTTCTCTCTCCTTGACGCTAGCAATGGCTGAGGAAAAGCTTCTGTGGGCAACCTGGACAACATCTCCCACTGCGAGATGACGGGAGTCAAGGCAAGCGGTGAAGACGGTGCTGGTCTTGATGCTCGCAATATTCCCTGCTATGATACGGGCAATTGGCTCTCTCAAAGATTTACGTCCGTGTGCCGTTAGAGGCTGGACTTCCATCCCGTCTTTGAAAAAGGGTTGACGGCAATATGTCGCCTTCGGAGTATGACAAGACGGGGGCGCCACAGAATCTACATACTGCACACCCCTAGACTCCAAAGTTATATGTGAGTCTTTGTTAGGCGGTCTGCCCACTGCCAGGGCAAAGGAAGAATGATGTGTCTAGTTAGTAAAACGAGGCAGGATCACATTTCTTAGCATCTCACTTCCTAGCTCAGTCGTGAGAGGCAATATTGCGGAGAGAGTGATATACATCATCCTGGACATTCCTAGATCAGGACGGAAGCCCTCTACACCAGCCATGCTCAGATGAACTTGGTCTCGGTGAAACAACAGCTCACCAATCACGTTCTTCGTTGATTATGAGAACATGTTTACGGAAATAGCAGTAGTAGGGGTCTAGAACCTCGCCGTAAGCTACTCCTCCACTTCACGAGGAGGGCCGCAATGGCAATCCATCACAGGTCTGTAGACCTAGTTGTTGGAGGGTGAGGGGTACGTCCACGATCAGGTACACCACGGCTGGCGGCAGTGCTTCTTGCGGGACTGCATCAAGTTATCACCATGTTGTATACAAAGAGATCCTGGTTTGACAAGTTAAACCGGGGGAATTTCCAAGGCAATGGAGGAAAGTGAGTTTCCGACCGAGCCGTATTGGATGCGACCCAAATCTGCAAATCCTGGTCCGGACGCTAATTCACCACCACCCCCTTAGTATGGCTTTCACGGTTCGGAGCCGAACCGAGGAAGTACCAGGTTCCTCGGATCTCGCAAAGCAGAATGATATGAGTTCCAAAAGACAACCGCCCCTGTGACTGTGTATTTTAATGTTGAAAGCATTGTCTGCAGAAAAAGGCTTGGGCTCTCCAGTGAACTTTGACTCACTAAACCCAAAACACCTAGCTGCTTTCCGACTGTCGACATTGCTACTATGGCCACAGAAACTATTACTGCCGATTCTACAGCCGGGTCCCTCAATCTCAAAGCCAGGGGCTCCCGCATGTTGATGGACGGCACTGATCCCAAGTTTGGCGACTGGCGAGATGATCTCCTCCGCGACGGCTACGCTGTTATCAAGGGAGCTATCCCTGAGGACAGAGCTCTTCAATATGCCGATAAGATGTATTCGCTGGTTGAGTCCTTGCAAGTGGTGTGATGATTGATCCAAAATTGCTGGCATGTCCGTTAACAATGAACCAGCGGCCTTGGCTATGACCGGAACGATCCTGAGACAGTGCATCCCGATAAGCTGCCTATCGTCAACGAGAAGGGCATGATCCTCAACTATGGCGCCTGCCACGAGGATTTTGTCTGGGCAGTACGCTCCGAGCCCGGAGTCGTAGGCGCATTTGAGAAGCTCTATGATACGGAAGACCTGATTGTCTCATTTGATGCCATCAACTATGGCTTTGCCAACCGGAAGAATCTGCCGCCGAATACCCCTTGGCCGCATCAGGACCAAGATCCTGACCGTCCCGGTTTCCGCTGCCTTCAGGGCCTCGTGAATCTTCTCCCTAATGGCCCCAATGATGGTGGTTTGATAGTTTGCAGAGGCGGCCATGCAACCAGCGAGCAGTTCCACAATGACATCCGGGGAACAGAGGAGAGAATTCCTGCATGGACCAAGGAGTGGTATGGATACACTGACAAGGGCATGAAATGGCTCGAGGAACACGGTCATGAATGGATCAAGGTCGAGGCTGCTCCAGGTGACTTGATCGTCTGTAAGTAGAGTGGTCTAACACGAGAGTAATGGTGAAGATTATAAGACTAACTTGCTCTGCAGGGGACTCTCGGACACCTCACTACAATGTCCCAGTCAAGAGCAAGCAAGACAGAATGGCGATCTACACCTGCTTCATGCCCGTCGCCGACGCCTCGCAGGAGGATCTCATCCGCAAGAAGATCGCCTTCGAGAGTAAGTCATTACCGTTATGACTAAGGTCACTCACTGCCTAATGCTAAAAGTTTATTCTCTAGCCCGCGTCGGGACCACGCACTGGCCGAACGCTTTACACACTGGAACCAACAAAACCACGCGGAACGGCAAGCCAGACTTCGTCCAGCGGGATAGACCATTGAACGACCCTGTCCTCAGTGAGAGGGCATTCAAGTTGACGGGCATTCCATATATCAGGGCTCAGTAAAAACACTTGTTTGGTTGAGGTGATATTCCGGCCTTATGCCTTCATGTAGTGCACAGACAATCAATATTCGTTGCTGGTACATTGGGCCTATGAACTCAGAATGTGAAGATCACGGCCGACGAGTGCGAGGGGGATGGCCCTACCGGATCCGTCCATCCTCTTATTTGCATGCTCAGCATGATGCAGCGTCTTTTGAAAGACCCGATATTGGAACAGTGGTTTCGTCGGGTAAGTGGAGAGACAATGTTGGGGCTTCGGAGCAGCTAAGGACCCGCGAATGCTCCGTTCCGGGATTCGCCCCAGCCTTGGCGCCACGTCCGGAGGAGCTCCTGTAGCGTCAAGCTACCCCCGCATTTGGGGAAGCCAGCTCGGTTCGTTGCTCGGTTCATCACAACCTCCCCATGGGGTGAACTTTCGCTAAAGATTCAGAGCGGCACTATTGCTCTTTGCATCCTTTCTCTCACGAGAGCGGATATGTGCTATGGGTGCCCAATGAATTGGAGCGGATTGCCAACGCGGCAGGGATCTGGCTGCTCTTCTCCGAACTCGTATAATAGCCCCTGCCTCGCCCCTGGTGGCTGTCCTTGAGAAGACACCGGACACAAGCCGCCTCAAAGCAGCCAGTCTATTCAGCTTCTATCAAGTCATTTTGTCGTCGCTCCATTTCTCAATATGACAGACCGCAAGGGCTCAGCTGATCACTATGAGATGGCCGTGGAGGATCCAATCAAACCTGTTGACCCTCCATCGCCTGAGAATTTCGATGGCGATGTGAACTTGGCCTCCAGCGATGGAGTTACCTATCTCATCCCCGCACCGAGCGCTGACCCAAGAGGTATGTCTCTACTCGCTCGAACAAGAGAATGGGAAACTGATACCGACTTAGACCCTTTGAATCTGCCACTATATAGAAAGCTTGTAAGTGCCAATACTTGCTTTATCTTTCCCATTATCAGAGACGTATTCATAAAAGATATCAGATACTGCTTGGGATGGTTTGCGCTTTTAGCAGTGTTGGCTTGACAATGGTTAGCGGACTGGTAAGTTTCTGAAATGCATCACTAAATAGGTTGCGGAGTATCGTGACTAATGAAAGCAGGGCGGTCTGCTAAACCTCTTCATTCCTATATATGTCTCCGAAGGCAGAACTGTTGCAGATATCACCCGTCAGTACCCCTCGAATCAGAGAATTCTCCTGGTCAATGCTAACCAACAGCTCATTCACAGATCTCATGACTTACCCTACATTGTTCATGGGCATCGGCAATTTCGTCGGCATGCCACTGGCCCTAGCCATTGGCCGTCGCCCTGTATATCTCGGATCCTGCGTGGTCATGCTCGTGGCCTGTGTTCTTTGCGCGACCCAAAAGAGCTACGAATGGCATCTGGCAGCTCGGATGGTCCTGGGCTTGGCTGCTGGCCAGAGTGAGGCACTTTGTCCCCTCATGGTTCAGGAGAGCTTTTTTCTGCACGAGCGCGCCAAGTACCAGATGATCTTCACTGCTGGTGGCAATATCTTGACTACTATTTACGTCCTCCTTACATCCTACATCGGCAAAGGCATCGGCTCGAGCGGTTGGTACGGACTCGGCTCAGGGCTCTCCGGTCTTGTGCTGGTGCTGAGTCTATTCCTCGTTCCGGAGACTAAGTACGATAGGCCGCTGGCGGCATATCAGGGCGAGGTCGCCAGAGTCAGCACATTCGCCGGCCAGTCTGACAAGGACATGCACCGTACTACCTCATACAACGTCCAGCGCATCGCCACTACCGACGTCCGTGAACTCGATCTGGTCAACTTCAAACCCCGGACTCTGGCTTCGGACATGCGCATCTTTGTCAATGAGCCCGACTGGGCCGAAGGCATTCGCACAGTGCAGCGCATGTTTGTTGTCATGCTCTTCCCGGATATGCTCTGGGCATTTGTACGTCGTTTCAGCCACTTATAAGCGAGAAATACTAACTTATTCGCCCATCTGCAGCTGTTGAACGGTCTCACGCTCGGTGTGAATGTCGCCATGGGCACCACATACGGCAACATCCTCAGCGCCCCGCCGTACAGCTGGGAAAACCAGAACATCTCCTTCGCCATGGCTGGCCAGATTGTTGTTTCCTTCATTGGATTGCCTCTACTTGGCTGGGGCTCTGACTGGCTCGTGAAGCTCCTCGCCAGGCGCCACGGCGGTGTTCACCAGCCACAGTACCGCCTTGTACCCCTAGTCTTTCCGGCCCTCGTCGGCGTCATTGCCGTCATTCTGTACGGCCAGGCCGCAGCGCATCCAGAGCGCCTACACTGGTTCGCCATAGTCTTCGCCGTCAATGCCTACTACTTTTGCTTCGTCGGTGCGAATCAGTCGGGCATCGTCTACGCGCTCGACGCGTACCCCACGCGCTCTGGCCCGGCGCTGGTTGTCATCTGCGCCCTTCGCGGCGTGCTCAGCTTTGGTACTTCCTATGCCGTCCAGCCATTCATTGATCTCAGGGGATACGATGGCGCCTTCCTGGTTTATGGAATCCTGACTGCCGTTATTGCCGGCCTCGGCATCCCGATTTACTTCTTCAGCGCCAAAATCCGTGCCTTTTGCTCTAGGTTTGCGGTACAGACGAGCGATACCAAACCGACATACTCTTAGGTCACTCATCGCTCAAAAACCGTGAGTGTGATTTAAATCGGAGAGGGAATTTGGACTGGATCTGGGAAAGAAGGGAAGGTGACCTCTCGATCAAGGACTTGCTTCTAGGCTGCTTTCTACGCTGATCTGCAGCCTGTTCTCTGATGCCTGTTTAATCAATCACTTGCATTCAATGTCTAAAGGCTCTCCATGTCTTAACGCATTTTGCCTTCAAACCCTGTGCAATTTGACTAAACTTCACATGACATGCGTCCCTTAGACTATGGATTACCATCTTGGCACTCATTATGTAGAGCACACTCTAAGCTTTGGAACTATTATCCGCTGTCAGTATAATCCGCAAAAGATATTGGCCCTATGGCATTCCAGAACTCTTCAAAAGGGCCCAGGTTCTCGCTGTCCAGATCAAAAAAGGGCATGTCGAGCATGATTCCAGGCACGGGCGCCGGGAGCTCAGAAAACATTGTCGCGGAGTCTGCGCTGAGGCTAGCACTGAACTCGGACCGGCCCGATACCTCGTCATTGTTACTTGGAGGCATTATTGCAGAGCCGACACCCTGATAGACTGCTGCTGCCACGCTTGCCCGCAACGTCTCGAAGCCCCTGATAAAATTTGGATGCTGACCATTGCGCTGGAACTGAGTCTCCAACTGGTGCGTTACCGATACGATAAGCTCCATGTCGGATCGTACCATCCTTTTGCCGGGGTGTCTTAAGATATGCAATGATATGACAATGGCAGCTAGGTGTGGTTGTACAGAGGACAAGAGGTTCGAATGTATGCCGTGGTCAGCAAGCTCAAGGACCTGCCTGACTGTGGCTCGGGCAGCGCCTGTGCAAATGCTCTCCGCCTGCAGCAGACGCATGTATGACGGTAGTTTTGAGCCGAGGTGTTTGACCTCATTCGTGAACGAATTGATGGGGAATACGATGGAAGCCCGTAGTACAGATATCTGGGCCTGATAGTACTGAAGTGCAAGGAAGGTGGAGAGGTGCTGCTGGTGTTCCGTCCCTTCGGATATGATGGCTTCGTGGCCTGGTTTGAGAGTCTCTGGGAGTGCCTTCGCCCATTCGAGAAGTTGCTGATCCAACTTTCCGATCTCTGATATAAGCGACCATGCACTGCTCGGCTTGTGCATGTAAAGACGCCTACTGATCTGGCCGAGTATCCTCGACAACGACACCCACGGCGTGAAGAAATCTTGCATATCATTCGGCAACACCTCGAGGCTTAGCAAAGGCTGGTCAACCACTTCATCATTGATCGCTGACGGCCTTCCGGTTTCGAGCTCCATCAGCTTCTCAAGTGCGAAGCAAGACCACCATACCCTGCTTTGGAGAAGTCGGTCTGCCTTGTAGCCATTCTCGGCATTGGCTCCACTCGGTTCGCCTGAGCCAGGTCCGCTCCGGATATGCCTGTGGAGGCCAATGGAATGCGCTACCCTGATAGCCTGGCCGACGATATGCCATGCCTGTCCATCCTTGGCTCGTGACCGAAGGCCAACAGCCAGCAGAAGTAGGGCCTGTACGCTTGAAAGATAGGGTAGACACACTAGGTGTGCAAAGAGACCATGGGCAGTGGTAAGGTATGCGTTGCTAATGTCTGTGAGGTCCTCAGAGCCTTCATCAGCTCCAATGGCCAAGACGGTAAGAACAATTACAATCCTCGGGACGTCATCATGTGAGATGGCCGACAGTAAGCCTCCCGAGGATGACTGTTCCAGGGACTGGAAATGTTGAATATCTTGCTCGATCGTTGTACGGTTTACAACTGGATAAAGCGGCCAGACCCTATCGAAGAACGTATCCAGGTATGTGCGCAACAACTGCTGCGATGGCAATGAGGGAATTGAGAGCATCAAGGGTAGCTGCACCTCCTCGACGTGGCGCATTCCACACCTAAAGATGGGCGTTACGAGCTTCAGCCGCTTGCGTCGGAGATAAATGTCGACGAAGCCCGCTAGGCACTGTAAGCTACTACCTCCCATGTACTACATGGATGACACGTTAGCCATTGGTTGAACTCTATGTGAGTTTCAAGGGTTCTTTGCGTCTTACCTTAACACGATGTGAGCTATTGTCAGTGTTGACAACCAGGTCTGGATCGTGACCAGCACAATGCTCTTGACCTCCATTCTCGGCGTCGACACTGTGCTGATAGCCGCGAGATACCCACGAGATGGCCGTGCCTGGCGTACTCGTGTTTGCCTCGCAGCCGGTTGTGTTGGCGATGGAGTCGCGCCGCGTGGATGTGTTTGTGTCCATCGACACAGCCGGACTCCAGCCCGATGTCTCCGGTGGGGCGGCCACAGCTGCGGAGGTCTCGTTGCTGCGCCACAGTGTTGAAGGTGAAGGCTGGGGCGTACCCGTAGATGACGCCGGTCCATGCTTCGGCACGTGGGCCTGGTTTCGATGCGTGGCTGCCGGGTTCTGACCAGGCATTAGACCATCCGCAGTTGCCCAGCGGCGGACCTTGAGCGCACCGGCGTCAGGGTACCGAGGGTCGGTCGTCTCGCATTCTTCGTCTCGCAGCCAGCAGTTGCGGCACTTTGGCTGCTCCGTGTCGCACCTTACCTTGCGCCGCCGGCAGTTATTACAGGCGAGACTAAGACGGATGCGTTTCGGTTGACTCTGGGTGTGTATTGGGCCATCTCCCTGTGCCGAGGTGGCCAGGGTGGTCGCTTCTCGTTGCTCGTTCATTGCCAAAGGTAAGGGGAGCCGCGTCTTCTTTGGGTCGATATCATGGTACGGGTGATGTGAACCAGCCCATGATCTCTCGGCTCAGGGCCGAGTATAGATCTCGGACCAGATATATGTCAACTGGGGCCCAGGGCAACATGAACCCTGCAGCCCTCCACTCCCCGAACCCCAGAGCTTGGGTGCGGGGTTTGTGCTGGGGGCGCTTTAACTTCGGGACAGCTTGCGGGGGAACTGACAGATGCATGTCTCGCAATTGGCTCGTGGACATGGCGCGTATACCAGGCTAAGACTAGTCGATGGTTCCTCGGTCAGATCCCGAAGCACACGCGTTCACTGTGATGGTAGTGCGGATGTGCAAAACCTTCGAGCAGATGGTTTGATTCGGCAGTTGTGGAATCGAGCTTCGTGAATCCGAGCTAATCCATCACGACGAATGTTGAGTTTGGGGTTTGACAGCACTTCCAACCGACATAAACAACATTACAAATCAGAGAAGTTGTGCTTTATGAAATGCCTTCCGAAAAATTGTATTGTTATTTACGTGGTTTTCTTTTTCTTTCTGACCCAATCGGTAGCACCGTCATATTCACAGTTGTACTTCATGAACTCCCCTGGATTTAGAGTGACACTGTTTGACCCCTTCTCCATCGCCGGCCGTGCTTGTTGCCTACTGTAGGCTTGAATGAGACTGACCCGCTCGAATCGTGCTTCCCATACTTTCCAAAGAGCATCCTGTACCTTGCTTTTGCCTGGACGCTCGTCAATGTCGGCGAGAAAGGCTGCAAGGGCCTCGGCATCTTCCATGCTTTGGCTTGCCCCTTGCCCTTGAGTCGGTAGCATTGCGTGTGCCGCATCGCCAATTATTATTGTTCGTCCCTTGACCCAGGTCGGAAGCGGATCCAAGTCGCGCAACTGCCACAGTCCGATTTCGCTGTCAGGTGCAGCATCGAAGACCTTCAAAAGCCAAGGAGCAAAGCCGGTGTAGGCCGCCTTCAGTTGTTCTTTCGAACCGTGCTTGACCCACGAGTCCCCGGCCGTGTCTTCATGCAAGCTCCCATCCGGTACCAGCGCGACGATCCCATAGAGCTTTCCGCCTCTGCCGGGACCCATAATCACCCGCCTATCGCCGCCCATGATCATGGACGTCATCGCTGGATTGCAGGACTTGATGCAGTCCGGAAGCCCCTCGATGTTTTGAATACGTTCCAGGGGCATCAGCACGCGATATGCTGAGAGTCCAGTCGGAATTGCAGGGCAGTATTCCCCGAGCACGGCGGTGCGTATGACTGATTTTATGCCGTCCGCCCCAATGACAAGGTCTGCCTGGATCTGCTCGCCGCTCTCCAGCGTAACAACGCCACCCTCTGGATCGCAAGACTTGACCGGGCAAGTTGTGCGAATCTCCACCGGCTCCCCAGGAAGTTGTGTACTGGTTGCAGCGTTGCGTAGCGCCGAGTGAAGGTCTTGTCGGTGATATAGGACACGATCTGCGCCGAATCTCGCCGTCTCGAGTTTCAGTTCATTGACGAGTTTGCCAGACATGTCGAACACTCGGAACCCGCGATCAATGAGGGGTTCGGCAGAGTGAAGGAAGGGGTCGAGGCCCCATCTCGTCACCAGCTTGCTCGCGTTTGGTTGTAGGGAAATTAGGGCTCCAGTCTCTTCCAGCATGCGGGATCGCTCGAGGACAGCAATGTGGCGGTTGGGCCCGCGGAGAGCTATGGCCTAGATGAATAAGGTGATTAGCCAAGTCTCAGGATGTGAGAAGTGAACTCACCGTGGTTAGCCCAGCTATTCCACCCCCTACGATAAGGACTCGGAAGTCAAGGGCCTGACTTCCCATGCTTGACAATTGTATGTGGGGATCTGATCTAATGTCGCTTTACTCCACTGAATCTTGAAAGAAATCTTGGAAGCCCCTCATCATCCATAGTAGATTAGCGAACAGTTGCGTGGACTACTCTTTCTTTTGTCCTCACGTCAGATATTTTCGACTCTTTACTAGATGGGTTCGTGCTTTGTGGCGCTTCGCCAATGCACATAGTTGGGTGATGAGGTTGGGAAGAGCTGCCCCGAACCGAACCGAGCCGAACACACCAAGAGCAAATCCTGGTCGGCTCCACATCAGAGTCAGATACAGCAGGACAGGAGCAAGGTTATGCATCGTTGGCTGCCGGCAGTAGACTTCGGCTTGTGCAAGTGTCCAATTCCAAGGTCGATAGTTTGTGCATCAGTGTTTTATTAGAGACTTGACTTTCGGCTTTGTAAGGTGTACTAGCGTCGATAGAGTTTCAAAGCCGTGGCAAGCGACAAGTCGTAAGGTTCACTGAATTTTCCACCTTTGTTATTTAATAAGGTCATAGTCTTGTAAGCATCCGTTTCATTGCTTCTGCATATTTTGAAAGTAATGTCACTCGTGAAATGGGTTCAGGATCAATGCTGAAATTGACTGCAGTCGTCTATGGACTGTGCGATTGCTGTTTGAAATTGGTCTATGCTTCTCTATCAAGGCTTTCCAACATAGGGCAGAATGATTGACGTAGGATATTCCCCCCCAAAATGAATCTTGTGTTCTCCCTTGTTGAGCTCGTGCTCCGGACGAGGGTCTGACCATCGGTTGAACTCTGCTGCCGTAGGATTTTGTCCGCTGATCTACAGAAAAGGGTAAGACATTAGTTATTAGATTTTTCTCATAGAGTAAACTCAGCTAACAACTCGAAAGTTAAACTTACCCTGAAGCTGATGCTCTCGCCCGCATCAAAGTCAACACCCATGCTGAACACACCAATCTCTAATTTGACCACCGTCCCGGGAGCGACCTTTTGCTCGCGCCCATGAGGGTGGAAGGGGAAGTTGGGGTGGATGCTCTTCGAATGGTCTATTTCCCGGTGAGAAGCCCTCAGAATGCCCATCTGACCCTCGTGGGTATTCACGCTGTGCATCTCATTCTCATCAATGTCGGCTATCGAATTGACGGGGCTCGCGTGGAATGGAAAGTTTAAATGCAGCATGTCCTTTCCATTCTTGTCTTTCTTGCGCAGAATCACAAAAATGACGAAATCGTCGCGGGTGTCGCAAGATGCGTAGACGGATGCTTTGGGAAGTCCGATCAACCGGGACGGCTCTGAGAACGTGTGCGTGAACTCGACCCAGCTGCCGCGGTCTTCCGAGTTGTAAGTGACGCTTGCGGGTGTCGAGGGTAGCACTGCGCTCAATTTACTATTTTCCGAGGCAAAGAATTCCAGGTACTGCGTGTTAGGCACAGGCCAGTCCGGCAGTTCGATGTCGTGAATAGGCTCGCCGTCGCCGAACTTCAGCGTAGTCCACCTGACCTTGGGCGTGTTCTTCTCCCATCCATTGCTAATTCCACGGAGGTAAAAATCGAAAAAAGTCGTGAGCTGCTCGGCGGACTCTGGGATGCTGTACAGTTCATACCATTCTTGATAAGCGCCCCATTGTATCCACTTTTTGTCGTGTGGGATCTCGAGCCAGGCACGGATGGAGCCCATATTATGCAGATTGCTCACGTCGGATCCTCGAATGTAGGTTGGGCATTTGATCTTCGTCATATCTACACGCTTGTCTTTCCACCAGACGTTCATGGTGGACGACCTGCGGTACATCTCGGCGAAGTCCTCGACTCCTGAGGTGGGCTTCCCGCGAAGAATCTCGGCGGTGATCAGGTCGAAGTTGGACATGGTAAACCATCCTCCTGGAACATATATCAGCACTCGGCAGCTCATAACATTGGCATCGACGGCGATTGAGGCGGAATATCATACCTCTGCAAAACTGTTCTCGATAAAGATCACTCAGACCTTCCCAGGGAGCGATCGCCTTCAGAGACGGCGGCTGCTGCGCTGCAGCGAACCACTGCGTTATGGCGAGATACGAGTTACCGGCCATGCCAACATTGCCGTTGCACCAATCTAGCTTGGCAACTGCCTCAATAACATCGTACATATCTTCCGCCTCCTGAGTGCCCATTATTCCGATCTGTCCATCACTGTTGCCAGCACCCCGGGAGTCCACGCTAACGATGGCATATCCCTTGGGGCACCAGATTGCAGGGTCTAGGCCCTCGAATTTCTCCAATCCGCTCAGATCGGAGCGCTTGACACAAGAGTGCCAGACCGTCATGGGGAGCATGTCCAGGGCGCTGTACTTCTTGCCGTAGGGTGACCAGCCCAGGATCGCAGGGACCTTCTCTTTGGGATCGTCGGGCCGGTACACATCGATGTAGAGACGCGCGCCGTCCCGGACGACGATTTCCACATCGTGGTCTAGCCGGACGTCGCTAGTAAGAGCTCTCGTATCAGAGCCGAATGGCTGGGAGCCCGTGGTGAAAACTTCGCTCTTGCCAGGGTGAAAGCCAGTGTAGCCATTCTCGCCCACTTTGGGTTCACGGATGCGCTTGATGGCGGACTGGATCACGGCAGGCATGACGGGCAGGGTAGGTAGAGGTCGGAATATCCCAGTAGTAGAAGAGCAGAGATGGCGAAGGATTGATTCAGAAAGTAAGGTTAATGAAATAATGCCATTTATGTTTGCACACTGCGAGATCGAATTCTTGCGACGGACGAGGTACCAATCGGAAGAGTACCTCGGGCCAGGTCTGGTGCTCAACTAGCAATCAGTGAAGCACATCCGGCAAAGAGCTTTGATTGCATTGCGAGGACGGAATGTAGGATACGTCAGTCGCTCGAAACATAAGGACCCTTGGAAGAAACCCGCGCGTTGTGGTGGACAATGCCGCTCTCCTCCCCCGCCCGCCCTGACAATCCCCGGACCCACTTCCCCGACCCGAGGCCTGCCTCCGAGGAACGCTGACTTTGAGCGGGGGATCGCCCACAAGCGTTCGCTGCTATGATGTGCGATGATGACTCCAAGGATTGATGAAACCTCTCAAGTTACAGTGTGAATGATTCATTGCTCACTGAAATATTTAATCGCTCTTTGCCAGTCTCAAGAACCTGTTTCTCCGGCTTCCATTTCACTGCACATCGCTTCCATCCCCAGCGTGCATTAGAAAACAAACTGAATCCATTCCATCATGTCCAGTACCCAAACCACCGAGACCGCCACCACTGAGGCGAAGCCCTTCTTCACCTACGGGGCGCAATTTGAGAATAAAGACCTTGTTGACTTTGACGAGAACCGACACTACGGCGACTGGCGCGATGAGTTCCACAAGACCGGCTGCGTGGTCATCAAGAACGTCCTGAGTAAAGAGCGCGCCCAGTACTACTGCGACAAGCAGATCGAGTGGTTGAAGAAGTTCGACCTGGGCTTCGACGAGAAAGCCCCCGAGACGTGGACGGCCGACCACCTCCCAGTCAGCTTCAAAGGTGGCATGTACTTTGCGTACGGCGCTACCCACGAGAAGATGGCCTGGGAGGCGCGCACCGAGCCGGCTATCGTCGAGATCTTTGAGAAACTGTGGGAGACCAAGGAGCTCATATGCTCCTTTGACGGTATGAACGTCTCTATGCCTAACAGGAAAGACCTTAGCTGGTCACCTTGGCCACACTGTGACCAGAACCCGGAACGCAAGGGGTGAGTTCGCAAAACATTTTTCGACTTGGTCGAAGCGAATGACTCACGTTCCATGACATACAGCATGCAAGCCGTCCAGGGCTTCATCAACTATGCCCCCAACGGCCCCAAGGACGGCGGCCTCGTGCTCATGAAGGGCTCAGCCAAGCTCTTCAACGAGTTCTTCTCGGAGAAGCGCGAGCAGGACGACCACGAGGACGCGCCTCCGCCCGAGATCAAGTTCATGGACCTCTTCCTCTTCAATAAGAAGGACGTCAAGTGGTTCGAGGACCATGGCTGCGAGCTGGTCAAGGTCGACATGGAGCCCGGCGACTTCGTGCTCTGGGACTCGCGCACCATGCACTACGCCAAGCTCCCCGAGGGCGACCAGATCCGCCACGTCCAGTACATCTGCATGACGCCGCGCAGGTTCGCGACCCCGGAGGCGCTCGAGGCCAAGAAACTGTGCTTTGAGAAGTACTACGGCACCACCCACTGGCCGCATTGGTGAGTTTTTGGAATATTGAGCAGTATCAAAGCGTAGCATGGGGCAATGCTAACCTTTTCCTTACTAGCAATGTACGCCCTTCGTCGGAGAAGCCAATGAGGAACGGGCAGGTCTGTCCCAAGTACAGGGCAGAGCCGTTTGAGAAGCCGGTAATCACGGACCAGGTGCTGCGCCTCGCTGGAATTAAGCCGTACTAGATAGATTGTCTCTTGAGACTGTTGAACACTCCCCGGACACAATGAAAGCTGCATTTATTAGTCTTGCTATTGAGGTCTCGAGGGCCCAAACCGCGTGAAGTCTCGACGCCTGGTAATACCTGTGCTGTATAGCACTGACGCCCCATGTATGTTAGTCTCCTGGTATTTGAACACTGAATTTCAAGCTCGACTGTTCCTGCTTAGCAGAGATTCATGGGGGCCTCCTCTCCGGAAAATATGCATCGGGGATCTCGAACGATATCGATGAGGCTTAAAAGCCCAATTGACAAACATGAACTTCTGATTTGCTAGAGCTATCCTCTGGACGGATGTGTAAACTTCCGAGATCGCCCCCTTGCTACACAAAAGGCTCTCATTTGTCCATTCTACCCAAGTCTCCATTTTGAAATGGAGCTGGGAGGATCACGCCCGCGTTTTCGGGCGTTGCGGAACGCGAAGTTGACCGTGCCAAGATCTCACTTCATGGAGACTAGACTGGATTCAGAGCCTAGGGTACAAGATACTTTCTCAGACCTGTTGGTATAAATGCGCCTGGAGAAAGCATTTTTCGTGGACAGCTTGAAGAAATGCATCGCAATACACAGTCTGGCTTGGAGACTTCTTCACAAAGAAAAGCAAATATGGCAGAGACCATCATCGTGACCAGCAATGCTTCGGCACACCCTTACTACCCGACTGATCTTCCAATGGCGGACTTCGTGCCAAACCAGACGGGCAGCGTTGTGCTTGTGGGCAAATTCTGCGTGATTTGGTCTTCAGTTCTCGTCGCTGCGCACTTCATCATCAAGAACGTGCGCCCCAACACACCAAAGAGCAATTATCTGGTCGCGATGTGGTTCACGCTGTGCGGTTCCATCCACCTGTTCTTTGAAGGTACGTGGTAATGCATGGTAGGATGAGTTGATCGGCTCCGATGACTGACTGAGTTTCTTTCCTTCATAGGTTACTTCTCGCTCAACTCCCTCAGCAACCTCGCCAGCAAGCAGGACGTATTCGGCCAGTTGTGGAAGGAGTACTCGCTCTCAGACTCGCGGTATCTCACCCAAGACTCCTTCCTGATCCCCATGGAGACGCTCACCGCTTTCATATGGGGCCCGATGTCGTTTGCTTGCGCTTATTGCATCATCATGGAGCACCCGCTGCGGTGGGCGCTACAGATCATTATCAGCGTCGGTCAGCTCTACGGCACAATTCTTTACTTCGGCACCTGCATTCTCGCCGAACTGGTCTCTCAGATCTCCTTCTGTCGGCCCGAGGCCCTGTACTACTGGTTTTACTACTTCCACTTCAACGCCTGGTGGCTCGCTATTCCGAGTTATCTAATCTGGCAGAGCGCCTGCGCGTCAACTGCGGCAATCGCCAAAGTCCAAGCGACGCAAGAAACTGGCAAGAAGAAGAGTCAATGATGGCACTTGTGATAAATTTCTCATAATATCACGAATGGCACAAGGCTCGGTTTGAGAATGGTACTCAATGAGAATTGTCGGGTGGTTGGGCTGTCGGAAAGCATTTTAGGGCTTCACTAAGTCGCAAGCTCTGTGAGCTCGCAACTCGTAACTGTATGATAGAGAAACTTGAAATCTTTACTAGATGTTGAAAATCATAATAATCATTGCCGTCGCAGGTAATGACTGGATGGAAGCTTTGCTCTGCCCTGCGGATGGACAGAAGACTGATGAAAGTGACGCTCAGCAGAATTGCCGAGATCACTGCTAGGTCTTCCTGGAATGGACTTAAGGAACAACCAAAGGACTGCGAGAAACAACTCAAACAAAATCAAACAGCACTACTACGAGCTCAAGCATCACCGATCGCGATCTGAATCTGCGCAATTGTAGCTTGCGCACTGGCGACCTCGCTCTCCACACGGCCGCGAAATTCGGGGTCCTTCTCGCTCTCCTCCGCAACGTTCTCGTCTCGAATGATATCCAATGTACCGCGGACAACGTTGAGGTACTCGTCGACGGCGGTGTCAATTCCCCGTTGAAGCTCAGTCACATGAGTCTGGTACGTGTTTTTGAAGATGAACATCAAATTATCGAACAGGGCTTCTCGGCCGAGGGCGCGATCCATGATGTTTTTGCGGCGCGCATGAGAGCCGGTGCCTAGACAGAGATATGAGTAATGGCTGAAACGGAAGGGGTTATACAAGACAGACCGTATTCCATATTACAAGCTCGATACGTCTGGCTCAGGGCTTGGCCAATGAGCGAAGTCCTGATGCCTGAGAGCGCGTTGGTGCGAAGCGTTCTGGTATTGTCAGCCATGTGCTTTGTCAACATGTTGAAATAGTAAAGTCTTACTGTAATCGGGCCATAAAGATGGCGTAGACTTGCTCTAAGTTCGACATGAGTTGGTGCTGCTCGTTGGTCAAGGCCTGCGTCAGAGGGGTGAGCGCGACAGAGACTTCCTGCGACTCATCCTCTTCGGTGACGTTAGTTTCAACAAAGAGAGTGAAAATCACTTCATATTTCTGGGAGCTATTCATACCCAACATGTCGAGTGCATCCTCGGCAACGGCTTCCACGATCTCTTGTATCTTTTGCCACTCTTCTTCCAAGAGCGCGGTATGAGCCTTGAAAGGCTCACTGAGATCTCGAGACATGGCTTCGATGACCTCTTCATTCCAATTTCGGGGTCCTATAACGGCTGTGCAGTGATCGCCAAAGTTTCGACAGAAAGCGGCATAAGATGCTATCAAGCTACAGGTCAACTTTTGGACAATGTTATGCTTGCGCTGCGTGCTTACCCCAGTGCCACTGTACGAAATATTATGGTTAGTATGTCACAGTAGAATTTACATCAGAAACACTTACTCCTCCCCATACTCTCCCAGCCTGCTGCGCAGCTCGGGTCCAGTTTGTAATCTCACGTCGCTCTGGTTGTTCACCGATTAGCCCCACGCGTTTGGTCACGGAGGCCGGCTTGATGCTCACTGCAATAAACTGTATTTTCAAAGTCTCGACGTGCCATCTTTCCGAAACTTCCCACAGGAGATATCCTTGGGGACAGTAGCTACTGATATCATCAGCTCAGGTTTCGTCCCGTCAATGAGTTAGGCGAACAGACTTCATTGATGGCCGCCTCCAAATCTCCCAAGACCTTCCTCACTGCCTCTTTGTGCTCTGCGCCGGCGGTACCAGCTCCAGACTGTACCCAGAGCTGCAGTTGTGCGAGCAGGGCTGGGATCTGATCACGAATGTATCGAGTAGCTGCGCGCCGTTGACTGTCCGCCACAATGGCGATGCAGCTTCGCCGCACAGCCAGGATTCCGCTGAGGTTCAGACCCTGGAGTCCTTCCTCACGCGGACGGGAGCGGTACTCCCAATACAGAGTGTTGCTGGTGCAGAAGACTTTGATATCACCTGTAGAGACGCGGCTGGCATACATGGCGCGTAGGCGGGTGGTGACGACCTCATTGCGAGTCGTGATCAGGTAGCGGTTCAGTCTGTGAAATGGAAGTCAGGTCAGTGTCTGCGGGGGCGACTTCACGGACTTGGACATACTCGAATTGCCTCATCTTTTTCCTTCTTCTTTAATGAGAGCATGTGTCAGCAAATAGATGCTTTGAGCCTAAAAGGGAGGAATCTTACACTGTGTTGCGTAGTCGCCGATGTAGCTCTCTTTCCTGATCTCTCTCTTCCTCCAGCAAGTCGTCGTCGTCTGCAAAGTCGGCGAGCTCTGCCTCAATTTGTTCGCACTCGCGCTGTGCAGTCTGCACAGCTTCCATGTAGTCTCTGACCCGCCTGGCTGTTTCTCCTTTCCAATCGCGCCGAGACTCTTCGGCATCGATGTCCTAGAGTCAACCCACGGCGGTGAGAATTTCTTCCGAAACGAGAGTTTTGGAGTTAACTTCAACTTACGTCTGATCTGGTGCAGATAATGCCGACATTGGAGAGTTGAGCTTTTTCGGCAAGCTCAAAGACACTTGCCACTCCCACATCAGTTATGGCGCGGCCAATGTTGCAGATGACAAATATCTCGTCACACTCGAGTAAGAAACGCTCGGTAATATTCCGACGTGCAGAGTTCAGATCACGCAGACCTGGTCCCGGTTGTGTCAGTCACGAAACTTCCACCCCATCGCTCCACTGAATGACTGACCTGGCAAGTCCACAAGAATGAGACCCTTGCTGAGAATGAAGGCCTTTGAAAACACCCTTGAAAAAGTTTAGTGGAATGACTTAGTAAGTATGTGTTTGGCCCGATGACCATACTTCACTTTGTTGATATATGGCCAGAAAGCCTGAGCTTGTGATCCGATCGGGTCCGATGAAATCTTCATGAGATGCTGGGAACATTCTTGCAAGGTCATCTCAGATATGTTGGCATGGACAGCCCTGGGCCGAGACTCTAGTGCCCAAGTTTTCAAGGTGTCGAGCGCTTTATCCTCTGGCCACTCAGTCAGGAAAGCTTCGTCCTCGAGTCGACCTTGGAACATGGCCCGGAAGGTGTCACGCGCGAGGTTGGCAAGCTCCTCAACGTCTCTCCGCTCGCCGTCCTCGCGGATCTCATCTCCGTGAAGGTGGTAGTGTCGGTAGAACTGGAGCATCTCGGCTAATTGGTCCGCAATGTCCTCCTCAGAAAATAACTCGACTTCCACGTCAAAGTGGATAGCTTCATGGTAGTGATACTCTGTCACTACACAGGTGCAGGCCTGGCCACTGTTGCTCTAAGGAAGTTTGTTAGATGCAATCTGCGAGTGGAGGTTAGATATATACACACCGTTCGAGCGAGGCCGGGGAAGTCGAGAAGCGAGTTGAGGAGACTGCTCTTTCCTAGGTTGAAATCAGCCACGCTGCTTGACGTGAACTTTGCAGCGGGTTACTCACCAACTCCAGAGTCTCCAACAAAAGCCACTGTCCTCGACTGCGGGCCTTGGTACCGCGAAAGATCGCGGGACTCCCCATGCAGCCGCTTCATCACCGAGTCCGGCTCCTCGTGAATGACACTACTCCCCAAAGCCTCAGCCACCCGTCCCATCAATCCTTTTGCGTCCGCAATTGCTCTTTGGAAAGTAGGGCTGAAGAATGCATCTTCTGGCAATTGTTCATCTGCCACCTTGTGCGGTGACTGATCTACGGCAGGGCTCGATCGGCGTCGGCGGCGCCCGCCCGGGCTGGGGTCCGGGGTCAATGATGCTGCCCGGACATGGTCGGAACCCTGAGCAACGCCTATCGTTGCGGCGCTAAGGTCGGCCAAGTTTGTCAATGGTCCTTCTGGAGTGCCAAGCCGGAGCTCTTGGAGATTTACGTCGATGCTGCTGCTTCCGGAGCGGCGGCTGCTGGACGACGGTGTATCGGCCGGCTCGGTTCTTGAAGATGATGACGGCGGAGGAGAAACAGACACGGAAGGCGTGTCTTCACGCCGAAACGCAACAGATCTACCAGTGTCTGAGGAAGTACCAGGAGATGCTCCCTCTACAGATGGCAGAGGCGTGTCGGCGTTGTGGTTGGACGGTCCAGCGTCCGTGGCAGACCCTGATGCTTGGAAGATGCGCTGAATGACAGGTCAGATTCTGGGATCTAATTATCAACGAAGCACATTGATCAAACCTACCACGCGGGTCATGGTCACGTATGATGGCGATGGCTAATTCTCAAACACAGGGTGGGCATGCGGTTTTCGGTGTTCATAACAGGTGCTGTAAGGACGGAATGCACGAGCCTGCATGCCTCAGTATTAATAGACGACGAGGTCGACGAGTTCTCATGCTCACGAGCGGAGTGGGAGGCCTAGTCATGGGCTGATCACCCTTCCCGCGCGCGTACAAACCAACGATGCGCACCTGCACACCCCCCACCAATAGATCACCAACAGCAATGCATTCATGCGGGGATTCCCGAAGCGGTAATGGGCTGGGGGTGATGGCCGCATCGACCTGACCCGACAGAATGGCTCCGGCGGGCAGTGAAACTATCCCCAGTCTCACATTATGCGGAGAGTCCCTCAGCTCGTCACACCAGCACTACTAGGAAGAGCAATGAAGAGTGTCAATTGTTTATCACATTTCAATTGCTGAAACAATGCTTCCCCGAGTCGTTTTTGGCCCTGTGAATTGGCCTTTTGCCTGGTGTGGCTGCGCCTCTGGGACTTGAAACCAACAGCACGAACGGTATCCACTCCAGATGCAACCCACGGCAACTCAGCTTCGGTCCGCCCTTGTCCGCCTACTAACATGGTCCGTAGCTGATGGCCGTCTATTTCTGTCAACGCAGCTGGCTTGGCGACTTCGTCAAGTGACTTCGACAAGGATGGATGACTAAGGGACATAGATCCTCGGGGCTTTCTCTGAGTAATGCTTTCCCTGCGCAACTCGCCAGTTGTGCACTCGGTAGATGATTGTTTGAAGAATGGCAAATGCCATGCCCACAGCCACCATGATGATCTGGATTCTCAGGCCATTCGAGTAGCTATGGAAATTTCGTAATAAGTATTTGTTTGGGAGACGAAACTTTTGGGAGAAACACCTACAATGGAACATCGTTGCCTCTGTAGTACTGCGTACCGACCATGAGACCGGAGATGGACAGCATAACCCACATACTAAAAGTTACATCAGCAGAATGAACGACTACAGAAGTGTTATGAGAAAGGCGGGTAAAGGGTAGGGCGTACGCAATACTGATGCTTCGCTCTCCTGGCTCGCGACAATTCAATTGCACCCACGAGTTGTTGACAGGATGGTACCCGACCGCGAAGGCATTCACCGCCGTCCAAAGCCCCCAGCGAGACCACTTCCCCACGTGCGGGTGCACGCTGCGGGTGACAATAAGTGTGATCAAGAAGCACAATTGGGCCGCAATGACGGAGAGGCCTCGCTGGTTAGTGCGGTCGCTGATGTACGCAAAGCAAAACACCACGCCAAGAGCAAGAAACGCCCCAACAGCCGCGAGAGCGTTAGCTTGTATACGATTGAATCCAAGATTCCTTACTTGGTGTTAGTACCTCTATGTCTGCGTTCAAGCAAACCTGGCGGTCTTGACGTACATGATGATAGTTGGTGTGTAGGTGGTAAGCGGACTCCAAGTAGAAAAGACGCAGAAACTGCTGAGAAAGTGAAACCACCGCCGCCAATGCGAAACGGTTTTCCAAACAAGGCTAAGCGGTATGTGCATCCCCTGGGAGCCGTGACGCCTTTCCGAGTCGTCCAGCTCCAGTCTCTTTTGTAAAATAGCTCTCTCTGGCCCCTTGAAGCGAACGAGTCCTGGGCTGAGCAGCGGGTCCGGCTGGTCCGGCGAACCTGGTAGGAGTAACAGCAGTGCGATGCCAACAACAACCGTAGCGACCCCTTCAACTTTATGAACAAGTCAGTTGTTAATTTGTTCGTGCAGAAAGTCGAGAACGTGGACGTACTGAGAAAGAGCCACTGCCAGCCTCTCATGCCTTGGGCTCCATCCAGTTTAAGAATACCAGAAGCCAGTACAGGACTTATAGCGTTCCCGCTGAACATGCCAAAAAAGAAAATGGCAACCCTCTTCGACAGCTCCCTCTTGGTATACCATGTTGACAAGGTGTAGCATGCTCCCGGAATGTAGCCCGCCTCTGCCAGGCCGAGAATTATGCGGGAAGCTAGAAATCCCTCTCTGTCACGAAGGAATACCTGCATGCTGGCGACAAAGCCGAAAGTTATAACTTGACCGGAGATGTATTTTCGGGGGCCGATCTATGGGGATACAGTCAGTAGGCTCGAGATTCTCCTTGTGCAAGTTGAGCCACAGACCTTTTGAAGCAGCATATTGGACGGAATTTCCAAGATGACGATGCCAAGGAACATGAGCTGGTTTCCCAAGTTGATCGTGTCTTGCGAGACATGAATATCAGCCGCGAATCCGCCGGTAAGAGCACTAGCAAGGTTCATCCTATCCAGCTGGAAAAAGAGCAACCCCAGATAGAGAAGCGGAAGGACCGAGAAATCGATTCTTTAGTGCGATGTTAGCCACGCCGGCTCCGACACAGTGCACCTCAACTAGTTTCACTTACTTTCTCCTGGCCTTGAGCTCATCTTGAAAACTCCATTCTCGTTCAGGCGAAGATGACTCGGAATCTGGTGGGTCGACATATGAGTTGAATCCTGAGCCTTCTTGCTTTGAAAGGGCCATCTTGCCGGCTACGATCGTTGTGTTGAGGCATTGAAAAGGGAATCTCACAAAGTCCCACAGACGACACAGGAGAATAGATATCAGAAAACTCTTTCATTGTGTCATTTCACATGATGAATAGTACCTTTGGGTATCTACCATGTTGTTACTCCACTCTTCTGTCCAGAACAGTTCTTGGCGTGGATCTTAACCACCAGTTTGGACAATTGCGCCATATTGCACCATCAAGCTACCCTGGGAATAAAAGATATTTCGCGATCCTACAATCTTGTAATTAGCTAGACTGGTATTGGTCAATGTAATGATATTACCAGCTCGGCATTCGGCCGGACGGATAGGTGCTCACTACTGCTCACTGAAGATAAATGCTCGATCCGTCGACGGTGCTGGATATTCTACCCTTTATCTCTTGCGGATCTTTTGGATTTGGATTGACGATGACTGTCGCAAAACGAGTTGCTGTGATTGGCGCAGGGCCAGCTGGGGCCATCGCCATCGACGCATTGGTTCGTGAGCAGGCCTTCGATGTCATCCGGGTGTTTGAGCGCCGTGAAGCTGCCGGGGGATGCTGGTAAGCCACGAAACCCTGAAACTGAAATTATTTACGAGTCCAATCAGAGCTGACTGTGTGATTATGTGCTCCCACAGGATCGGAGATAAGAATCCACCCCCAGAGCTGCAGAGATCTGAAATCACGGCCCTCAGCTCGAGGACCGCGGATCGGCCAGTCCCCATCCCGTCAACGCTTCCCGCGCAGACTGCCCGGACGAACGTGCCTCGGTATACCGAGTCCTCTATCTACCCATACCTGGAGACGAACATCGACTACCTGCCAATGGAGTTCACGCAAGAACCGTTCCCTACCGAGCAAAGCGAGTGGTCGGTCGCAACACACGGGCCCGACACACCTTTCCGGCACTGGTCGCTCGTCCGAAAGTATGTCCAGGATCTCGTGAGCAGGAATGGCTACCAGGATCTGGTTTCATACAGCACAACAGTCGAGAGGGCAGAGAAGATTGGCAACCAGTGGAAACTCACCTTGCGTAAGGGAGGGAAGCGCACCGACTACTGGTGGGTGGAGTGGTTTGATGCCGTCGTCGTAGCGAGCGGGCACTACTCCGTCCCGTATTTCCCTAGTATTGACGGCCTGGCTGAGCTTGCGGAGAAACACCCTGGGAGCGTGATTCACAGCAAGCATTTCAGGGGCAGTGAGGCCTATGTAGGCAAGGTAAGTTAATGAGCCCTCGTTGAGCCCATGGCTCGCCAGAAAACGTCTCTCTTACTAATGGCCCTCGACCACACAGAAGGTAGTGGTGGTAGGAGCGTCCGTGTCGGCCGCCGATATAGCCTACGATCTCGCCACGACTGCACAAAGTCCAGTACACGCCGTCATGGTCGGACACCAGTTCAACGGATACTTTGGCGGCGACGCATTTGACCACCCACGCATTTCCAAAAAGCCGTCGATCACACGGGTCCAGCCGGACACACGCACCGTACACTTTGCCGACGGCACCTTGGTCGCCGGCGTGGATGCACTCATATTCGGGACAGGCTACTCGTGGACCTTGCCCTTCCTCCCTTCGGTCGAAGTCAGGAACAATCGCATTCCGAAGCTCTATCAACACGTTGTCTATCAGCCAGATCCAAGCTTGGTGTTTGTCGGTGCTGTTGGCGCGGGCTTAACCTTCAAGGTCTTTGAGTGGCAGGCTGTTTTGGCTGCCCGGGTCCTAGCCGGCCGTGCCTCTCTGCCATCTTCAGAAGCGCAGGCCAAGTGGGAAGAGGATCGCATCAAGGCGAGAGGCGACGGGGCAAAGTTTACGCTCGTGTTCCCTGACTTCAAGGAATACTTTGATACGCTACGGAAGCTAGCTGGCCCGACAACGGACGGTAGAGGTCGAGACTTGCCGCCATTTGACGATCTCTGGTTTGAGAGGTTCATGGCCGGGCACGAAAGGCGAAAGCAGATGTGGAGAAGGCTGAATGCCGAGGCACAAGGGCGAGGACTGGTCGCTACTGACGCCGCCGTCAAAGTCAGGGCCATGTTGTGATAGCCATTAGGTATCATTGGTGCTTTGAGGATACTGCGCCTCGAACCAGGAAGTAAAGAGCAGTGTTATTTAGATATCTTAATGGTACATGTTCGAGGGATGGGAAGCTTCGAAAAGAATGCCGAAGTAAGACTTGTGTCAGCCAGGCAGAATCTCCAAAGTTTGTCTTTTGGCTGCACTGGTCAACCAGACGACATGTTGGACGATGTAATTGCCAATGAGTCTTGACTGCGAGAGCTCCAGGCCCAAGCGTCAGTGTGGAGTTCATTGCCATTCCCAACCGTGATTTCTTAAAGCATCCTTGATGAACTGGACCCCGTGACCGAAAGCCCAGTCCTTCTTGGTCTGGGGGGTTACGCTGGATGGCACTGAGGCATTCAGTCATGAAATCTTCGTCTCGTGATCTTGAGAGTGCATCTTACATTCAAGATAACCGTGGAACCCTTTCTCGTCATACAACACTTCGAGTCTCCGTCGAGATTGTTCTGGATCCCGGGCCGCGTCCTCCTTCAGTCGTTCGATGAAAGTCGTCTGCTCATGGACTAGGATATCAATCCCTGGGACGACAAGAAGTATATTCTCGGGCAGGTCCTCCAGCTTGCCGAGAATCGGACTCATCCTAGGGTTGAGCATATTTTCTCCCCTTACCGGCCCAGCATACGAGTCATAGAGGGGATACAGGAAGGCGAAAGGGTCCTTTGCCGGAAACCCCTCCGGCTTCGGTTTGTCCTGCGGCGCCAGGCGGAGATCCATGACCCCGTAGAACGCGACAGCGGCCTTCACCTTCCCGGGCACCGACAGCGACGTGGCCAGCGATAGGTTCCCGCCGGCCGAGAAGCCGCTTACGGTCATGAGCGAGGGGTCTGCGCCGTATCGGTCCGCGGCGTGTTCTTGCAAGTACGCGACCACAGCGTCGATGTCGTCGATGGCTGCGGGAAATCGGTGCCTCGGCGCGTAGCGATAGGTTGACGAGATGACGACGGCGCCGGTATCGCGGGCGATCCAGTTGCAAAATTCGGCATCGCCTTCCGGGAGACCGCCGACGAAAGCGCCGCCGTGGACATGCAGGTGGAGGGGCCGAAGGCGGGACTCACCGCCGGCGGGAGACCGGGACTTGAAGACTAGGACGCGGATGGAGAGATCGGGTGATATGGGCAGCCACTCCACATTGAACGGGCGGGAGAGGAGATATGGAGTCGCGGCAATGGCGTATGTGATCAGCGACAGGGGCTGCAGGGCCAGGAGGCGCCACCGGTAGGACCATGGCAAGTCCCAGCAGAAGATGGCATCTATTGCTGGGCGGAACCAGCTGTAGATTGCCCTAGAGATGCCATGTATCATCGTGATGGTTTGGGAACCTTCTTCAGCGACGCAGGATGGCAGGGCGAATGATGTCCAGAAATCGCGCCAGCCCAACCCACCAAAGCAAAACGGCAATCCGGTTCCTATTCGTATTTCGTATTCTGTGGGCCGTGGCTCTCACCAGCCTCAACAAGAGCGCAATCTCGTGGCCCAATAGCACAGGCACAAAAGGAGACTCAACACAACCCTTAGACGAGAGGTGGACATTTCTCCTCTTGATGCCATTCATTCTCGAACTTGCAATGCAAAATTAGCCCGGGGCAGTTCGTGGAGCCAAGCATTCAAAATGACCATCTTCTGTTCTTCATCAAAAGCCTGCCGTTGCTCTACGGCCCAATACTTACCCCGCGCTTACCCGCTGATCATGGGAGCTGAAAGGCCATGTAAGTCAGCTCGTCCGTGATAGGGGCACTTATGCAGATCCCCCTGGCTGGGCCGGCTTCGAAGCCTCCTTCACCCAAGTCCAGACCAAGCTTCTTGCCTTGGCATATGATGAACCCTGTTCGTTGAGCGGCTGAATGTGGTATTTAAAATATTCGGTCATTCCCTCACTCCTTTCTGCGCTGAATTTCTAAAGGAGTTAAGAAGAAAACTGTCATATATGTACTTCTTCCGACCCCATCGTTCTCCTGTCTCTCTTGATCTTTGATGCGAAACTCTTGGACCTGGACCAATTTGCAGTCCAATCAACACCGCCTTCTCCGAAAGACTTCATTAATTTACCGCACATCAAGCTGCAATAGCGGTCAAACTGTACGCGCCTAGAGGCAGCAAACGGATATCATGACGGAACGAACAAGCACCTTCGGGAAAGTTGCGGCTATCTTGGACATATTCGTCAAGCTAGCTGCCGTCGGTGCGCTGTACGGGATTCTTGTCATTCTGCATCTACTCTTGAACGAATGGCGCCGTATGAATGGCAATAATTTCCATTGGGATATTCATGTACTAGACACTGTCAATGTCCGAGCCGTGACCTGAGCTATTCCAGGAGAGGCTATTGGGGTGGTTTTGGCTTCGCAGGGGGGAAATACACGAGGTGTGTTATCTTTTCCATTGACGACGAGGCATGGGCGCTGACCCTTGTAAGGTGGGTGAGAGCCAATGGTGATGGGTAGCCATTGGTAAGGCGGAGTCAAGGACCGATGAGCTGTAGACCTTTGGATGGGTGCGCAGCTTGATTACACCTCATCGGCAACTTCACGTGTTTACTTCAAATAATAGTCGGTGGCTTCGGCTTCGTTCAGTGACCATCCCAACTCTTGTTGGCTTTCAGCTCTGCCTTTTCAATCTGCTATGACACTCCCGCTGTCGTACTCAACGCAGATGGGGCGACGGTTTTTCACGAGGTGTAGGTAATACAGTGGCCGGATCCTGTCCGAAGTTGAGCTTGGGTCTGGACGTAAGGCAAGGACGCACCCCGGCTATTGACTCTAGGATTTTTGATCGCAGTATTATGCTTCAGCTTATGCAATGATAAATGTCTCATAGCTACATGTCCCCCACATGCATGAACCGTGTCAGCCGCAGCTCTTCAACAGGTACACGTAGAAGACCAGAGTTTCGAGGTTGAGTCTTTGCTTGAGGGCACGTCGATCGACGGATTCTCAGTAAAGAAATCAGCCGGCACCAAGCTAAGTTGCAAGATTTCGACAGGCCTATCGCAAGGAATCTCGAGTTAGCCAACGTGTTTGGTTCGCAAATGCGGGCTCAAGCGGAGACAACTTACATTACTGGCCAGTCCTCGACTCGGGGGTTGTGAGTCAGTCCATATACAGGCCAGAGCACCAGATCCTCGTCCTCGACGTTGTCGTAGCGGAACACCGCATCAGCAACGCCGCCAATCTCTGCTTTACCCTGCATGGGATACCTTCCACCAGCGTAGTGCTCATCCTCTTCGTACTTGGTCACCCACAGGTGGTGGTGCGCAAACTCGGCTCTCTTGGACTGCACACTGTTCGGGTCGGCGAGGAGCAACTGCGTGGCAGGCATGACCAGCTTGTAGCCGACTGGTTTCTTTGATATAGGGTTGATCTTGGAGCGGTTCTGGATCTTGAACGTGCGGTTCTTCTCGGGCGCCAGGTCGATACCAGTTGAAGTCTTGACCACCGTCTGCTTGACTTCGTAATAATTACCACGAGGATTTGTCCTAGCATTCATCGGAACGGGCGTGCTCTCTTCGTAGATGACCGTATTTGAGTGCCCGTCGATAGCTGGATCAATCCTTGCCACAAAGACGTGCTGGTGGTTCTGGGCCAATGCTCCGGGGCTGACGATGTTACCCCAGGGGGCTGTCTTGTCAGGGTCGATATTGACAACAGACACGATGCCGGTAGCGCGGGTCTCAAGGGTAATACCCGCTGACTGGTCGAATTTGAAGTTGAAGATGTACTCGTAGTTGGCCAGGGTGATGATGTACTGAACCACAAGCTCACGTCGCCGAGTGACGACAGCACGACCGGTCCTCCAGTCTGTGTGCTTCCAGCCGATACCATTGTCTTGTTCATGAAGGCAAATGACGTTCTTGCTCTCTGTGACGTCGCCATTGGGCTCGGTCAGAAGGCCATCGAAATACTTCCCGAGGTTAGCACTCGTCACAAACCGTGAGTTCAAAGCAGCAGGGTGCACTGCATTACCTTGATAAGACCCAGGCAGTCACAGCCGAGGGCAAGGTTGTTGACCGCATGGCCGAGTGCACCGTCTCCAAAATCGAAAGCCTGCTTTCGCTGGTATGGTGAACGCGGATCTGCGTAAGGTACAGTCTGAAGGTGGAAAAGACAACGGAGTCAGCAAGATTACACAGGTTTGGCAGGCCATACCACTATGAAACACTTACCATGTCGCTCATGCTGAGTCTGTAGACGACGCTGCGTCCGTCATATCGGATATCATGTAGCACAGCTCCTTCCCTTGGGTTGAAGGTGAGGCGCATCGTCCACTTCTGCCACTCGATGCGGTTGCCGTCAACAACTGAGAAACTGGCGCCCTCAGGCTGAACCACCGCAAGGGGCTTCAGATCGTCCCTGATGCCTTGCGGCAACTTCTCAGGCACGTACTCTGCAGGCTTGCAGTGGTCGATGATGTTCTCGGAGCAGGTCTTCGCATCCAGAGGGTCGTCTCCACCGCCCGTGGCGACTTCCAATACACGGACAATCTCCTTTGTCTGGGCATCCATGATGGGGATCAATGGGATGGGATATGCGTAGAAGTTGGAGTCCTTCCCGCCAACCTTCCTGTTGACGGCGTACACGATGCCCTGGAACAGGCGTCTGCCGTCATCGTTGGGATCAGCAGCTCCGTACGGCCACGGCTCAACCACGGCTTCGAAGCCTTCCGGGAGCTTAAATTCCGCAATCTTGGATTTGAAGAGGTCCGACCTCTCGCACGCAAGTGGAACCTCCCGAATCTCGTCACTTTCAGAGTGGGGCAGTGTCAGCAAGTTGCAATCCCGACTAAAGGGTACCGGAGAGTTGATGTTCACTCCACGAGAAAGCTTACATGATCAACGACGCGTGCTGTCCAGGCAAGGTCGTCCTGGTGGAGACAACCTTCTTCGTCTTGAGGTCGACGACCGACTCGGCAAACTTTGCGGGAGCATCACGCTCGGCAACATCAAACCAGACTTGGGCCAAGCGTGGAGGTCGCGGAGTCGCATCGGTGACCTTCCCCGCATGCTCGAGCTCGAGGAATGCGCTCACCTGCGCCTTGGGGGGCTCGTACAGGAAGATCTGCCGAAAGACGATGACGGACCCCGGGTTGAGCGAGCGAACCACGTCGCGCGCGATCGCCGACTCCTCGATCGAGAGAGCGGACAGGGGATGAGGTTGCGGCGCCATCACAATAACGTTACACGTGCAAGAGATGGGTAATGTGAGGGCTGGTAGACATCAAGTCGTTTCTTGTGCAAGTACTTCGACATGAAGGCCCCAAGAAGGCATTCAGATATCATACATATGCATTTCATGTCACCTCAACACGAGACGAGACGAGGCTTACGTAAAATGCGGAGTGGTCCCTATCTACACCCGCACGGGGGCATTTCGGAATGTGCATGACAGGACGTGCGGGTGGAGCACTCGCTTCCGGTCGACGTTCCGCGCTGGTGGTACGACCCGCGACGCGGGGATGGCCTCGTACGAGCACGAGGATGAAGCACTATCTGTTCCTGATACGGGTGGGGACAAACTTGACACTTAGTCACCGCACTCACTGGGTGCGATAAGCACACGAACGAGTCATTACATGAGTGCTCTGGACCAGTACTATTGTGACGTGAACGTAGTCTTCTTATCCGGCGATACTGAACAGCTGCCCTTATCCCTGCATCAGGTTGAACTTGACAGACTTGACGCTTGTCCACTCCTCCAGCCCGTCCTTGCCCATCTCGCGCCCGAAGCCGCTCTCCTTGATGCCGCCGAACGGCGTGTTGGCATTGACTGTCCCCCACATATTCACCGTCACCTGGCCCGACTCAATGGCGCCCGTGACGCGGAAGGCCCGGTTGATGTCCTTGGTGAAGACCGCCGCGCTGAGGCCGTACGTAGTATCATTGGCCTTGGCGATGACCTCCTCCTCTGTCTTGAACGGCGCGATGCTCGCGAACGGGCCGAAGATCTCCTGCTGCATGATCGGGGCAGACTGGCTAACGTCGCTGAACGCCGTGTTTGCGACAAAGTGGCCGGCGCCCTCGAGAGCCTTCCCTCCGTGCAGGAGGGTTGCTCCGGAGCTCTTACCCTTGTCGACGAAGGACAGGATCCGCTCGCGTTGGACAGCACTGATGACCGGGCCCTTGGTCGTCTCGGGCAGCAGCGGATCTCCGTGGACGGCATTGGCCGACCGGGCGCTGAATTCCTTGACAAACTTGTCGTAGATTGTATCCTGGACGTAGATGCGACTTCCGGCAATGCAGATCTGGCCATTGTTGACGCTGATGCCCAGGCCGGTCCAGAACAAGGCGTTGTCGAAGTCGGCATCGTCAAACACGATCGAGGCACCCTTGCCACCCAGCTCGAGGGTCACTCGCTTCAGGTTCGACTTGGCGGAGGAGATGAGGACCTGCTTGCCGACGGCCGAGCTGCCGGTGAACGAGATCTTTCGGACATCCATGTGCGCCGAAAGGGCAGCGCCGGCGACAGTGCCGAGACCGCAAAGGATGTTGACGACGCCGGGTGGGAATCCCGCCTTGACGATGAGCTCGGCCAACTTCTGGCCAAACAGAGGGCAGAGCTCCGGGGTCTTGATGACGATGGTGTTTCCTGCGGCGATCGCAGGCGCCAGCTTCCAGATCGTGATCATACTGCCGTAAATCATGCGATTAGTAGGTGTCCGAGAGCGGGGTGCTTCAGTTTGCGACGTACAGAGGTGAGTTCCAGGGCACAATCGCGGCGCAGACGCCAATTGGCTCGCGGTGTGTGATTGCCATCCCTTCCTGGATCTTAAGTGTCTCGCCGTCGACCTTGTCCGCCCAGCCGGCAAAGTACCTCAGGTTCTCGACACTCTGCGGGATGTGCAGTCCCGTGGAGTCGCGGTAGAGGATGCCCGCATCCAGGGACTCCAGCGACGCGATCTCGGGGGCATGCTCCTCGATGAGGTCTGCCAGCTTGATGAGGAGACCCCGTCTGACACCCGGTGCTGCGTCTTTCCACGTAGAGTACGCCTTCTTGGAAGACGCTACGGCTTTGTCCACATCCTCTACCTGAGCTGCCGAGACCGTCGCAAGGTGCTTGCAGGTCGAGGGGTTCTCGAGGTCGATCGTTGCATTGCCGGTGGCCGGCACGAACTCGTTGTCTATGAACAAGCCAGTAGGCACTGTTCGTGTATTCGCGTTAGCTTGATTCCATCACCGTTCTGCCAAACATAACGAGCTGCAGTAGGAGAGGCTTAAGCAGTACTCACCAGTAACAGAGCGGTTTTCCGCTCCAGTGAGAGTGACTGTCGAAGCCATGATGCTGTTGAGGTTGGTCGTGAGGTCAACAAATGTCCTAAAATGATGCTAAACGATAACAATCTTTGGGGCTTATCGTGGCATGAATCGAATCTGGTGGAGTACGGCAGTAGAGGGGTAGTTGGAGATATGGGAATGCGTTGCCTGACTAGATGAAGCCGCTTGTTTGCGCGACCCGTGTGATTGGTCGCTATTCATATCAATCTCAAGGGTTCGCGGAAGATCGTCATTTTTCATGGATGACTAAAGGTACGATCTATGCTCGCAGGACCCTTATGCCGTATTCCGTACTGGTTCCGGGCTTCCGATAAGCTGGTCTGCACTACTCTGCCCGCAAATGCTTGTTTTTCGGCCCAAACATCAAAGGCTGATACACACCCAAAACGAAACATGTTAGGTAAGGGTGGTAGTTTGAATGGAACCAAGAATGTCTTTGCTCGAAGGTATTCGCCATGTTGGTTGAGAAGCCGGTGATAGGTACACCTCGATGGATCACATTACATAGATTTTGGTTTGACACTGGGTCATTTGAAAGCTGAGGTCTTATATTCGTAAACAAACAAGATTTGACCTTGCGTTCCTCATGAACCCTTATCAAGGATCTTCCAGGGTCTTGGCCAGGTTCCTTCTTTCATATCAAACGGGCTCCTTGCCTCAGCCCGACGCCTCCCTGATCTTGTAGGTGAACATTTCATTGGACTCGATCGAGTCCTTGTCTTCCAACTTCAGCGCAGCCTCCCTGCCAGCAGCGGGAACGCGGTACTCCAAGTGAGCACCGGGTCCGGGTAGCTTCCCGTCCGGAAGGGCATGCGGGTAAGGCAAGTAATCTGGGAGCAGGCCGAGCTGCTTCAAGACTGTTCCCTGGTCCCACCAGATGTGCTCATGGTAGAGGCGATCACCACGGACGTTGACCACGGCGTTCATGGGGATCTCAAGCTTCCTTCCCGTAGCAGGAATGCCAGGAGCGCTGCGCGCAGAAAGAGCATTGGTCAGGGTCTTCTGCATCAATGAGTATGGGAGCTGATTCACTTACAGCCAGTCGATCTGTGAGTTATGCGTGCATTTGAAGAGATATTCGTCAATAACTCTGTCAATTCCCATAGACCGGCTGATGAGCACGGTCTCGATATCTTGGGGGTTGGAAAAGATGAAGTGGTCACGGTAGAACACGGTCAGTCTGGCCCGCCCAATACCCCCGGTGAGCTACAGATGAATGGGTCAGCACATCACCTCCCTCTAAGCCCTATTACACAATGGGTGGGCAGGAAGGTCTCAATTAGAGTAAAGAAATAGGGAAAAGCTTACAGTTGGGACGTGATTCACGTATGGCTCCTGAACCATTGTTCCCATGGTGCACTCGAGGGAGCGGTTCTCAAACTCATAGTACGTGTGCTCATCCCAGAGTGCCTCAAGGTCAAAGTAAGGTCCATTCAGGAGCTTCTTGAAGAATGTCAGGTTTCTGGTATGAGAGATACCCTCTGCGGGATAGTCGAAGTTGGCATGGAAGGGGATAGCGAAAGCAGGATGCGACACAGTGGGATAGTCGTATGCCGTCAGGTCTTGTGTCCGGGAGAGGAGTGCGGTCGCTTTGCCCGCAAGATGCTGTACAAGTGGAACCGGCGATGCAGCAAGTGATTGAGCATTAGCCAAGTCACCATATACTGCTGCTCCCTTGATCTCAGGGAACGAGGCCAACGTTCCTGCAACGCGGTTCCAGCCTTGTGGGGTGTAGGCTGGCTGTGTGTCAGCCTTGACGATCACTAAAGGGGACTATGCCGTAGGGAGCACAGGTGAATTGGAACACACCAATCAACACAACGCCGCTGTTAGCAGGCTTGGTGGCGTCCGATGCGGCGATCGCACCGAGAGCCAGTCCAATGGGATTCTGCGAACTCTCAAGGGTACTCTCGACAATCTCGACGACGACGAAGCTCTCCTCAGCCCACTTCATCATGGGTGAGGGGACGCCATCTTGAACTGCCAAGGCATTGGGGCCAGCGACCCCGGTGGATGGCACAATGACGATGAGTCCAGGGCCATAGCCTCTGCGAGACAAGGGCCTGGATAGAGTCACCCCGGGAGCTATCTGCTGCAGGGAGGTCTCCGGGAGGAAGGGCAGCTTTGCATACTTGCTCTGCATTGTGAAATGTGGGTTGTGCAAGGCGGAATTGGTGCAAGTTGGAAAAAAAATAATTATGTTAAGCTAGTCGTGTCAAATTCTTTGATAAATTGAGTCCCTGAAGCCCATGCCTGAACGAACAAGCGCTCGCGTTGACCACTTGTAGACTCAGCCATCTCACCTTGCGGGCTCCCGGCGCTGGTGCATCGTGTCCTCCTCTCGGACGTTGAGGAAAGCGTCGTTCGATTGTGGCTTTCCTGAGCTGCTCGCGTTAGCCCATTTCGGGGAACATTTTCCATCGATAGCCATACAGGTTTGGTGGTTTCGATGCCTCGAAGGGGCTGCAGGGATCGGTATCCACTGCTGTACTTGGAACCGGAATAGGAATCGGAATAGGAATTCGGAACCTAAAAGAGGGATGGATCGGCGCCCACCCTCCAATCAACGGCACCGGTACGTACAAAGACGGCTAGACATTTGGAGTGGGAACATGCAGCGAGCGAGGCAAGACTGGCTCAGCAAGGGTCACTGATTGGCACACCACGTCAGCGTATCATCATGTCCTCCAGACCTCCTGCGAGTTGTTGCACCCAGGGCTTCAAGCATGAGTAGGTGTTCTTCTCCTGAGGCTCTCGACTTGAGTTGTGTTGTGATCACTTTTTGCCTGTGATCCTGTTCACACGATGGAGCAACTTTCAACACCTACTAACTTCAACTGTGATAAAGAGGAGAGCCCACAGGTGTGATTATCAAGATTCAGGACAAATGGACCGCATATGTTGCCGCAGCCGAGGGCAAGCAAAAGAGGGATGGTGTCGGTATTCTGCTCGTCCCAGATGTGATGAGCATCAGTAACAATGTCAAATTGCTTGCTGACGAGTTTGCCTCCCATGGGTTCACCTGCATGGCACTCGACATCTTCAACGGCGACGCCCTGACACTGAACGACCTCATCTCGGGAAGAGATGTCGCCAAGTGGCTCCGGGAGGGCTCTGATGGGCACAACCCCCATACACCAGAAGTCATTGACCCTATTGTCTCGGCGGCGATCGAGACTCTGAGGACCGATTATGGAGCTTCTAAGATCGCATCCGCCGGTTACTGCCTTGGGGCCAAGGTAGGCACCCCTTTCCAGTGTTTGGGCTTGAGAACAAACCTCTAATCTGGTATTTTGATCTAATTTAGTACACGATCCGGTTTTTGAAATCGAGTATCGACATTGGCTATGTCGCCCACCCAAGCAACGTCAGCGATGAGGAGCTGGCGGCAATCAACGGTCCGCTTTCCATCGCGGCGGCCGAGAAAGACCACATTTTCCAAGTCGAGGATCGCCATCGCTCGGAAGCGATCCTGTCCGAGACTGGGAAGCCTTTCCAAATATTTCTGTACTCCGGCACGGCTCACGGCTTTGCAGTGCGGGGGAACATGAAGGACAAGAGCGACAGGGAGAATAAGGAGCAGGCACTGGAACAAGCAGTCGCTTGGTTCGACCGGTTTCTATGATCCAGGCGTACGTAGTCATATAAGATAAACATTAAGGTTAAAACAGAAGGTACACTGTCCACGTACTGTATGTCAAGGATTTGACGCCAGGGGCTGAAGGAAACGAGGCTTGCACTAATATGGGTTTCAACGCTTGTCAGATCCACGCCCGGGATGAGCGTGCACGGAGGCAGGCCTGAAACGGGTGCACGTGCGAGAGAGACTGATACCAGCCGGGGATATACGGAGCAGTGTGCGTTACCAAGAAAAAAATGGCAGCAAACTCAACTCCGCTCCCAGAAAGAAGTTTTGGGCTCGAGCTAGAAAAGTATGTGCTGGGCGGCGTTGGGGTCAAGGGAGAGTTGCGTGTACACAAGAGACCTAGCCTGGTACCAAGCCTTTGGAGACTCACCTACAGTGAATGGATGGGGATGTTTTTGTAATGCGTGCGCACAGGACGCTCCAAAATCGCTGTTGAAATGCGGGGTAGAGGCGCTAAATGGTCGCTAGACTGCGCCTCGAGGGTCTCTCTTATCTCTGGCTTGCCCTGGAAGCGCGCCGTCTGGACATCCAGGATGGGTCGGTCGGGTGGCCACGCCGCTGGTCTTTCGTCCTAGTGGGAGAGGTAGTGGGAGTGGACCCGGCTGTCACTATCTCTGCCCTCCTCCCACCTCCAACTCGATGCATCCATCCTTGGCTGTCCTCGCGACTTATCAAAGGGGGGGAGCCGGTATAAGGGTAGCCACCCCTACATCTTGTCTGCCGGGCGATCTCTTTGCATTCATCCCACCACCTCGTACTTCACGGCCAAGAGACCACTGTGTAGACATCTGAACAGCCGTATCCAGACCTTGCATTTGCACTCATCTGCCGTGGGCGTCGTCCACCTGCGAATGCGCTCTTCTCGGCACTATGGCCGAGACACAGTCCATGATGCTTCAGCGGGGAGAGAAGCGGCCGTCTCAACAGCAGGCGACTCATGAAGTCTGCAAGAGACGCGCTCCCTACGCTCCCCGAGCCTGCGACGCATGCCGCCGGCGAAAAGGCCGGTGCGACGGCCGCCGACCGTGCGAGCATTGCGCCGGACGGTCATTGGAGTGCCGCTACTCGTCACCAGGGAATGGCGACGACAGACGGTCCAATGCGTCTGCGTCTGGGCCGACACTGGGCTCGGGCTCCGGCAACACGGGGACCGTAAACCAGCAGCAAGCGCAGCTCCAGTTCCTCGAACAGCTTCGCAACCAGTGCCTGGACACGGGACCCGGTCCGATGTCGAGTGCTGACAACAACGCCCTGACGTCGCTCGGGAGTCTTGTCTTTTCGCTCCAGGACCAGCTCGCGACACTCACCTCATTCATCAAGAATCAAAATCCCACTTCCGACGTCGGCAGCAAGCAGGATACACAGGCTACCCCGCCGAGCCACAGCCAAGGTTCCCGGACCGCCTTCGACGCGCTGCCGGCCCAGTCCGTCGAGCCACCCACGTGTGCGGATGCCGCGGGCTCTGTGCCGACGGCCAACTCCGCCCTCAAACGCTCGAGCTGTCCCTTCTATGGCCCGACAAGCCCGGAGTACAGCTTCAATGCTGCCAGGATCACAATGTCGCGCGATCAGCACCCAAGCTCGACATCTCGCCAACGACAACCCCCGAGCCTGAGCGACGAATTGAGCGACAACGATGACGACGACGACCAATGCAGCACCCTTGTCAACGACAACGATAAACTCAGCCCTACCGATAAAATGACCGGAATGTCTCCCTTTAGGCTGTCTCCTGGCTTGTTGCTATTCTCCAACGTGCTATCCAAAAAGGAGGCCGGGCGACTGCTCGGAGTCTACCAGGAGATCATCGGCAGCCTCCATCCCATCTGCGACATCCAGCGAATGGCGAAGCAGCTCGACCGCTGGTACGGATGGTCACTGATCAACGACGCTGGAAGAACGGCAGGACCGCTGACTCGCGACGAGCTCGTGCGTGAAGCGGATGAGCTGCTTGTCCTGGGCCTGGCCCTGGCCATCGCGTTGAGCGCCGAGTCGGTGTCCCGGTCAGGTCTGGCCCGGGAGCTCTACGACGGATTCAGGGAGGCAGCTATGGCAAAGACCTTCAGTCCTGTACCAACGGAAAGGGATGTGTCGATCACGTTGATGCTGGTGAGTTGTGGTTTCTTTCTCCCTACCCTTTGGCCAGCACACTGACATTTCTCCGGCAGGGGTTCTACGAATACTTCAACGGCCGACTGCAGCCGGCATGGCGGATGTGCGGTTTGGCGGGCCGCATGGCGATGGAGCTGGGCATGCACAGTCGAGAAATATCACAGCAGATGGAGAGCGAAGGCCGGTACTCGGAGCTCGCCACCTTGACTTGCAGTCTCCTGATCCTGGACCGACAATGGAGCGCTGCGGCCGGCCTGCCGTCGAATTTCCAGGTGACGGATTTCGATTCAGCTCAGCCCGGTGCCGTATGTTTTCCACTTCCCCCACCAAGAAGAAGCTTGGTGCTGACTTGCTCGTCCCGACAGACTCAGAATCCCTACCTCAAAGCAATGATGCAGTTTACACTCATGAGCCACAAGTTCAACGAACCCATCTCGCGGGTTGCTCAAGGCGAGAGCTGCCAGGACGACGACGCCTTTGAGATTACTGTCTGCCACATCGAACAATGGAGAAGGAAAACGCTCGACAACCAAGACTTCAGCCATGCACTGGTCTGGCAGAAGGCACCCTCCACCCGACCCCCTTCCTGGACTACCATGCTCTACCTTCGCGCCAACGCCGTGAGGGCTATTATTCTCAGGCCTTTCTTCCTGTCGTCACCGGCCTCCATCGCTTGCAAGAAGATAAAGCCGGCTCTAGAGCTCATCACGGACTCGGTAACCACGCTCTCCATCCTCGACAGCATGACCGACACGTATCGCAAGCAACACCCCCAGTTCCAGCACTTCCTTGCATCGTCATGTTCACTACTTGCCCTCGTGATCGCGTTCGAGGACCAACATCACACCGAGCTAAATAACAACGCAGACTTCCCCTCGGACTTTGCTACGACAGTACGGCAGATCTACGAGAAGTCGCTGGAGCTGTCGGCTACTTACCGCGAGCTATCGTGTGCTTCTCGGAAGCTGTGGAAGCGCCTCATCTCCATGAAGAGCCGAGTGGACAACCTTTCTCGGTCCGGCAACTCGCAAGAGAGTGGCAGCACAAATGGCGCCAGCAATGCTGAAACGAATGGTCAGGCCGCCTACAAGAACAACGCCGGCGGCTCTATCATGGGAAGCGGACTCGGCCTCGGTGACAACATGCTCCCGATTACTGGTAATGCCAGTCGATTTGTCTCAGATAACGACATCTCGACGTCGCAGCTTATGGGTATGAACGGCGAGACCCTCAAGGAAGCCGGGCAGAGCAGGCCGACATCTACACAACCGAATTCGGGCGTCGCGCTGCAAACCCACTTTGACGATTCACGCTACATGAACTGGACGGCGGTCTCCAAGACGACGGCTCCGGCGCGGGATAATATGGGGCTTTGCATGACGGACGTCGTGGACATCACTGGAGACGAATTCGCGGCGAGCAACCAGGATCTTGCCGAATGGTTTTCATTTGACTGGCCAATCTGCGACGGCACGACCTTCTTCTCAGAAGCTGGCCTGTAAGCGAGATTGTATCTGGGGACCCCGGAGTTTGACTGGTTCAACCTTCTCCTTCTGGCAGAGTTGTATTACATGTACATACATTCTTTTGATCGCTTGGTCAACAGTCTTCTAGCCTGTTCTATATCCATGGTAATCTTTCTGAACTGAATGCCCTTGTCCTGTGAGAACCTCTCCTCCGGAGCAGTCGGTAGAAGCGCTGCTTGGGGGACAACTGTCCTGTCTCCCCAGGATGGCCTTCCCCCACAACCTCCCTGGACTCGTTGCCCCCGTAGTCGCAGGGGTCCCGAGTGATCAGCGTCGATGCGGGGTACAGGCCCATGGGGTACTCCAGTCAGTAATTTGTCATGGCCACCAGCGTTGGGGAGGACCCCATGCCTCTCCTGCAGACTAAAGAAGTCCCCCCCGCTTGCTCCAATCCAATTAGTGTGCTTAGCGCGTGTGACGGTCTGAGGGGTTCCGGGGGTATATCGGAACAGGGGGAGATAAGGCCTCTTCCTCCACCAGCGACTCTGGAAGCGTTCGGGGATGCCGGGTGACGCAGAGGGCTCGGCAAGGGTGTGATGGGTGGCCTGAATCTGAAATGATCATATCCCGTAGAATGTGCAGCGTCGATTCAACCTTGATATTGATTCGATGATGAGACCGGACGTGATGGCACCTGTTATCTAGCGGCTATCTCCTAGGTATCTATACATGTGGTGCTGGCATCGGTACCTGTGATGCAACGGGAGCGTCGGGAGGGTACCACAACTAAGAGGATATCACGCACCCGGGCGATCACGACATCTGTTTGGACTTCCAATCGAAGCCGTCCCACCTTTCAAACCCGTCGGTGTGGATTCCAAACGAGTCCAGCATGCGGCCCACACTCTGCGTTATGATGTCGTCCAATGACTTGGGCCTCGTGTAGAACGCGGGGACGGGTGGGAAGATGACCGCCCCGGCCCGCCGGAGGTGCAGCATGTTGTCCAGGTGGACGTCGCTCAGCGGCGTCTCCCGGACCGCCAGCAGCAGCCGGCGGTCCTCCTTGAGGCACACGTCCGCGGCCCGGGAGATCAGGTCGTCGCAGTAGCCGGTCCGGACGGCGGCCAGGGTCTTCATGCTGCAGGGCACGACCAGCATGCCGTCGTGCACGAAGGAGCCGCTGGCGATGGGCGCCGACAGGTCCCGAGGCGAGTACGAGTGCGTCGCCAGCTGCCTGACGTCCGCGTCCAGCATCGGCGTCTCGTACTTGCCCGTCGCCAGCGCCCACTTGCTCATCACCACGTGCGTCTCGACGCCCAGCTCGCGGAGGATCTCGAGCAGGCGGATGGCGAAGACTGTCCCCGTGGCGCCGGTGACGCCCACCACGAGCCTCTTGGGGCGGCTCGGTGCATAAGTCGAGGATGGCGAGGAAGGTTCGGGGATAGCACCACTGTGCCCATGTGAAGAGAGGTATGGATTGTGTTTGCTGAATCGCGGTTTTGAGGATGAAGCGTTACGTCGTTGGTGGGAAAGTGATACTCGCGACACCATGGCCCAGGCCGGGGAGGAGAATCGCGACTCCCTGACAACCCTCACACCAGAAGCCGGCCGCCGCAAGCAATGAAATCGAGTTGCAGTATGGGCCATATTGTAAACCCGTTCATTACATTCTTTGAAAACTCAACTGCTGTTCTCTCAATGGGAGTCGCCCTTCTATCATCAACACTGGTAGGTTGTTGCCATTAGATCCTCATTGGTCTAGACTCGCGGTAGACCCATAAATCAGATGCACTCCACCCATTCCGCTGTTCCGGGGCCTCTCTTGTCTCTTTTCGGTATAACATTGTGATAGAAACAGTTCTTTATGTCAATGACGTATTTTAAATGTTGATGATGCTTTGTTGTCCTTGAACAAGGTGACACCGCGTTTCTGTTCTGTCAACCAGCGATCCATCAAAATTGTTCAGCAATGGCAACCCAGTCCACACAGGAACGACAAGCTGATGCCGCAGCTGTCAACGCCCAGCTTGACTTCCGTTCCTTTATAGACCTCCTCCGTCAGGATGGCGACCTGGCCGAGATCAACCAGGAGGTTGATCCGCATCTCGAGATCGGAGCTATCGTCAGGCGCGTGAGCGAAACCAACAACAAGGCACCTCTCTTTACCAACGTTAAAGGCTCCAAGAACGGGCTCTGGAGGGTCTTCGGCAACGCGGCGAGTCTACGAGGTCACGGCAAGGACAGGTTTGGGCGGGTCGCCCGGAACTTGGGCCTGCCCAGAGACGCATCGTGGCAGGAGATTTGCGCCAGGACACAAGCTGCCAAGCTCTGCAGCCCGCTTCCACCGAACGTCCTGACGACAGGACCGTGCAAGGAGAACAAGATTCTGGATCCGAAGCTGATTGACCTCCACGCGCTGCCGGCTCCACTACTCCACCAGGAAGACGGTGGCAAGTATATCCAGACCTACGGCGTTCATATCCTGCAGACACCAGACAAGACATGGACCAACTGGTCCATATTCCGAGGCATGATACACGACAAAAATCACATTGTAGCGCAGGTGAACCCTAGGCAGCACAACTATGTCGTTCGCGAGAAGTGGCGCGCGCTGGGCAAGACCGAGGTTCCGTGGGCGCTTGCGTTCGGAATCCCCCCAGCCGCAACTATAGCTGCGGCTATGCCTATCCCCGAGGGTGTGTCGGAAGGAGAATACGTGGGAGCGCTTGTTGGAAAGCCTCTGGACGTCGTCAAGTGTGAGCTGAGCGACTTGATGGTGCCCGCGAACAGCGAGATCGTCATGGAAGGCTTCATGTCTCTGAACGAGAAGGCTGCTGAGGGCCCTTTTGGAGACTACCTCGGCTACGCATTTGACGATGACCGTCGCCAGATGCCACTATTCCGAGTTGAAGCTATCACCTATAGAAACAACCCTATCTTTCCGGTTTCCGTTCCCGGACGAATTACTGACGAGTCTGTAAGTCTGGCCCTTATTCCTTTTGACAGACTCTAAGCCTTCAAACCTCGAACATTTCACTAACACGCCTATACAGCACACAACTGCGGCCCTGGCAGCAGCCGAGATACTCACCTTCTGCAAAGCTCACAACCTCCCCATCAGGGATGCATACGCACCCTTGGAGACCATGGCCACCTGGTGTGCCCTGCAAGTCGATGGTCCAAAGCTGCGAGCTCTCCAGACCACGTCGAGGGACTTTTGCACACAGTTAGGCAATCTCTTGTTTTCTCAAAAGTGCTCCATGCTCGTCAATCGGTTCCTCCTTGTCGGTGAGGACGTGGACATTTACAATTATACGGAGCTGACCTGGGCGTTCGTGACCCGCTGTCGCCCAGTACGGGACGACTACGCCTTTGACGACGCGCCCGCCCTGCCACTAACGCCTTATCAATCTCACGGGGGTGGCGATCCGACGCGGGGTGGAAAGACCATTTCGGATTGCCTTTTTCCTATGGAGTATCGAGATGGCCCGAACTTCCTTAAGGTCGACTTTGACACTTCGTACCCTCCTGAAGTCAAGGAAAAGGTGCTGCGGAATTGGGAAGCCTTCGGGTTCGACGGATGATATCCCCGGACTTGGTGAATCCAGACTCGCGCGAAGTCGAATGCTAAGGCTCAGCGTTTCCTATCTAGACCCAATCACATACTTGGAAACCTTTTTTGGTTAGATTTGAACTTGATAACGTTGTTCGATCTGAAAGGATTTGGCGGATTCTAATCATTATTTGGATTGTCGGGACGGTTCCTGACGTCGGAACAAGGAGGTGCATTTCTGTGCCGCATTCCGCCATCTTGGCGCCCAGTACATGTACCCCAGAGTTTCTTATCGCCATGTCTTGAATATTCCCTGATGGTTGCACGCGACCGGGGATATCACGGAGGCGGCCAGCCATTGACTTTCAGCTAAGTACGCTAAAAGTGGCGATCTTTAAAGAGAGACGTCTCCGCCAACCTTCAGAGGCAATCTATTCAGCAAACTGGGATTGGTTCTCATCAAAGACCTTGGTCCAAGCGTTCAAAAGCTTATCCACACTTTAATGAACATGGCTACCTACACGGAGAAGAAAGGCTCTCTCGAAATAGTTGATGCCGGCACCGACAATGGTCTGGAGAAGAATGCGCAGTGAGTCCCGGGCGACGAATCTAAGGTTAAATCTAAGGTTAATGAATGCGGTTGCTGACTGGGATCATTTAATGTAGGTACGATCAGGCAGAGGTCGTGTTCGACCCTGTTGCCGAGCGCAAGCTTCGCGTGAAGCTCGATTGGTACTTGATGCCACTGGTCAGCATCGTCTATCGTAAGTCTGGGGAAGTGCTTATGTTTCACATCGAGATAGTGATCTGACCGTGGCGTCCAGTGCTCTGCTTCATCGATCGCTCCAATATCGGTATGGTTCTATATATAGCAAACGACACCGGCGTGCTGGTTATGGTTCCAAGTAGCTGACCACTCTGCATAGGCAACTCCCGACTTGCCGGACTTGAGAAAGATCTTGGTATGTCAGGCTACCAGTACAACGCCTGCCTATCGATCTTCTATATCTCTTATATCACCTTTGAGATCCCGCTCAACATGGTCTGCAAGTGGATTGGACCTGGCTGGTTCATCCCGATCTGTTGCATCGGTTTTGGGATCTGCACCATCGGCACGGCATTTGTCAATGACTTCTCCCAGCTCTGCGCTCTCCGATTCCTCCTCGGCATCTTCGAAGCCCCTATGCTACCGGCAACTGTCTACTATCTATCTCGCTGGTACAGACGAAGCGAGCTGACGTTCCGTCTGTCTCTCTTCATCATCTCGGCCTCGCTGGCCGGCGCCTTTGGCGGACTTCTTGCCTCTGCAATTCTCAGACTTCCAGGGGTGGGGTCGGTCCATTCGTGGAAGATGATCTTCCTCATTGAGGGTAGGGCCTGATAATGAGTCGTTCCTGCTGTGCCTCCTGCATAGGCTAACAGCAACCCTGTAGGAATCGTCACTGTCGTTGTCGGAATCGTCGCGTTGGGCACCCTGACCGACCGACCCGAGAGCGCAAGGTGGTTGACAGAGGAGCAGAAGACACTAGCGAATGACCGCGTCAAATCAGAGAGAATCGCAACGACTGAGGTCGTGGACAAGTTCACCCGGGCAAAGCTCAAGCGCGGACTCACGAGTCCCATTGCCATCACCACTGCTATGATCTTCCTCCTGAACAACATTACGGTACAGGGACTGGCGTTCTTCCTCCCTACAATCGTTGCAACCATCTTCCCGAAGAGGACGGTCGTCGATCAACAGCTCCTGACCGTACCACCATACGCCCTCGGGACAGTCATGTGCCTCGCCATCTGTTTCCTCAGCTACAAGCTTGACAAGAGAGGCATCTTCCTCATCCTCTGCGCACCTTTCTCCATGATAGGATACTCAATGTTCCTTGCCACATCGGCTGCTCACGTGCGATATGCAGCGACCTTCCTGCCAGTCTGCGGCATCTACGCCTACGGTGCCATGACGACTTCTCACGTGTCGGCCAACTTGGTCTCGGACACTGCCCGCTCGTCTGGTATCGCCTTCACGGTCATGCTCAGCAATTTCGGCAGCCTCATCTCCACCTGGGCGTTCCTCCCATTCGACTCTCCAGTGTACCGTATTGGCAATGGCTTGAACCTGGCAGCTCAGTCTACTATGTTCATACTCGCACTTGGAATGTATTTCTGGATAAAGGCCGAGAACAAGAAGCGAGACCAGAGGGATGTTCAAGCGGAATTGGCAGGGCTAAGCCTTAGTGAGATCCAGGATCTTGATTGGCACCACCCTGGCTTCAGGTTCCGCAACTAAGTCTCAAGGAGCGCGGCTTGCACATGGAACGGCATACCAGGTCCCTCGTCGCCGTAGTAAGAGAAGCCATAGTGTTTGCCGAAGTTATAGGTCCTCCAATCAGGCTCGTTGGTTAAGAGGTACTGGTCCTTTGAGGCTATTCCCACTATTGTATCTAGAAAGGGCGGCTCCCGCCAATCCAGATAGAGGCGAGATGCCCAGGAGTTGAAAGGCATGGCTCCAATTTCAATAGTGTTTATGAATGTGTCGTTTTTGTGTCACTTCAATTGTACCTATCTAATGTTGACCGGCCGCTCATATAGAGACCCGTCAGTCGCAACATCCGAGGGATCCGAGAGGTGAACCCTGGAATGAACGGGATCCCGTGAGCTTCACCAACCGTGTCTGAAGCAACGTAAGCATCCAAGGCAAGCTGCTCTGGCAGCAGTGGCTCAGTTCACCTGGGATTTCCCAAGACTCCGCCGGAGATGAGCGGTAGTCGAGAATTGTGGAGAGTGATGTTCGGCAGCGCTTCCCCGGATTCCGCTTCTACCCCGACCAAATGCGACCTCAGTGTCAAAAAAGTGGGCAGATCCTTTCCGACGGAAAGACGTGAGCAACAGGAATGTCCGGACCTAGCAATCAATATGCATCAAGGTTCTGATAGCCAGGCACCGTACGATTTATTGGCTCCACGGTATCGCAATGCGTGCACGATGGAAGAAGTCGGGATCCCGTCCAGTGACGGCCGTCTGGGCTCTAATAACATCCGTGTTTCCCGGAGTAACTGCCTGACCCGCCACCAAAGTGCACTATCATTTTCAGTACTGTAGCGGAGACGCCATTCCTCATTCGCGACAATGGACACCTACGATGTGGTAATTATCGGCGCCGGTAAGCAACTTGTTTCTGAAGCAATTGACAACATCTGGGATACTAATTGAGAGGGATGAAGGTTGGTTCGGCCTCTCAGCCGCAAAGACGCGGCTTGAAATCCACCCGGAAGAGAAGCTGTTGGTTCTCGAATCAGCCAGCAGCTTCGGCGGTAGTTGGTCCGCAGACCGGCTCTACCCTGGTCTCAAATCCAACAACTTCTGGGGCTCCTACGAGCATCCCGATTTCCCCATGCTGGAAGAGGTCTACGGAGTGAAACACGGACAACACATTCCAGCAGCTGTCTTGCACCAATACTTGACAGACTTTGCCAAGAGGTTTGGCGTGTACGAGCGAACAAAGTTGAACGCCTTTGTCCGGCATGCGAAGCAGATGCCAGATGGCACCTGGGAGCTATCTGCCGAGATATCGGGAGCCAAGACGGTCATCAGGACTGCCAAGCTTATCATTGCGACCGGCCTCACCTCGCAGCCCAACCTGCCCACTTATGCGGGTGAGGAGTCCTTCACTGGACTGAAATTTCACGCCAAGAGCTTCTGTGAGCACGGAGAGACGGCAAAGTCGGCGAAGCGCGTCGTGATTGTCGGCTGCGGAAAATCCGCATACGATTGTGCGTATGCCTTTGCGACCGAAGGCGACGCGCAAGTCGACCTCTTGATTCGTCCGTCGGGTCAGGGACCGGTCTGGCTCGTCCCTGGGCATGTTACTCCGTTCCGTCGCATGATGGAAGAGCTCCTGCACACGCGTTGCCTCACGTGGTTCAGTCCAACGCCATGGGGTGCGGAAGATGGGTATGGGGTGGCTCGTGAATGGCTACAGAAGAACGGTCTTGGCCGGCTCATTACCGCTAACTGGTGGGCCAACATGAACAACGAGGTCATCGAAACTCATGGCTTCGATACCGACCCCGAGCTGTTCAAGTTCAAGCCTTGGCAGCCCGCCTTCTGGACTGGCAGCGGCGTTGGCATTCACAACTTTGATTCCAGCCTCTGGGATCTGGTCAAGAAAGGCAGGATCCGAGCACACATTGCGGACATCGACAAGCTAGATGGCAGCCAGGTGTTCCTTTCAAACGGCAAGGTGCTCGAGGCAGATGTCATTTGCTGTGCTACTGGGTGGAGAAAGGAGTCGACAATGACCTTCGAGGGTGTGGAGCTCGAGGGGCTAGGGTTGCCAATTCCTGCCGAGGAGCAGGCCCGGCTCCGCAAGGAAGCTGACGAAGAGGTCCTCGAGCGATTCCCGATCCTGAGGAACCAGCCGGTGCTGCGGTACGAGCGAACCAAGAGTGAGCCCCTCCGCTATTACCGATTCATGGTCCCCCCGTCGCATTTCAACAGACGTAACCTGGCCTTTGCCGGGATGGTCTCGACTACCAGCACCGCATCATTCGCGAATGCACAGGCCCTCTGGATATCAGCGTACTTCGACGGAAAGCTGAGCAGGGAGCCGAAAAGTCAGGACGAGGTCGTCAAAGAAGTCCTGCTGCATACGCAGTTCGGCAAGTGGAGGTACCCCTGCGGATACGGAGACAGCCTGCCAGACTTTGCATTCGACGCACTCCCTTATGTGGACATGTTGCTCAACGACCTCGGTATCAAGAACCATCGCAAGGGTACGACGATGGCCGAGCTTGTTGAGCCCTACAAGCCACGGGATTACAAGGGAATTACTCAAGAGTGGCTCGGCGTGGCCGATAAATGTCAACTCGCAAATTAGAAAAGTAGTTATTTCAATATGATTTAAGGGGGAACACGCCTTTTGAGGATGAAGACCATGTGAAAGTGTTGACATGCGTCTTATATTTGGCGACGTTAACGGCGGAGAAGACTGTGTTTCTAACATTTGGGTGGTAGTGCCGCAGCGAGCGGCATCTCCTCCCAATAATAAAGAGTCGTTCTAGAAACCATTATGTTGTTAGTCAATCAACAGCACTGAGATCAACATACTGAGGTAACGATAAGTCAAAACAAAAGCTGGCAGGGTCGCCAGAATGAATTCAAAGTATACTATCTACACACGATGGCCGACGAATGCACTATCACTGTTTACATAGACGTGCCCTCTTCCCGATCAAATCTTGGCCTTGTGCAAGCCTTGGTTGATCTTGTTGTGGGTCTCGATGAACTTCTTGTAGTTCGGAAAGATGCCCTTAGGATCCCACTTTTCGCGGATCTTCAAGAACCTCGCCAACGCGGTATCCGACATGACCTTGCCCTAGAAGGGTATTAGCAATTAACGTGTGCTTCTCGTTCACGATTGCGAAGGGCACTCACATTTGCATCATCGCACGTAACATCGTAGTCAGCAACATACACTCCAGCCGATACTGGGAGCGCACGGCGGTACCGGTCCCGCATCGGCTGATAGATCTGGGGTTCCAGCTTGGGATCTGTCCACTGGGTGATGGTCGATATGTAGTACTGCTGCGGAATGGTCACGGCCGAATCAACCTCGTCGGGAACGATGTCGCATGTGCAAATGAAGACAACCGAGGTTCGTGTCGGCAGCTCCAGCATAGCGGGTTTGATGTAAGAAAGGAGCTGAGTGGGATTGTTAATAGAGTGTAACGACAACAAGGGGGGCCAGGTGCACAGCCAACATACCTTTGGCATCGGGACGGAAGGCTCACTGAGCATGCTCAAGATAGACCAACGCTTGTCGCCGCCAAGGCCAATGAAGCCGCGCTTCGTCTGGAAGATGCGCTGGAATGACGTCTTGGTGACCGGCTTCATCTCAATCAAGGCATCTTTGATCTCGGCTGGCATGTCGTCGTATGCACTCAGCAGGATCTTCGCCTGTGGCTTGGTATCGGCATAGCAGAGCAGGCTGAGACTCATATGCAGCGTCGCCGGGTTCGGGATGTCGTCGCCGGAACAATTTGGGTCATACTTCTCGGGGTAGTAGATGGTGAGGTTGAGATCTGTGCCGTACTTGGGAGTTTCGTCTCCCTTCGTCAGGGCCCACGTCATCAACGCTTCATACTTGTTTCCAACTTCGAAAGTGAAGTTCCGCTCCCACAGTGTTGATCTCGGGATGGTTCGGCCCCAAAACCTGGTCACAACGCCGAAGAACCCAAGGCCACTTCCTCGAGCTGCCCAGAATAGGTCCTTGTTCTCGGTACGGCTTGCAGTGACGACCTCGCCGCTGGGGACAACAATTTCCATCTTGGTGATCCAGCTTTGAGCGGTGGCACCCCAGCCTCGCACGAACCAGCCTTGTCCACCGGCGAGCAGGAATCCTCCCGCCGCGACAGTAGGGGCATGTCCATGCGGAAAGAATCTGTTGATCTCTGCTAGCTTGCCCGCCACTTCCTCAACTCTGACCGCAGGCCCAAAGGCGATTTCTTGCGTATCAGTGTCGTAGGCGATGTCGCGGTTCAGGAACGAAGTATCGATCATGATACCATCATGCACTAGCGCGCCAAGGCCAAAGATGTGGCCGGAGCTTCGGATGCCAACATGGACACCAAGTTCAGTGGCCTTGCGCAGGGCAGCTGCAACATCCTGAGGTGTTTTCGGGAGGTGTATTTCGCGAGGATATCGTTCAGGGGTTGCCGAGCTCGGGTTGTTTCGTCTGCATCGTTCATATTCCGGCGTCCCCCTCACGAGAACGCTCGACGAATACTGAGGGCGAGTTGTGTAAGGTGTGGGAGCGGCAGCCATGGTGGTTATGAGTTTGGTTGTGTTGCGGTATCAAGGATACCCGATCACGAGGAGAGAAGGCTGCAAATTACTTCGAAGTTTCAAGTATTTGCCTGTCAGTTCCTGTGGGGCTCGAATGAAGTTGTTAATTAATCTTACTCCCGCCAAGGATAGTTCAAGGATATCACTGTGTAAAGGCTCCATCGGTGACTGCCACTTAAGTGGTATATCCGGGGTTTGCTAGTGGCGAGGCGGGCCGCCGCCGTCCTTTCCGGTGTTCCGATTGCGATTCCGGCCGGTCATCATTGGCCCTAAGGAGTCATTCCAGGACGATTGACTTCCTAGACCTGAAATCGACTACACGAAGCAGGTATTTACAACAAAGCTACCCTTCAACATAAACAATCATTCTGTTGGTCAGTGCGTACATCTGATGAACCCCAAGCCCCAACACCTGCAGCATCAGCCCATTCAGTCCTCAGCAATTATCCACCCCACCGTGGCATTATATCAGAATGTAAGAGTAACAGAGACATCCTATTTTTCTAATGATGCTAACTATCAGATCTAGAGCAATGTACTCGACGTCTTCGGCCTTTTTTGAGTCGTTGGCTCAGGTGCGTAGGGCGTTGCATCTTGCGAGACCGCTTTTCGGTTTCGGGATATTTCCAACCGATTAGTCACGCCCCTCTTCAGTAATATGTTCTAATGAATGTCTAGGCCGGTGTCAGCTATGTATTCGTGAACCTTGGTTCGGATCACCCCGCCATCATGGAGGCGCTCGCCGCCGAAACGAGACGAGCCGGTGGCGGGGCCAGCAAATTTCCCAAGGTCATCACATGTCCTCACGAGGTTCGTCAACCCCTATCCGCCTTAGTTGTAGGAAATCATGCTAAGTGAGCCGCTAGATGGTTGCCATGTCCATGGCGGACGGCTTTGCTCGTCTTACGGGTAAGCCGCAGTGCGTGCTTGTCCACGTAGATGTCGGCACCCAGATGCTAGGCTGTGCGATGCACAACTCATCCGTCGCTCGCTCGCCTGTTCTTGTGTTTGCTGGCCTATCGCCATACACTTTGGAGGGAGAGCTTCGAGGTTCAAGGACGGAGTACATCCATTGGCTTCAGGATGTGCCCGACCAAAAGCAGATTGTCGCCCAATATTGTCGCTATACCGGCGAGATCAAGACTGGAAAGAATGTCAAGCAGCTAGTCAATCGGGCGCTGCAGATGGCAACCAGTGATCCCAAGGGACCCTCCTATCTTGTTGGGGCTCGGGAAGCCATGGAAGAGGATATCGAGCCCTACGATCTGGATCAGTCAGTCTGGCATGGCATTGCGCCCGCAGCATTGCCCCAGGATGGGGTCGAAAGAATCGTGTCGCTCCTCGCTGACGCTAAGCAACCGTTGATCATTGTCGGATATAGCGGTCGCAACCACGAGACTGTGCCCGAGCTGGTCAAACTTGTTGAGTCGATTCCTGGAGTCCGGGTACTCGACGCGCTTGGCAGCGACGTATGCTTTCCCTGGAGCCATCGATCGTACATTGGTGTACGCATTGGCAAGCATGCCGCCATCAGCAATGCTGATGCTATTGTCGTCCTCGACTGCGATGTGCCTTGGATCCCAACCCAGTGCAAACTCAGTCCAGGGGTTCAGATTATCCAGATCGACGTTGACCCTCTCAAGCAAAACATCCCCCTCCACTATATCCCAGCAGCATACAGATATCGAGCTGATGCCGGGACGGCACTGCGACAGCTCAATGGCTTCATCCAGTCATCGAGCAAGTATTCTCAATTGGCCAGCCAGGAGCCGTATGCTTCCCGCTGGCGCGATCTGCAAGGCGTTCGAGAGCAAGAGATTCTTGCGGCCGACAAGCTTGCATCTGCTCCGGCAGACGAGCTTTCCCCGCCTACTACCTCGTACCTGTGTTCGGAGCTAAGAAAGGCATGCCCGGAGGATACAATTTGGTGTATTGAGGCTGTTACCAACGCCATGTTTGTCTATGACCAGATCCGGGTTGACCAACCTGGCAATCTCGTCAATGGCGGCGGTGGCGGCCTTGGCTGGTCTGGGGGCGGTACCCTTGGAGTGAAATTGGCGTCAGATTGGCTTGCCGGTGGAGCAGGGAAAGGGAAGTTTGTAACCGAGATCGTCGGCGATGGCACATACCTTTTCGGTGTGCCCGGCACCGTCTACTGGATCGCGAGGAGATACCGCCTGCCAACCCTCACGGTGGTCCTTAGCAACAAAGGTACGTCAACAAATTTCGCTCTCCATTATCGGCATGCACACGCCGCTAACATCAATGCTTAATTAGGTTGGAACGCGCCCAGAAACTCGCTTGAGCTGGTGCACCCGACTGGGCATGGATCTCAGGTGTCAAACGAAGAGCTGAACATATCCTTCTCGCCCACGCCAGACTTCTCGGGAATTGCTCGTGCGGCTTCAGGCAACGACGCCTTCGCAGCTGTGGTTCGATCAGTTAAGGACCTACAAAGAATCCTGCCGGAAGCTGTTGCTGTAGTTAAGAGCGGAAGGTCCGCTATCATTGAAGCTAGGATACAGGGTTCTTGGAAGGGAGATGAGGCTTGATGGTTTCCTTAGTCCACCTTCAACCATAGATCACCTATCATAGATCCCATTCAATGATATCAAATCCGTATTTAGTTGCCAATAGCAAACCCCTTCTTATCGAGGACATCGTTGCTCCGACTATGATGCAAGAACGGGATGAGAAGGTCAAATAAGAATACGGTACAATCTGGCACAAACAGGATGTAATAATAAAAGCCGAGGTCCATAAAGCTAGTTATTTCCATTGATGCAATCAGACGTCCTATTGCCCACAATTTGATGCAAGTGCCAAGTCAATCAAACACTATCCAACCATATTTTCATCCATCATGCATTTTTGATCACTTGATGACTTGTACTTGTTCTCATTCTATAGTTTACATACGGAAAGCAGTTGGTATTTTGATTGACTTAAAACTAATCTAAAAAGCTAGCTGGCAATCAAGTGCCATCTGCACGTGGAGACCACCGGTGATTGCAATGTCTCCGGCAGTGGTGTAACTGGACGCATCACTGAGGAGATATACGGCAGCGCCCATCAGATCGTCCCTGGTGCCTATCCGCTTCAAGGGCGGAGTCTTGTTCATGATGTCTACCATAACCGGATTCTTGTTGCGGACCTCCTGTGTCATTTCCGTGTCAATGAACCCAGGAGATATAGAGTTGACCCTAATGCCATTGCCTGCAAGCTCAACTGCAAGAGCTTGAGACAGCATGCGCACTGCTCCCTTCGAGGCACCATATGCAGACATGCGATGCTGAGGGAGGACAGTGTGTGACGTGATGGAAGCGATCAGGACAATACTGCCGCCGGTACCCTGTTTCTTGAACTGCTCTGCTACTAGCTGCGCAGAGAAATATGTGCCGGTCACCTAGATATGCGATGGTCAACCTATATCGTTTTACGAAGTATTCACTTGGATCAGAGGTCACGTACATTGACATCCTGGATCCTCCGGCATTCGGCCCACGAGGTCTGCTCGAAAGCCTTCTCCAGCGCAATTCCAGCGCATGTGACTAGCCCGTGAACCGTACCCAAGATGCCGAAGGCGGTTTGGAAGGCAGCTCCAAGGCCTTTCTCGTCCGTGACGTCCGCTTGGACGTAACGGATGTTGACGCCAAATTGTTTCGCGACCGAGTCGAAGTCTGCATTGGGCTTAGTTTGGATGTCCAATGCGACCACGTTGGCCCCGACCTGAGCAAGCGCATGAACAATGGCAAATCCAATGCCCTGAGCGCCGCCGGTTACGATGTAGTTTCGACCTTGAATGTCGAAGAGCTGCTTCACATTGCTGAAGGAGGCCATGGTTGTTCGCGGCGGCTTTGTTCGGTAAACTGACTTTTCCAGGCTGGTGAGTTTTTTTTGGCTGGCGTCGGATCTGCGATAACGTCCCTGCAACTGCTCCCGATGTGAACTTTTGATGGTGTTATCGTTGCGTCCAGAGCGCTGACACATGCAATCAGACCAGTCCGGTCTTCTCTCCGATCATCAGTGCCGGGTCCGCCCCATGTCGGAACAGATGCGGGCGCCCCGCATTCCGAAACCGTGGCCATTCCTATTGGTTGGCTTGAGGCACTTTGACCGAGGTGGAATGAACTGCGGATGGACATCGCAGAGGACCTCCTGTGCCCATAGGATGATATGCCGGGGCTATATCGGAGAACCCGGCGTGCGGCAGATTCCAGAACTGTGAGCTCTGGAGGATAGAAGCTCACACAGGTACCCATGTTAATAAGTGATTAGACCCGAGCTTGCCGTTGCATGTATGGTGGAACTTGAAACCAGACATCCATAACGTCATCACGTGCCATCAACTTCACTTGCTGCATCCTGCATCTTGACTTACTGCCATGGCGAACCCTAACTGGAAAGAACTCGACATTGCTATTGTCGGCGGAGGCATTGGTGGCCAAGCCGCAGCAGTGTCTCTCCGTCGCCAGGGTCACAAGGTGACAATCTACGAAAAGGCCGACTATGCTGGTGAGGTTGGTGCGTCCATCTCATGCGCCGCCAACGGCACTCGCTGGCTCGAGGAGTGGAAGGTCAACATTGAGCTTGGTGATCCAGTCGTGCTGAAGAAGCTGATCAGCAGAGACTGGAAGACTGGTGAGCCAATCAATGTCTACGATCTGAGCGATTACAAGGAGCGCTGGGGATATGTAAGTCGAAATCACTCGTGGCAGTGCGATCATTCTTGCATCGCGTAATGTGACTGCTTCAGAGTTTAAAAAGTAACTAACCATTGTTAGGTGTACAACATGTTCCATCGGCAATACATGCACCGAATGCTCATGGACAGCGCCGTTGGCAACCACGGAGAGGGTACCCCGGCCAAGCTTATGGTGAACCACATGGCCGAAGATGTGAACCTGGAGACAGGCGAAATCACCTTCACCAACGGCAACAAGGCGAAGCATGATGTCGTGATTGGAGCCGACGGAATCGGTTCGGCTCTGCGTCGCGTTCTTGGCATCAAGACGGTCCGCCGGCCGGCTACGTGCACTTGCCTCCATGCCAATGTTGACACGGAGAAGGCAGTCAAGCTTGGTCTCGTTGACTACTCCAAGAACAGTGCCATCGAGTACTGGGGCGGATACGATACTCACTTCAAGATCGTTCTGTCTCCCTGCAATGGCGGCAAGCTGTTGTCGTACTACTGCTTCTTCCCGCGAGAGGCTGGAGATCTCCAGGCGCAGACCTGGGATCAGGAGGCGACGGTTGAGGAGCTGTTGGCACCCTATCCTGATCTCGACCGCCAGGTGTTCAAGCACTTGGAGATTGGTTATGAGGTTCGCCCCTGGCGCCTGTGGATCCACGAGCCCTACCCGCTGTGGCAAAAGGGCCTGGCCTGCATCATGGGCGACGCCGCACATCCGGTATGTTTCCATGTTTTTATCAACCTTGCAAAGCCGCCGCTCCTATCACATGCTAACCCAATGATCTCTACACAGATGATGCCTGACCAGAGCCAGGGTGCCTGCCAGGCCATTGAGGATGCTGCTTGCCTGGGTCTTGTCTTTGGCAAGAAGAACTTCAATGGAGACATCCGAGAAGCACTCGAGGTGTTTGAGCAGGTGCGGAAGCCAAGAGGTACCAAGGTCCAGGCAGCTTCTGCCAGGGCTAGAGAGAACATCAATGAACGCATCGGTAAGCTCCAGATTCCATCTCGACACTTGCACCTGGAGTATCTGCGCAGATTTGTGAGAGATTGTAGCTGACAGGTCCGGTATAGGATTCTCAAGCAACACTGACCTGCCGGTCTACCATGTTTCCGCCGAAGATGACAAGCTCACGATAGATGAAATGAACCTGTGAGTGGAACCATCGAGCATTACAAGTGTGCAGGAGCTAATTGCATTCAAACTATTAGTTATGACATGACGGCCCATGTGGACCAAGTCTTGAGCGAGCGCAGGAGTGGAGTAAAGGCAAACGGGCATTGATCTCGAAGCTGTCCAATCCATTGAATAGCCCAAGCTCTCTTCTTTCAAGAAAAGCTTATCATGAGCCCATTAAATAGATCAATTTCTCTCGAAAAGCACAGATATATCCCCCCAATCCAAACCAGAATTTGATTGTATGCATACTAGTCAGCACAGATCTGTTATGTTCACTCTATGTATCGACAATTCTTAGTAGACGACAATGCTTTTTTGAACAGAGTTGGACAGACTTCAAGCATTGGCCTGTAAAGCGGAATAGCAATTTCAAGTTGACGCCAAGCAAGACATCAATTAATTCACGCAAGTCCTGTATACTTTTGATAAGCTCATCTGGAGGGCGCTGGGAAAATTGGTCTTCATTTATGCGCCCAAGACAATCGTGATAATTTCATACTAGAATCTAACATAGACAACGAGATGCTATTCAATACACAACGGCAAGCGTCTCGGGATCTTGACCTTCATACCGATAAATCCCAAGAGCCTGGAGCATAGGCTTGTCGTGGAAGCGATAGAGGTAGACCCGCTTGCCGTCAGCAAAATGCTGATACTTGTGCCAAGCAGGGATACAGAAAGTGTCGCCCTGCTTCCATGAGATCTTCTTGTCTCCGATGATGCTGTGGCCAGTGCCCTCAATGACATGGTAAACCGAAGAGGCGGTCTCGCGAACAGCGGGTGACTCGCATCCAGCTTCCAGGCGTTCTGCCAACGCACCGATTGTCCGTCCGACTATTCAGATATTAGTACATGTGATCGCGACGGGTGCGCGGCGGACCTCGACTTACTCTCTTCGCCGTTCTCCCTCAGATACGGAACAGCAGCCCACGACCCCGGCTCGGCATGTAGCTTTGCCTCGACCTTGTCCCAATGGAAGACGATAGGAGAGTCATCCGCATCCTTTGCGGGATAGCGGGACTCGCTGTAGTGCTCGTTGAAATGAACAGGGAAATGCACAAACTCGGGCAGGTCCAGGCCGTCCAGCCAGATGACCGGGGAGTCGTCTCCTCCCTCTTCACCCGCGCCCTTCTTGCCGTGGTCATGCCAGTTCCAAGGGGGAGTCACCAGGACGTCACGAGGCTTCATGGCCACGCGGCGACCCTGAACTGCCGTGAAACCGCCTTGGCCCTCAATAATGAAGCGCACGGCAAACGCAGAATGGCGATGCGCCGGCGCCGTCTCCCGAGGCATGACAAGCTGGAGACCAGCATAGAGAGTGTCAGTCGTGTAAGGAGCGCCTTTGTAAGATGTCAGTAGGCGGAAGATTTGGATGATGCGATTTCCTTACTCTTCTCGGGGTTAACAAGCATGAGCACCCGGCGCTCGGCCTGCTCCTCCTTGATAAGATTGCCGGCATGCAAAAGGTACGGCCGAATGCGGTCATACTCCCAGATGAACGGGATTGTCGTGGGGTTAGGCAGAGCCGGGTTTAGGCGGGCCATTTGAGCCCACAGAGGCGAGACATTGACCCCTTGGAGGGACTTGAGAAGGTCCTCCTGTGTGGTGATTTTGGCGGCACCATTGCTCTGCTTCGTGGGCACGGCCGGAATGGCCTGCGTGGTTTCATTGATGTGCGGCATGGTGCTATGATGTTTGTATTCACGTTTTTTGTTATCAGATGAAGGAATTTCATTCATTCTCAGCTGTTGTTCGATTCCGGCAGATTGTTTTATGCTTCGTGAAGCTCAGTGGTGGATGGTTCCGCGGCGTAGTGGCTGTTCCGATATAGCCCCGGAAAGGACCGCGGGGCTAGGTCGGCACACCCACCCGACGCAGCGCACTGCCAAGGCTTATGAACCATGACAAAACTCGCGGCTGTACGCGTTTCTTATTAATCTTTTTTTATCGTCGATCACGGTTTTGAGACACTCGTGTAGCTGCCAACATACCTCCTCAGTTTGTCCAACAGACGCAACATAATGCCTGTATCCTGGGAACGTCTGATCCGGTTCGTCGCCACTGACGGCCGCGTCCTTCGGGGAGAGCCGATTCTCCCCGACCCCGACTTTGACCTCGGACAAACGACTGAAGCAACTGGACTAAGGGCCAGAGTCATCCAGGGTGACGATATCTACGATGAGACCGGTGCTACCAAGGTAACAAACGAGGTCGTCACTGTCAAGAAGCTACTAGGTCCTCTGTCACCGGACGACGTCCCGATCATCCGTTGCATTGGCCTGAACTATGTCAGCCACAGTATGTGTAGTCCAGCCGGTTGTCGAAAGCAACGGTCTCGCGCGCTGTGTAAAAGGTGAAGCGAGTCGTTTACTGACAAATGGTTATCAGTCCGAGAAACCGGGCGAAAAACGCCCAACTACCCATTCATGTTTTTCAAGACGCGACAGACTGTCCATGATCATGGCGCGAATGTCGTCATACCGAAGATTGCACAGCCCAATCAGCCAGATTACGAGGGTGAACTTGTGAGTTCATACTTTATTCCAATTACTCGACCAAGCGCATCCTGTGCAGTTCTGACCTCACGAATGCCTCGAACAGTGCGTGATCATCGGGAAGGACGCGAAGGATGTGTCTGAAGCAGACGCGTTGAAATACGTTGCTGCTTACACCGCTGGCAACGACATTTCGACCAGAAAGCTGCAAAGAGACCCGGAGCTGGCTGGACCAGTACCGCAATGGGGATTCTCCAAGGGATTCGACACCTTTGCCCCCCTAGGACCGGTCCTGGTCAACAGCAGCCTCGTGCCCGACCCTTCCAAGCTCCACCTGCGCACCATTGTCGACGGCGAGGCGCGCCAGTCCTCGGGTCTCGATGACCTGCTCTTCAACGTGCCGTACATGATTTCCTATCTTTCATCCGGTACTACGCTGGAGAAGGGAAGCGTTATCATGACGGGAACGCCCGGAGGTAAGTGCTATCAGCTTCCGAATTCACTTGGTCTGGTACGGGAAGACTAATACCACATTCTGCAGGGGTTGGGTCGGGACAAAAGCCTCCCAAGTTTCTGGAGCCTGGGACTCAGATGGAGGTTCACATTACCCAGATCGGGACTCTGAAGAATGGTGTAGAGTACGCCCAATAGTCTATTGATAGGTAGCCATAGAGAAATCCGAGAAAATAGACCAGTTACGCCTGTAACCACCTTATCGTCTTCTGTGGCTTACTACGTCAGAGGGCCGAGTTTCGCGGCTAGCCTATTTAGTGTAGGAACGGACGGAGATGGCGGAATACGGAACAGGATCCACAGCGCCGTCCCGGAGGGCTTGGCTTGCTGCTCTCAGCACCTTCAGCTTGACCAATGCCCTCATGCTTACTTGATGCGATCCCTGGCAGGAATTCTCTTTAGTGAACTTTTGAAGAATAATAGTACAGTGTCGCTCAAGCACTCCTCTGAAGACACTCGCTGCTCCACCCGGAAAGTTCGGTTTCTCATCCCCATCTCCAGTCCCTATGGCTAAGAACGCCCAAGGTGGAGACGAGCTTGGCTCCCAGACAGAGTCGCCCAACCTGAGAAGCCCAAATGACGCCATGAGCGAAGAGCCTCAGGAGAGTCTTTCAGGCGTCAAACGTCGACGAACTGCTCTTGCCTGCAACCCGTGCCGTGCACGGAAATCACGAGTGGGTTAAAGCATTCACTCAAACTCTTTCGACTAACATCTGGCAAGCTCAACTAACGTGTCACCGAACTTGGACAGTGTAATGGCGCTCGTCCCAAATGTGAGCTTTGTGTGCGCATGTGCTTCGAGTGCACCTACGATACATCCACGTCTGGTGCAAATGTCATTATCCGCAAGGAGTGGGTAGACTCTTCCCTTGGCTCGTGATTAAGTTGCTCATGCGAGTGCATCTGGTTCATCGGCACACATGCCGTTTTGTCCTGGGCACAGGCCTTCATAACACCACATCGGTATTAATGTACTTTGTGTCTTAGTGCCTTCAACGACCTTGAGGCAAGGCTCAAGAGTCTCGAAGAGGAAGTTAGGCGACACAGTGAACAGCTTTCCACCCAAGAGAGGAGCAGCATCAGCACTGAGTTGCTGCCGTCGAGTTATGGTGGCTCGGTACTGTCAGAGGCACTTGCGAGTGTATCTGTGCCCTCTCTGCCGTGGGAGAGCGCGGACATGGCGCAGAGCACAGTCCATACGGTGGGACTGGACCCAGGGTCCGAGCACAATGATACAGACGGCATGGCCATCTCGTTCGTCGATGAGCAGGACAAGGGCTTCTTTGGTAAATTGCATTGCTTTTAGCACATGCCCACACCATGTACGCTTTGTACTGACTCTCTCTCCTGCGCAGGTCCATCCGCCAACATCTCCTTCATGCGAATCATCCTACGTGCGGTTGCAGGGGCCAGGCCAGTAACAGGGATGCAAGGGTCACCCAATTCACACACCAGCATCTTCGATGGCGGCATGGTGAATATCAACTCTTTCCGCTCGCGGCTCCTTCCCGTTCAGCCAGACGTGTCATCGCTAGAGTACCCTGCTGCCAGCCCATGCATCTTGCCGCGCGCCGACATTGCAGAGAACCTGATACACGAATACTTCTCGAATACCGGCCTCCTGTTTCCATACATCCATAAGCCGTCATTCATCGCAACCTACGAGCAAGCCAAGCAGTCGGGCTTCAACGGCGTGAGGCGAACGTGGCTCGCGCTGCTGAACGTCATGTTTGCCATGGCCACCCGCGCTGATCCTCGCCACGGAGACACAGCCCGAGCCTTTACTGAGTCGGATACTTTCTATGCGCGAGCCGAGGAGTTGTGCAGGACGCAGATGCTCCGGGGAACGACTTTGGAGACAGGTTTGTCCATCCCACACCCCGCTTATCCCACAATGCGAGGCTGCTCAGGCTCTGACAGGTGCACAGTGCAATACCTCTTACTTTCCAGCCAGTATCTACAGGGAACTCAGAGGGCAGTCCAGACCTGGACCACCCATGGCCTGGCGGTCAAAGCGGCTCTCTCCATTGGCTTGCACTCTCAGGCCGCTTTGAGCAAACTCCCCCCTCTCGAGCAAGAAATGAGAAAGCGAACTTGGTTTGGCTGCGTGATTCTAGATAGGTAAGTTAAACATTGTAGCGGTGACAATCACCCGAGCCGCTCTATAAAATCTGTCTTCTTGAGAGCCAGAAGCTGAATGAACATTAGGAGCTTGAGTATGACCTTTGGTCGACCAAGTGCCATACCTGAGGATTACATCAGACTGCCTTTGCCCCAACCCGTTGTCGGTGACCCAGAGAACGGTGCCTCGGTGCTATTCTTCTCAGCCACTATGTAAGTTCTCGAAGAAGTTATTCATACCATCACACTCCGTTGTCCAGTAGCTTACCTCTGCATTTCAGATCACTCTACACTATCCTCTGGAAAGTGATGGCGAGGATATACGGGCATAATGTTGAGTTCGAGGACTTGTCGGAGACCGAGCTGATTACTCGGATCATTCAGCTTGAGCAAGAGCTGGTCCAATGGCAGAATCAGCTTCCCAGGCAGCTGAGGCTGAGGACATCAGCAAGCCTGCCTAGCAGTCTCGAGGATCCCTGCGCGGAGAAATTGCGCATCGTTCTCACGCTACGCTACTTCAACACGCAACTGCTCCTGCTCAGACCTGTGCTGACGAACCTCCTTCAGTCGCGGCTCAAGGCAGGGGCTCGCACAGAGGACCAGGATTCAATCAGCACGATCCAAAAGAACCTGACCACGTCTTGTTTCAAGGCTGCCGTGGAGGCAATCTCAATTATCCATGCGGTCATTACACGCAAGGAGTTGGGCAAGCATCTCTTGGGTGCATGGTGGTTCACCCTATATTACGGTAAGCTTAATGTCAATACCTCATTATCATGGTCTAGTCAAGGATTCTAATTCTCGAACCCAGCTTTCAACGCCTCCTTGGCAGTCTTTAGCATTCTTATTCTCCCTATGAATCTGGACGACGACAACGGCGGGTCCGTTTCAAAGCGCTATCAGGAAGGCCGAGCGACCCTGGCCCTGGCTTGCGACGCTTTGCTTGATATGGCCAGTGAGAACCCGCTCTTTGAACGTTGCGTTGAGCATCTTAGACAATTGTGCAGGCTCCTTGATAACCAAGGTATGTTTTTCTCCCGGCGATACCCAGCCTGGCCTTGGACTGACATGGCTCCGCGAAGCTTCACTAGCATTGAGCAGAGCCCAGAATTTATCGCTTGGTGCCCCTGAGGGTCAGGACGCGCTTGCAGTACCCCACGAAGGAGCTTTTGGGGATCACGCAATGTTTGGCACCCCGTTCATGGATTTCAATGCCATGTTTGAGGATGAAGTTAGCCTTGGACTGCTGTTTAACGACGAGAGTCAGGCTCGTCTGGACTGTACATACCCAATGTAAAGCAATAGCCGTGCTAGGTACATACACAACAAAAAGTCTACTGACGAGGTAGTTGGAGGTATCTCTGTGTTACTTCCCCGTTCGTCAAAGCTCATCAATCCGGCTCTGTAGAACAGTAATCGCTTCATAGCACAGAGTTACGAGGAAATCCACCTGATGCTCCTGCAAGTATCAATATTGTCAAGTGCAAGATGATGCCTCAATTCACTCAGAAAAATGAGTGCTATCATGAAAACGATTTGGTGGTATATGACATGTCCCAGCCTTCAAAGCATAACAAGCCAAAGTGTGATATTTTCCTAATCCTTTTAACGCTGATTCTTGGGCTTGCATCATTGACAAAGAGAATGACAGCGCCAAGTTCATTGACCTGGCAGAATACATCAAACCAACTTCAGCCCCCCACTGCTCAATCCCTGCAGCAGACGAGCAACATTAATACATAGGAACTGGTCCTTCGTAAGTCTTCCGAGCCCTGAAGATCCAGTCCGCCGTGACAAGAATCAAAACACCTCCAAGAATGAGGCTGGAATAATTCATGTTCTGCGCGGTGACGGGCTGGGTAGCGGGAAGGACGAGGAAGCAAGTCAGGAACAAGATGTAAACAATCGAAGCCACATTGATGACGATACCCAAAGCCTGCGGCATCTTCCAAGGCCCCCACTGGATCTGCTTCGGGGTCCAGATTCTCCTGTAAAGCATGGCGACGATGGGGATGAGGTACGACAGCGAGAGACCGACAACGGTGACCGACAGGACGGCGTTGAAGGCAGCCGTGGAGGCGATGTTCAAAGCCCCGAGAAGAATAACAATCACCGTCACAACAACGACGGCATGGACTGGCACATGCTGGTCGCTGACGCGGGAGAGATATCGGGAGTAGGCTGGTGCGCCGTCACGAGCGAAGGACCAGAGCGTGCGGGATGTCGAGGCGATGAGGCCGACAGTTGCCAGAGATGCAGAGGCGACGATGGTGCACGACATAGCGGAAGCTGCGGCGGCGTTGCCCCGGGTCATTTGGAAGAAGATCTCAATGATGGGGAAGCCAGTCCTGCTGGTGACCGCAGCTTGGAAATCGCCGATACCGAAGAGGACGGCAAGCAGGACGGCAAAGCCCATGATACCGTTGACGACGATCGACATGATCATGGCGCGCGGCACACCCGTCCGGGGGTTCTTCATCTCTTCTGACATGTGGGCGGCAGAGTCATAACCTAAACATGGCGCGAGTCAGCAAACTGAAGTGGCGGTAGATGTCACAGCATGGAAGCCATCAGCAGGGGTTACTCACCAACCATGATGTACGCGGAAGTCAACATGCCAATACCCCACGCGACGCCATTACTATCCCACCCGGTGCCATTGGAGAAGTAGGTGAAGACGAACTCTGCAGACTGTCTCTCCTTGGGAAGAGCGGCGCAGGCGATCAGGATGGCAAAGAAGAACCCCACATGGAAGATCATGATGATGTTCTCAAGCAGAGGAAGCACCTTGGCACCCCAGGTATTCATGGCAAAAGCCAACAGCGTGATTCCGAGATAAATCAGGAACCATTGCCATCGTTGGGGATCGTAGTCGGGCTGGTTGAGGGTGATCAGGCCCTGGATGATATTGGCCGCTCCAAAAGGAGCACTCGCCGTCAAGGCGACCCAGCCAACAAGGCTGATCCAGCCAGTGTACCAGCTCAAGAGGGCCTTGGAGCGGAAGTGGCTCAGCTCGCTGATCATGTAGTACTGACCACCAGCGTTGGGGAACCTTGTTCGAGACTCGATTAGCGAAATGACATGCATGGTGGGCACCGCGGGAGCATGCTTACATGGACGCGGGCTCCGACAAGGACATGGCCGTGCAGATGTTTCCGATAAATGAGACTGCCCTTCATGTCAGAAATGCTGGCGCGTTCAAGACTTCAATGACCAAAAGCTGCACATACGTAGAAAGCCGTAGACAAGAGAGACGGCTCCACCAGCTGCCAGACCGATGCCCATTGTACTGCAAAGCGCTTCCCATGTCGCCATGAGAGACACCGCAAGCGAGAAGGTCGAGAGGGTGTTGAAGTTCTTGTTTAGCTATTCTTCTGTGTCAGCGCGTGTCTTTTACGGACAGGCAATCGCCTTGTGCGACTCACCTCGATGACTTCAGCCTGTCCTCCATCAGCCCCAGTCTCCGTACGAACGACTGGGCTGGCATCCGAAACATCTTCGATCGGTTGCTTCATTTTGATATCCACTAAAGCGCAAGTCAGAACATGAGAGCCGAAGGCAGGGACTGGCAATGCGTTGCTGACTTGTACTGGTAGCCGAGCAAGCGGTTGAGCAGTGGCAGCTTCTCGAGGCTGGTCGAGGAGACTCAATTTGGTGACGGGATCGAGTCAGTCAATCGCGTTGTCGATTAGATGACGGAGCGTGTGCATCTAGACTCCTTGGCCTGGAGCATGCTGTGCAATTTAAAGGGGTCGTGGCAACGGAGGGAAACCCCTCAAGGGTCGAGATAAGGCGAGCAGGTTGACGACCCGATCCTGCCCCGATACGCCACCTGATATGTTGTGGGCGGCATTGTCGGGGGGCGCGAACAGAGGTTTCGTCCAGGTTTGATTCGAGGCAGGGGAGCCGCCAAGCTTGTTTCGATCCTAGTGTATGTCTTATCTCTCAGCGCCTCCGCATTTCCGGCGCTACCCCGGAACTGGCCATGTGGGCCGGAACCACCTTTCCGGCAATCGCTCTGCCTCTTGCCGCGATAGGCCTGATATCAGTGCTGGTCTCGCGGCCCTCGTCCAGAGAAGTGTCGGGTCCTGTCGACGGACGATCCGATGCCAGACAGAGCGGTCCCCCGGTCCAACCGAGAGAGCGCAGTGACGATGGGACGAACGATTGTGTTGGCGGAGCTCGAGCAGCACAGCAAGGAGGACGATGTGTGGATTGTTGTCGATGGCGAGGTCTATGACATGACAGCCTTTGCACCAACGCATCCAGGTGGCGCTGAAAGTGAGTCCCCTCGCAATCAACTGCGAGCCGTATCCCGGCCGCGTCATGAACTCTTAGCTAATTTGCCACCTCCGTTCCCACAAGTCATCTACCAATATGCAGGCAAAGATGCGTCAGCAGCGTACAACGAAGTCCACTCACCGTCTTTGATACGAAAGCACTTGGGGCAGACTGGTCTTGTCGGAAGCTTTGATGCATCTACGATGCCTCCTGCGCCGCAAGCCAGCGTGGCAAATCCCATTGTCGCAGAAACATCCCGGGCAGCGGGGCCAGCAAAGCCTGATCTTGATGATATAATCAACCTCGACGATTTCGAGAAGGCAGCTGAGCAAACGCTTTCAAAGAAAGCTTGGGCATACATACATGGGGCATCAAACGACAACATCACCCGTGATGCTAACCAGCACATGTATAAGCGTATCTGGCTTCGGCCTGCCGTGATGCGTGACATCAGCGTTGTCGACACCTCTTGTGAGCTTTTCGGCTGCCGTCTCAGTATGCCAGTTTACATCTCTCCTACTGGCGCAGTCAGGATGGCTGGTCCGGAAGGCGAGGTTGGCCAGGCAAAAGCCGCTGCAACAGCGGGGATAATACAGTGCATGTCAACGCCTGCATCATATCCACACGATGAGATCCTGGCCGCCACCAAAGACCAGGCCTTCTTCCAACTCTACGTCAATAAGAACCGGGCGGAGTCAGAAAAGCTCATACGGCAAGTCACATCGTCAGGGCTTGTTAAAGCCATCTTTGTCACCGTCGACTGCCCCGTTATCTCGAAGAGAGAGGATGATGAGAGGGTCAAGGCTGACGAGAAGACGGGCACAACACTGACACCGGCCTCACGGGTCTCGGCTGGGAAGAAGGACAAGAAAGGGTCAGGTTTGACCCGTCAAAACTCGAACTTTATCGACTCAACGTTGAATTGGAACGACATCGCTTGGCTAAGAAGCATCACCAACCTCCCCATTGTGGTCAAAGGCATCCAGAGATGGGAGGATGCTGTAATGGCCATGAAATGGAAGTGTGACGGGATCGTCATAAGCAACCATGGTGGTCGAGCTGCGGACACATCTCCTCCGTCTATCCTCGTCTTGATGGAAATTCAGAAACACTGTCCCCAGGTTTTTCGCTCCATGAAGGTTCTCACAGACGGTGGGATTCGGAGAGGATCCGATGTTGTCAAGGCACTTTGCCTTGGAGCATCGGCCGTCGGTATTGGCCGTCCTTTCATGTACGCTGTCGGTTACGGTCAAGAGGGCGTTGAGCACTTAGCGTCAAGTAAGTCAAGTTTTATTCCTCTCCCCAGTTGACGGCGGGATATTTGTTCGGTGTGCTGACATATGGTGGCCAAAGTTCTTCAAGAGGAGATCAAAGTGGCCATGCAGTTGTGCGGGATAACGAACCTGGCTCGAGAAGCCAGTCCTAGCTATGTCAACACCGCCGACCTCGACCATTTGGTATATAGCAGACATAGCTCCACTCTCCCCTTGATGGACAAGATCAAGGGCAGGCTATAGACAAACAAAATTGCAATAGAAGACACAATGCCAATACATACAACTTTATCATGATGTGTAATCTTGTGTACATTTAAGTTATATACCTCGGGTCAGAAAATGGAGCCTACTATCTAATTCTCATACAATCAATCTCGGCTCTAATGAAAGCGAAATAATGAATGGCAAAGTCCTGATCTATTAGCGAAATGTACAAGTGGCACGCCGTGATTTCTCGTCATCATCTTTGCCAGTCCATCCACATCATTCCATCCACGTCACCGTCTTGCAGTACAGGAACTCTTCCAGCCCTTGATAGCCATTGAAACGGCCGAAACCACTGCTCTTGACACCGCCATGAGGAAGGGCGAACTCGTCATGCACGGTCATGGAATTGATATGCACGGCGCCCGAATCCAAAGCCCTGGCCAGTCGGAAAGCGGTGCCCAGGTTCTCGCTGAAAATAGCCGCCGACAATCCGTAGTCTGTACCGTTTGCCAGTGCCAAAGCCTCTTCCTCTTTTTCATAAGTGAAGAAGCTGACACTAGGCCCGAACGATTCGTTACTGAACAGCTTCATCTCATCCTTCAGACCAGCGACAATCGTGGGGCACATTCTCGTCTCGTGCTCGAGCTGCGCGCTCGTGGACTTGACTTCAGCGTCATTAAGAATCTGTGCGCCATGCGACACGGCATCCTTGACCAGATCCCGGTTCCTGCGCGCCGAGGCAGCGGTGACGAGAACCGGGGTTGTGTCCACGGTTCCGAAATGACGCTTCACTTGCTCTTTCAACTTGGCCTCGAAGCGGTCTGCGATGGAGGTGTGCACAAGGATTCGTTCGGTAGACATGCAGATTTGGCCGGCCTTGATAAAAGGTATAGTCAGTTCGGCGTGCTCATATGAAGCATCGAGGTGGCTCAATGGCACACTGCAACAGAGAGATTCAACTTACATTCATGAAGGCACCCCTGGCGCAATGTAGGGCAGCCTTATCAAGATCTGCGTCCGCCAGGACTATGGCGCTGGCTTTTCCTCCCAGCTCCATGAGGGAGGGCTTCAGGTACTTGCCGGCGAGAGAAGCAATCACGCTTCCAACCATACTGCTGCCGGTAAAGTTGACTTTCTTGACCTCGGGAGCCGCGATGAGCGCCTCGGTCACGGACGCGGCGTCCGAGGGACGGTGGAGGAGAAGATTCAGGCATCCTTCGGGCAAGCCGGCCTCCCTGAACACATCGACTATCGCCCAATAGCACTTGGGCGAGAACTCGGGTCCCTTTAGAATGGTGGTATTACCGGTGGCGAGAGCAAAGGTAATAGAGCGAAGACCAAGATGGTACGGTGCGTTCCTAAGACGACTGTAAGTACTTAATGGCATAGATATAATAAGAAAAGAGTAAAAGCGTACCATGGAGCAATGCCGAGCACGACGCCATATGGCCTCTTCTCAATCATGGCGCGCATACCAGGGTGTATAGATTCGGGCACCGAGCCTTGGACAGCACCGGCGATCCTACCGGCTGTGTCCTTCAGCCCTTCTACTGACAGGCCAAGAATAAAGTCCTGGTAGTCCTTGTCTGCTCCAATCTCCTGATGCATGTATTCTCCAAGCTCGTCCTTGCGTCTCGTGATCACGTCGGCAGTGCGCAAGAACAAGTCCCGTCGCTCTGACGGCTTTGTCGCAGACCAAGCCGGGAAAGCAGCCTGTGCGGCATGAACAGCATCGGCTGCATGTTGTTTCGAAGCAGATGAAGCATTCCAAACCGCCTTCTCTGTCAAGGGGCTGATGACCGGGAAGGTCGTCTCAGTTTCGATATCCCGGCCATTGATAATCAGCGGGATCGTCGAAATACTCCTAACAGACTTGCATCCGATTGACCTGGCCCCGTGGCTGCCGATGAAAGTAAGAGCCTTGAGCGAACATTGCCTGGGCCCTGCGAGGCCAGAACGCGAAAGAAGCCGTCGAGTCAACATCGTCAAGCCCGATTAGTCGATTACTCAATTAGTCGGTTTCGATCTCCAGTTAGTAGGGCGGCACTACTCTTCCTTTCTCCACGTCTTTGCCTTGAGCGTTATCTTATGGCCTATCCATATCACCTACCCAGGAGCGAGACAGATGCATCAATCAATAATCAAGTAACTTCTCTGCGCATTGCTGGTGCACTGGTACAGGGGATACATTAGGAAGAGGGTGGGGCAGATTCCGGGAACGGCCCCGGAGGGGGTTCCGAAGTTTCCGTAGTGCGTCAAGACATCAACTGGTCCAAGCGCGAAACACCTTTCGCCCCCTGGCATGTGATGCAGCGAGGGATTACCTGTTCAATAGAAGTTCATGTCGGATAAGCCTCGTTGAGACACCTAGGAGCAGACAGAGCAAAATCACTGCGCAGGTATGTAGACCATGGAAACTTCAAAGAATACCTTGCCCTTGGCCCTGAAAGGAGGTCAAGTTGCCAGGTTTACTTTCATGTGATTCGACGGAACTCAGGCCCGTGCTTTCGGAAATGAGGGACTTGTGGATAGGCGCTGGAGTCGGTAGGCGCACAACAGAAATATGGTGCCTGTCGGAACTCCCGATACTCAAAGCTGGGCTTCAGCAAGTGCTCACATTTGACCGAGTCTAAGCTCCCTTTCCATCCCGTGACACCGTCGCACCGAACAAGACCCTGATGAGAGCAAGTGGCTTTTTTTAGATCATTGCAGCGCATCGGACATCTTTCCTAAAGTACGAGAGACCCAATCATCTTGCCGACCCACCCATCCTCGACCCCAGAGCCGCGATGGCTTCCATATCCCTTTCGTTCCGTCAAGCTACGCCTGCCGATATAGACGCGATCCTGCCCATCATCCGCAGAGCCTATCGCGGCCGTGAAGGTTGGACCACGGAGGCTGATTGGCTGAACGACAAGCGCATCTCACCCGCAGGTCTGCTGGAGAAGATCAACAACCCTCGAGGCGTCGTGTTCGTCGCGATAGATGACGGGACCGGAGAGGTTGTCTCCTGTTGCGAGCTCGAGCTCCAAAAGTCCAGCGGTCTGCCCGTCGGATATTTTGGCTTGTTCGCCGTCGACCCATCGAGGCAAGCACAAGGTATTGGCCGGCGCGTCATGGAGTGGGCAGAGGAGTACGCCAAGGACAGATGGGCAGTCCAGAGCATGGAGATGTGGGTGATATATCTGAGAGACGACCTGATAGAGTACTATGGCCGACGGGGCTATCGTCGAACCGGAGAGACTAGGGAGTTCCCGTACGAGCACCTGTATGAGGGGAAGGCTTTGAGAGACGACTTGTATTTCGATGTACTCAGGAAGGAAATTCCCCCGATACCCAATTAGGATGCAGCATGTCTCTGATTTCACGCAATAAACACTGTGTAGAAAGATTGATATGGTTCGTTTTATACCAAGCACTCCGCTTGTAGACGACAAATGAACATCTCGATTCTTAGTTCCTTGGACAAAAAAATATCAAAGCAGAGCGCGCCAACAAATGCTACACCTCCGCTGCGGCCGAAGTCATATGTGGCAGGCGTTTCGTCTTCCTCTAGCGAGCGATACGCCGAGCTGAAGCTCCATGCCTACGCTACCTACGCCGACGCCTTGGTCCGATTCCTCCAAACGTAGCCCGGCGCGTTGACCAAAATGATAGTCAGCAGTGGCAAGTCTCTGTGGGGAAACTTGCAGGGATACACAGTTTATGGCTGGCGCGGCTGAGGTCCTGTGGTCGCTTCAGAAGGTCTCGAGGCGAATACGAACATGCTCCTAGGAGTTCAGTCTTTGGCCGGCAGCTGGTCGTTTGTTCAAAAGAACACCTTGTCGAAGACTATTAGGAAATGTTGGCACTTGGTCTTGTGGCGCGTTGTCTATTCGTATTTCCAGAGCGACTTCTAAGCATGGAAGCTCCTAGTGGGAAGGCGACCAATAAGTGTGAGTCTAGGCTACTAAACGCTAGAAGGTCATCCCTCTCATCACGCGACAGCTACAACCGGCAAAGATTCTTTGCTAGCATCCTTTTTCTTTCCTCCGCCATAGTGATACATTGTCCACCGATAGCTCTGAGTCACCTGCGCCACTGCATTGACGCAATGGCATGCGAACAGCAGGTAGTTTCTCGGGGTTACGGCCAAAGAGTAACGCATAAAGGTGAAGGCGTAGATAGTAAGAGCACCGGTCATCGGACCAGAGATTCTAAGGAGTAGAAGAACCAATCAGCCCATGACGCCCTTTGAATTCAAGACGCAATGGTGTGCAGAATCTGGCCAAGCTTTAGGTATGACTCACCGGTCCGGGCTCTTCTGTGCGTCAGCGATGGCAGCAAGAGGCACTCCGAAGTTCGACGCCGGACCCCAGAAATCTGGTTTTGTTCATACTAAGTCAACAACTACAGGTCTGGTTTGTTACACAGGTGAAGATTCATGGGCTTACGGGTTGAGCAGAAGTAGTCCAAGGTCGGGTTTGCCCGGATCCTCTTGTTGACGGCCCTGATGTAGGCCAGAACTCGCGACATAGTGGCGCAGGTTGTGCTTCGAGGGCGACTCCGGCCGGATTGAGCGTCGTTTGATGTATGCTTAAGAGCTCTAGTATTGCTGAAGACAGATAAAACTCTTTACATTGTGAAGGAATGTCTGGCTCCTGGGCTCGCGTTCGCGATCGGGGATAACACAGATATCCGGAAATAGTAGCTGGCGCGCGATCTTGCGACTGGGTAACTAGACCTGATTCAGCATTCAGGGTAAGGAGTGAGTCACCTTTGTATTATTCCCGTCAAATAGCGTTCTATTGGCATGCCTGGGATACCAAGGCGAGAAAGCATCCATACACACAAGTCTCAATTAGTTGCAGCTCGGCTCTGAACTAGCCATATGGCTGTCCCAATGCGTCCGAGAATAGTCCCTCTCTCCAAACGACTTGCTTAAATGCTGCGTGATGGTCAAGGCCATGTCTATCAGGAAGAGTGGTGCTGCTTTCACACTCGACCAGTCTCAGTCTTCAGGGCATGTCTATTTCTTTGCCAGAGCCAAGGGAGAGGTATTGGCGCCAGCGTGCTCGAGACACAGATGCAGTCGCACGAAAGTCGAAGTGTTATAGTTACCTGCAAGGAAACTCAGACCATGATAGGAAGAATTACCAGACAGAAGCCAGCTCGTATTCATCAAAGCCGAGGCTTTATGTATTCGTGTTGGTATCGCTACCGCGGACACACAGGTCATAAACTCCAAGGCCAACACCCTCTCCCTTGATTAGCCAAGTACGTTTTACATGCAATGGACTAGAATGGAAGTCCTAGAGATACACAGAGTGCATGATTTCAGTGGGGATGCTGCCCACAATGCAAAAGACACTGCCGTAGACCTTGACACATGCTTTGCATTCTCATACCATTCTCGAGTTTGGCAGCTGACTGATCATTTCCTCTTGTAAGAATTCTCTAGGCCTTGGGTCTTGACCAATCTTAGTACTGACAGGGTCAAAGGGGTTGCCAAGGCCGACCTTGGGCTCGAGAGCTGAGGCAGATAGGCTGCGAGAAGGTCGCTAGACGGTGTCACTCTGATGGTGAGCCTTGCACTTCGTAATCTCCAAGTTATTATATCGAACAGCGATCTGAAGCCCATGCATTGATTTCCTGATCTAGTTAATATTGTCTAGAGGGCAGCACCGTAGATCTTAGGTGCTCTTTAGTGGATCGAGGAGTAAATAATATTGAATATCCGTGACACAAGAGCGTATTTTGTTGTTTGAGGAAAAGCAAAGAAAGTCAAAGAACAGGCATGGGAGCTGTGGTTGTTTCTTGCATACAGGGGAGGCCATCTGTTCATGAGAGGTCATGAACACTTGATTCACCATCAAGCACCACCATGTCAAGCTGACCGACTTCGGTCTGTCCACCTTGTTTGCCAAATAATCAAGGCTATTCCAACAGCTCACGCGTGCCAAAAAAAAGAAAGCCAGCAAAATAACATTGATGTTAAGGAGCAAAAAATGACTGGTCACGGTGAGGATTGAACTCACAGCCTTCAGATTATTAGTCTGACGCGCTAACCAATTGCGCCACGCGACCTTGCTTGTGGGTGGGTCGAGTCCCATTACTTCCTATACTTCTTCCAACATTTACTGTTAGCTCAAGATTCGGGCAAGTCCATTCGTTAGTTAGCGGATCTCGAGATTCAGCGGGTGTGATGTCATGACATAGTTCCAGTGGCTGTTACGACTTGAACCTCATGAAGGCTTCTTCCTTTCTATAATTATGATCGATTCATGGTGAATATGCAGCATATGCAAAGATCGGAGCCCCGATCGCTCCGAAGGATCGACCTGCATGTATATGTCAGCCTGTGTTGCCCTTCTCCTCTCCTCTGAAGAGGGGCAGGCTTCCACTTAATCTGGCATCGGAAGCCTCGATCAGTATTCATCAAATGTTGAGCACACATTGATTGAAAGAGCAAATCCATCATGTCGTCGGTCCCCAACATTCCTCTCGTCAAGCTGGGTGATGGCACACAGATTCCCGTGGTATGGCGAAGCCCCCGCCCTGCACTCAAGTCGTGAACAGCTCCGGCTGTATCTGTGCTGGTATGCTAAAGTCAATTCCGCACAGCTTGGCTTTGGCAATGGAACGGCATGGTATAAGCCAGATCGTTTTTCTGCACTGAATCAGGACATGCTAGACATGGCCAAGGCAGCCATTGCTGCCGGCTACCGACATTTCGATACCGCCGAGGCCTACGGTACAGAGGCAGAGTTGGGTCAAGCGATCAAGGAGAGCGGCATCCCTCGCCAGGAGTTCTTTGTGACGACCAAGATTGCGCAGACTTTCAGCGAAGGCAGTCCTGAGGATGCGGCTCTCGGCTTGGAGAACAGCCTGAAGCGTCTGCAGATGGACTATGTCGATTTGTAAGCTCAAATTGCTTGCCTCTTGTCTTTCCGACTTGGGTTGCACGGTTCATGTAGTTGACAAACCTTAGGTTCCTCCTCCACTCTCCCTATTGCAACAAGAAAATGCAGTACGACGAGGACAACGTTGCCAAGCAGTGGAAGAATATAGAGCCTCTCCAACGTAGCGGCAAAGCTCGCAGCATTGGCATTTCCAACTTTCGCAAGACTCACGTGGAAAACCTGCTGAAGACGGCGCAGATCAAGCCCGCCGTGAACCAGATCATGTTCCACCCTTACCTACAGGGAGCTCCGGAATATGCCAAGTGGCTGCAGTCTCGCGGCATTGCTGTCCAGGGCTTCATGGGTCTCCTCCCGCTCACACAGCTGAAGGGCAAGCACTTGGACAGCACCCTGGAAGAGCTGGCTCAGAAATACGGGGTCAGTCCGAGCACCTTGCTAATTCGCTGGGAACTGGACCAAGGCATCATCGTGGTCAATACAACAAAGAAACAAGAGCGTATGAGGGAGTACTTTGCGGCATTGGACCTCAAGCTGACTGAGGAAGACTATGACCGGATCACGAAGGTTGGACAGGAGACACACCTGCGTCTTCCCGGCGGGGAACTGTACAATGGACGTGACTATAGCCCGTACTAGAACGCAGCGGTTACAGTGCTCAGATCATATTATGAAGAGATCGGTCGAGCTAGTTGGCATCTCTTTTACCAGATGAGGAAGCTGGTACCGGACTCGTTAGTAAATATCAGGACCAGGACAAGTCGCACATGCGCAAAGGACCCGTCCTGATTCGTTCCGATACCGCTCCTGGACCCCAGGCCAGGCCTTTCAAGGTCTCGTGATGACCCCGGCGCTCCCCGTTGAGAATCCAACTGTCTCCTGGGGAGCTCTCCACGGGAACCCCGTGTGGGTGGCGTGGGATGGTGAACCGTGTCGGGGGCTGCGATGCTGCATGCACGCGCGTACCTGTCTGCCACCCACACATGCGGACTTTGTCCCGGCTTCTAAGCGTCTTCTAGAAGGATTTTCTCACGCGATCTTAGTGCGGCAGTGGTCTTAGACAGGCGGAATTCTCCGACCTACAGGGGATGCTGATTGGCGAGTCATAGGGGAGGGATGCGGGATCCATCGTTGCAGCAAGAGATCTTGTCATTGGTCTCCCTTGGCCAAAAAGAAGAAGAATCTGCGTCGATCTCCGCCCCGGAGCTGCACGTCCGCCGCGCGAAGTGAAGGAATGCGGCCACAGAGTGAGCGTTATTTCCCTGCTAGGTAATGCTTATGTGTGTGATAATGTGCATTTTGTCGCATTGTCATCGCTCTTTCTTCGGTCGAATCTGCCATTAGTGGCTCCACAGCGATGCCACACCTCCACGCATATGCCGGCGCGGAGGCGCGTGACGATGTCCTCGAGTGCTCAACAACCCACAATGACATCGTAAGCCGCAGAAAAGCTTGTCCACGGGCGTTGAATCCTACCCGTCTGGGCGCCGGACGCCTCCCGTGCTTGGCGTGATAGCGCCGCCCTTGGCTTGGGCCGCACACATAACGTCTCTGCTGGATGTGGCGTGCTGTGATATAAACGTCGGCCAAGTTCCGCCATCTCGCTCTGCGTGGTGATTCCCTTTTTGCTCTTCCCTACGTCTCTCACTTAGACGAAAACACCAATTTTTCAAGATTCCATCTGTTGTCTGCCTTTCACCATGGCCGACACCATAGCCACGGCCGAGGCCACGACCCCGAGGTCCAAGCGGACCCAGGCTCAGCTCGAGCACCCCGTCAAGTCGGACAAGATGCCGCCGATGGACGAGAACAGCGCCTTTGCCGTCGCCCAGGCCGGCGGCTGGGAGATCGACGCCCTCATCGACGAGATGGAGCAGCAGGTCGAGGCCACCGGCGGCATGCGCAAGAGCCTCTTGGACCTCGAGTTCAAGAACCCCAAGCACTTCACCTGGGTCATCGTCGCCTTCGCCTCCATGGGCGGCCTGCTGTCCGGCCTGGACCAGTCGCTGATCTCCGGTGCCAACCTGTACCTGCCCAGGGACCTCGGCCTGGACACGCGGCAGAACAGTCTCGTCAACTCGGCCATGCCCCTCGGCGCCGTCGGTGGCGCCATCATCCTGTCCCCCTGTAACGAGTACTTTGGTCGCCGCTGGTCCATCATCATTTCCACCATCCTCTACACCATCGGCGCCGGCCTCGAGGCCGGTTCCATCAACTACGGTAAGGCGTGCCCCCGACTATCACTGATATCAATCTTCACACACACACACACACACACATCATACTAACAAACTATCCAAAAAGGCATGATCGTCGCCGCCCGCGTCATCCTCGGCCTCGGCGTCGGTCTTGAAGGCGGCACCGTCCCCGTCTACGTCGCCGAGACCGTCGACCGCAAGGTCCGCGGCAACCTCGTCTCGCTCTACCAGTTCAACATCGCCCTCGGCGAGGTCCTCGGCTACGCCGTCGCCGCCATGTTCCTGCACGTCCCCGGCAACTGGCGCTACATCCTCGGCTCCTCGGTCGTCTTCTCCATCGTCATGTTCGCCGGCATGCTCTTCCTGCCCGAGTCCCCCCGGTTCCTGATGCACAAGGGCGACGCCCTGGGCGCGTACCGCGTCTGGAAGCGCATCAGGGGGGTCGACACGCGCGACGCCCGCGAGGAGTTCTTCATCATGAAGGTCTCGGTGCTGCACGAGCAGCAGGTCGTCGCCGAGGGCGCCGTCAACCGCCGCTACCCCTGGCTCGACTTCTTCACCGTGCCGCGCGCCCGCCGCGCCCTCGTCTACGCCAACACCATGATCCTGCTCGGCCAGCTGACGGGCGTCAACGCCATCATGTACTACATGTCGGTGCTCATGAAGCAGATCGGCTTCGACGACGAGCGCGCCAACTACATGTCCCTCGTCGGCGGCGGCTCCCTGCTCATCGGCACCATCCCGGCCATCTTCCTCATGGAGCGCTTCGGCCGCCGCTTCTGGGCCAACGCCATGCTGCCCGGCTTCTTCGTCGGCCTCGTCATCATCGGCGCGAGCTACCACATCGACCCCAAGACGAACCTGCCCGGCGCCGAGGCCTGCTACCTCATCGGCCTGATCCTCTACATGGGCTTCTTCGGCTGCTACGCCTGCCTGACCTGGGTCGTGCCCTCGGAGGTGTACCCGACCTACCTGCGCTCGTACGGCATGACCACCTCGGACGCCCTGCTGTTCCTCGCCTCCTTCGTCGTCACGTACAACTTCTCCGCCATGCAGGAGGCCATGACGCCCACCGGCCTCGCCCTCGGCTTCTACGGCGGCATCGCCGTCCTCGGCTGGTTCTACCAGCTGCTCTTCATGCCCGAGACCAAGGACAAGACCCTCGAGGAGATCGACCTCATCTTCCAGAGGCCCACCCGCGAGATCGTGGCCGAGAACGTCAAGAACATCCTCGACAGCCTGAGCCGCCTGTGCGGGAGGAGGGGTGCCAAGGCCGAGGCTCCTGCCTCTGGCGTCGCTGATGGCGAGAAGGACAAGGTGCATGATGTCTGAGAAGCAAAGGAAGCATGCTTAACCGCCATGTAGGATGCTGAGAAAGCTATCGTCATGTAAAGAACAAATAGAGATATAGAAAGAGATACAAACATCGCCAATTGCAGATCAATAGATAGAAGGTGACTCAATTTGGATGTCTCAGTGGGATGACTGTCCAAGTTGAGATACGAACACATCATTGTGCACGCCTCAATCCGACTTTCCCGAAAGAGGTGTTAAATTGCTGCACTCTTGGCCCTGAGCTTCACAACGGTCAGACAAAGGGAATGAAATCGATGCTACGAGAAATTCATACATCCAACATTCAACACTTCATCCCCGTCTATTCTGATATGTACATATTCATCCAGAGTCGAAGAAGCAAAAAGTCCTGCGCGTGCAGCGAATGTATTTGTGCAAAAGTATCTTCATTGAACCCCCAAGCCCCCTTTCTGTCTTTGAAACGACCGACCGAAACTTAGAATGCCAAGCGTAAAGAAAAAGGGGGTATGGTATATGATAAAAACGAGTATGTCAGGCCCTCCGTCTCGAAATAGACGAGAAGTGTGTATATATATGAGAAAATATGTGTTCGAAAAGAAAATGTGCAACATCTTGTGATCCATAAGTCGTCTTCTATCATCTTACCATATCGAGAAAACGAACACATCGACACACATCAACACAGAACATCCCATTCAGACAACCCCCACAACAATAAAAATCATACAAGCACCCACTCGCTCCCCCTCTTCATAAACTTGTCCAACAGCATCGTTAGGTCCGCCAGCACGAACCGGCAGATGTAGAAACCAAAGAACTCGGCAGCATGGCGCGTGCACAGCTCGAGGCCAACTTGCGTCTTATCGGCGTGGCGGAGACCGGGGTCCTCGACTTGGCGGGCGATTTGATCTATCTTGAGTCAGTACGCTATGTCTGTACAAACATAAAACAATAAGGAAAAAAACTCACCAACAGCCTGCGCAGCATCAAACAGCCGCGCCAGCGACGCCATGTAGTGCGCCTGCGGCCCCGTGAACTGCACGCCCGCCAGGTCCCGCTTGCTCGGCCTGCTCGTCGGGTGCGACGTCATGGGCAGCGACGGCAGCACCGCCTCCCTGGCCATGGCCGCCGAGTTCTCGGGGATGCTGTCCTTGCGCGCCAGGGCCCCGCCGCCGCTGTACCCGCTGTTGAGCCCCGAGGACGAGTTCTTGGACCGCAGCCGCCGCCACGAGAACCCGGAGCTCGTCTTGCCTGACACGCTGCCCGAGCGGGCAGCTGCCGATCCCGAGTTGGTGCCCGTCTCTGCGTCGAGCCCCGAGGATGCGTCTTTGAACATCGTGCTCGTGTGGTTCACGCCGACTTCGTTGCCAAGCTTCCGCGTGAGGGCGAGTTGTACTTGCTCGAGAACATTTTCCAGCGATTGCATCTCCTCCAGCACAGCATCGGCGTCGCAGGTATCGACCTTGGCAAGGTTCATAAGCGCCGCGGTAAGCAGATCGCAGTTGGCTACCTTGTCCTCGACGTTCTTGAGCTTGACATTCCTAACCTTCCAGACATCCTGCGGTACAAAGAGCTTGTTGCTGATATACCCTCCTCGCGGGTGGACAAGTGTCTGGAAGAGACACCTCATGAGCCAGAAAGGTCTCAGCATGCTATCCGTGGGACAAGACTCAAGCGGAACCGGCGCGTCGGCATAGAGAGGGTTGGGCGATCCGGGGCTGGCGGGCGAGTGGAAGTCGCTGTCGAAGAGATGCAAGCCACCCGTTCCGCCATTCGTCATCATCCTGTCCTTGAAAGCTGTAGCTACCGGTGTCGGAAGGTTCGGCATAGCAGGTAGCCTGGAGGCAGCTCCAAACTGGTTGCTATGAGGTGTGCCCGGTGACATATCCGATGCATCGTCCAGGTTCGACAGAGACATGTTGCGAGTCTTCATGCTCTTGAGACTCGACGAGGAGAAGTTCTTTCGTAGCCCTTGCCGTGAAAGTGAGGGAGAGCCGGAACGGGGATCGTATTCGCCTTGAGGGAGCGGCGGGGTCGGAGGTGGAGCCATATCTCCGGGGACCGGCGACGGACCATGTCTGGAGAACGGAGGCGGCACGCGGTTGGGACCGGCAGACAGTGCTTGCCTCTGCTGGACGATGAATCCTCCGGCCTTGGGCTGCGCCGCTGAGACTGGTCCAGTCAGGCTACCCGGGGGCGGTCCAATCTTGGACGTTTCGATCTTTAACTGCTTAGGATTTTGTCCTGATAACCGTCGGTCCCTAACTGTATCAGCATTGGCCGCGCTCTTTGCGCCCTTTGCTTGGGGAGGTAACTTGGGCAGGGAGGATGCAGGCGGCGGCGGCGGCGGTATGGACGGCACAGCTGACTTTGCAGCATCAGGAACGACCGTGTTCTCGCTGACTGTGGACAAGATGGTGGTGGCGGTGGGCGGATTGGACCCGGTCGAGCTGTGCCAGGTGCGGCTCGTGAGCTCACTCGAGTCGGATTCCCGCGGGAAGCCCGGTTTCTTCTGTCCCAGCCCAAATGCAAACTCCTCGATAGCATAGCCCGTAGTCATCTCTTCCAGCATCCGCTCCTCCTCTTCCGACTCGTTACCATCGTAAAAGTTCCCGCCCTCGTCATCCTCCTCTTCTAATTGCTGCCGAAGCCGTTTCTCTTGTTCGTTGGCAAGGGCCAGGGCCTCACGCTCGGATTCCTTCACCCGCTCCCTAGCGAGCTGCACCTTCTTCAGTGCTCTGGCAACCACATCTTCGTCATCATCACCATACTTATTAACCTCATTAGGATCCATAGGTTCGTAACCGTCGTCATAAGCAGCTTCGATAGCATCGTCTAGTGCAGCGTCAAATTCGGCCTCGGTATCTCCACTGGCTGCTCGTATGTGTTTCCTCCTTACGCCCATCGATGCCGACCTGGAGTGGACAGACGAGACGTCTGACCCGCCAGACTCGTCGATGGGGTCCAGCCATGATATCGACTCCTGACTGTTGGCCTTGGCGTGCCCCTTGTCAGAGCCTGATACCGAGGGTCGTCTCTCCGAAGTCATAGAGTAATCCGCACGGAAGTGCTCAGGGCTGGGCTGAACAGTTCTCCTCGGCGACGGAGGGCGTCGAGGTGATAGCGGCGGAGGCATATATTGGTTCTGCATGGGATGTTCAACATCAAGCCTGGCCATGCGTTCGCTCCCCCCCGGTGACCTTGAAAAGGAGGACTGGAGGGAGTACTGATCCCTCATCTGGGGGGTGGCGGCACCTGTCCTAGGGACATCAAGTCCGTTCTTCATCGAAACTGACGAGTCCTGCCTCATCCTATATCCTGTCGATGTTTTGATTGCGTAGCTTGACGCAGTAGCCCTCGGGTCAATATCATCTTCATCAAGCGCAGCTTCGATCTCCCCTCTCAGCCCGCTTGGCCACTCTTGAGAGTCTTCGCTGGTTCGGTTAGGACCCCGAGTTCGGCTTTCGGGTCTCGTGGGAAGGGGACGGCCGTCTCGCCTCGTGGGAGCTTCGAGCTGATCAAGTTCGTCGATACGTGTGGTGTATGTTTTCCGCTAGGGGAACTGTTAGAAAGGTATACAAACAGGGGATAATCCAACGGGCATGCTCACAATCTCTTCCAACTTCTTCCTGTCGTCATCTCCAGAAGTTCTCAAGAGGACCTGATGTAACAGGTCACAAGCCTCCGAGTAGGCCGCTCTCGCACCCTCGACATTCCCAGCGTTGTCGAGTTGAACAGCAGTGTTGGCCTTTTCGAGTGCACGCGAGAGCATAGCTTTCTGCGAAGGTTTGGACCGTTCACGGTTCTTGGCCGAGTCGGAGCTGCCCTTGCCGCCCTGCGACCTATGCCTGGCGTGACCCTTGCCGTCGCCATTGCGATCGATGGCCATTGCGTTCCCAGCCACTGCCCTCATCTGCATCCTGGACCTGGGTGACGCGGGTTCTTCTACAGTTGCGGATTCGGAGCCTCTGCTGGTTGATGTGGCATGTCCTGACAGATCACTGGCGTTTGCACTAGCTTGCCGCAGCAGTGGAGGCCGGTTCGCCAAAGAGCGGTCAGCAAGCGAAGGTGTCCCGGCGCGTACCTCTTGTTCTAGGGAGGGAAGGGCCACGATAGGAGGAAGAGATTCGAGAGGGCCGATTGGGGCGGGCGAATACGGTCGGGCAGTCGTCGCAGATGCAGGAGCGCGTGGAGAGTCGCCAGACGCGGTCGACGGACGTCGCGACTTTTGAAGCTTTCGGGGAGAGTTGTAGGTGGGCGCGGCGTAGGAAGGAGGGGGAGGAGCTGTCGTGGATCTAGCCTGGAGCGCGACGGCGTCAACGCTCATGCGGCGGCCACCGGCCGGGATGTTGCGCTGGAAGGCCGGGTTGGAAGCGTGGCTGGAGGTGGTAGAGGCCGACCAGCGGTTGAGGTTGCGGATGCTGTCGCCGGCTACGCCGCTGACGCTGCTGGACCGCGACGGCCGCCTGGTGGAAGCCGAAGGGTCAGTCTCGCTCAGCGGCGGCAGGTCCGCATAGGGGTAGTTGGCATTGGGGTTGGACTGGAGGGCGGGCGGGATGTGTGCGGTCGGCGTGGTCGGGCTGGATCGCTTCGCGGTGAGGTGAGGCGGTGGCAGCAGCGACGAGGTGCGGGCGGAGAAGAAGGGAGGTGGTGAGGTGGACTGCTGTTGCGCGACGACGGCGGAGGAGGCGATAGTGGAGGCAATATGGCCCTGGTAGGTGGACGTCGACGTGGGCGTGGGTGTGGATGAAGGGGCCGGTGAATTATGTGTAGGGGCCCGTCGATATGGGTGGCCCTGCTGGAGGTATTGCTCAGGGTATGCGGCGCGCGAATGGGGATTAGCGAGGGAGGACTTTGGAATGACGATCTGCGGAGAGAGGGCCGACGATGGTGCTAGAGGGCCGGGGGAGGAGACAGAGGCGTTCGGAGCGACAAAAGCTTGTGGCGAGTGCATCTCTCAGGACTCAAATCGTCGGCCTGTCTTTGCTGTCTACTACTCGTCCTGGTGTTGCGCACAACAGCAGCCGCCTCCCGTGTCTCGCCTCCAATTCGCGTGGTGTTGCCTCGCCTATCCAGCAATGTTCGGTCGAGCGACGGGGCCCAAAAGGGCGGCAGGGAGATGTGTCTGATTCTGGGCCGTAGATTGGCTGGCGACATCAGCCGGGCAGAGACTGCGACGGTCCCTGAACGAGATTGTCTTGCCTGACCTGAACTTCCCACGTCGTGTGCCGAGGAGATGGCGGTGTCTCTCGCGAGTCTAGTTTCTTCCCAGCTCTGAGTCCGGTCTGCAATGGAGATAGCACGATGGCCCGTGAAGGGCGTCAATGAAGATCACTGGCGTTTTCTGAAGGGGGGGTTTGGGAGGGCTCGAAAGCGTTCGAGAGAGCCAGGAGCCCACCTGGCCGGCGCCTGCCTGCCTGGGATCCGCCGCGGTGCTGTAGCGTCAGGGGTGGCCCGGAAGTCAGGAAGGAGCTCTTCCTTGGAGGGGAGGGATCGAGAAGGCGCTACTCAGGAACTACAAGTAGGTACCTAGGTACCTTTTCCAGCCTGGCGAGCCTGGGTCGTGGTTGCTTTTTGGTGGATGCGCGACTACCCACTCCTTGTCAGAGAAAATGGCAAGCACCCTGGACACCCTTGGACATCCTGTGGGAATGTGGGAATGCGAGAAGTCTCAAGTCTCTCTCCTCGGTGAGTGCCGAGATATTTGTCGCTATCTTCAACGCGTCTTATGTACGACGTCTGCCCGATGACCACCTGTCTTTGCCCTGGCCTAGGTCGGCTGCTGCACGGTACCTGCAGATTTCAGGGACTTGTCGACGCTTTTCTTGGGTAACACAGTGGAGGTTGGCGGCGGAGGTCCAGCAGGGCGACTGGTCCGGGTGGCAGCGGTCCCTGGCTGCTTTTTCCGTTCCTTTTGGCTGGCTGGCTGGCTGGCTGGCGCTGACTTGCTTGCTTATGTGGGAATGGCGTGCATCAGTTCCGCCAGAAAAGCAGCCGTGGGTCACCAATGTCCAAGTCGGGATCAAAAGGGGAATGGGGATGCTTTTGGAGTGCGTGCTTGCTCATGGCCCCCTTACCACTTGGTTACCAGATCCACGGTCTAGATGCACGCTTTATTATCCGTCCACGTTGTCTTGCGCTCTGGTCATGATCTTGACCGGTCGATGATCTACAAGATGCAGACAAGCTACTCGGTACCTCGAACCTAGACTTGACTCTTCTTCGGCGCTCCCCGGCGGCAAACACACGAGACCCGACATGTCTCCCGCCCATGTGGTGCTACTTGTACTCATGAATGCGTGCCCTCGAGAAGAAGCTCATGCATGGGCTGGCTCCTGCACCCCTAGAGCCCCTGCTGCAGCTGCGCTTCAGCAGACCCGGGACAAATGTACTAGAGTCTCGCCCAGATATGGCCAGCATCTGATTGATTTCGGCTTTATCAATGCTTTCAACGGCTTACCATAGCAGCCACGCTGAAAGGGCAACGAGGTGATACAGCCAACCATCGTAGCAAACAGCACTGCTTCTTGTTGTCAATTTGGGTGGTCTCTTCTCTCTCTCATCGGATTTGATTTTGAGCCCCCCGCTTTTGGTGGGATGGACGAGGGATTTCAGGGGCACTCTTCCGTGATTGGCTGGTTTCTCAACCGCTAGAGACCGCCTCCACAAAAGGGATGCGCCGTCTTCCCTTCTTTTAGTGACTGCGGGACCCTGTTTTTCCACGCTTTGCAGTGGAGTACAATGGCGTAAATTCCCGACCAGAACGGCTGATTGGGACGCCCAGGAGCGCTAACAAGAACGAGCCACCAAAACTTGGGTAATGTATCAATCGTTCGTGTTCGAGAATCCAGCACCCGCATCAATTCAATTAATTCAGCCAGCCAGCCAGCCAGCCAGCAGCAATGGTCGCAGTGAAAAAGTAAAGACAGCAAAGCGATGGGGGACCAATGTCGATGAGAGGGATCCATCCATTTCACTTGTACACACGGAGCTGGCGGCTGTTCGCTCTACCTGCCCACACTCCTCCAGCTTCCCTCTCGTTCCCAGACAGAGCTCGTTTCATGGCCGAATCCAACACCTCCACCTCAGCGCAAACAGCTTCCTGTTTCCTGCCTAGCTCAGCCCCCTATTGCACTGCAAGAAACCAATCCGCGCATCGGTGACAAATCCCATGCCTTATCCCAGGCCAAGCAAGGCCCTTGCTGTGTATGTTATCACCAGTGTTTGGCCCGCACTCGGCAGTTCCGGCTCCCGAGCAGAGGTCGAGCGGCTTGACAGCTCGACAACCAGCCGCGACGTCAAACCATGGCTCTCTCTGCTGTTGTTGTACCCACGCTACCAAATGTTTGCATAACTCGGCCTGGCCCAGCTCATTATCAGATTGACTCGCGCCTACCAGATATCATGAGACGCCGGCTGCTGATCGAAGATCATGACCTCACTGTCGTCGCGCGGGTCGGCTCGTAAGGGCAAATGTCGTCTGGACGGCATTTTGCCTCGTCCCTCCACTTTGCCTCCCGCTGTCTTGAACCTTTGGCGAATTCTATTTCTCGCCCGCGATCTACACAATTGGCATTTAATATCGCGAATCACAAAACTCCACAGTTGACTTCTTCCCCCTTTGATCATACTTGTACAAGTAGTGACGGGCAGGAAACATTCCTCTCCGTCCTCCACTGCTAGGGCTGAGAACCGCTCGTGTTTCAAGTCGACCTCGAACGCGTCGCAGGATCCCACGTAGGCTTGCTGCTTCAGCACCTGCACCAAGCTGACGCAGAAGGGTCCTGCACAAACATACGGAAGCTCCCAGTCTCTCGTTAGCGGCAAACCTGGAATGCCGTTGCCCACATCATCGCCTCCGTCGTGTCTCAGACGCAAGGCCCGCAAAGAGGCTCTTGTGGTGATCGGCAGCGCCTGGCCATCGCTGGTGTCTCCAGCGAGCCGCGTCGCAAGGATGTGAGCCCATCCTCTCGATCCCCCGGCCGCCACCGCGCGCGGGGCGTGCGCTGAGACGTGCCGCCCCCTGCTGATTGCATCCCTGTCCTTTATCCGCAACGGTGGTAAGATTTGGGGTCACGATCGTGCCGTTTGTCAGGTATCTCGCCCATTGAGACTGTAGCTGGTCTTGCTGGTGTTGCGATTCAACCTGAGACGAGCGGGCAAGCTCCGCGCGATCAATTGCGTGCGTGATTTGACGAGACTGACGTCAGCTGTCCTACGTGTGTGTGTGTGTGTCTTTTCCATCCCTTCTTCCAAGAATGCATCCATCCCTATGTTTCCAAAGATGAGTCTGAACAATCAATTTCTTTCCCAGTCCTCAAGCCTGTGCCCTCGAGGACAACCTTTCGTACACCTCTCGTCAGCCAGAATCAGACCTCCCCGTCAGCTCTCTGCTCCTTGCTCTGTTGCCTCTCCCTCCCGTTCCGTCTCCTTTCCAAATGGCTTCCTCCCATACACGATGTACCTAAAGATCCAAACGCAAGTTAGCACACGCATCCAATCCCCCACACGAGATATCCAAAGACTCACGTAGGAAAATAAAAATGGATGCCATGGTTCTTGATGTCCTTGCGCACGTCCACGAGGAACAGCTCGACCTCCTCGGGCGCCATGCCCAGCCCCTTGGTGAAGATCCGCATGGACACGGCCTGCAGGCCGTCGAGGAAGTTGGTCATCTGCCAGACGCCCATCATCTTGGCCTCCTTGCCCCGCGGCCACGCGTTGCCGGGGATCGCCCTCTTCTCCTCCGTCACGTCCTCGAACCCGGCCTCGGTCAGCCACTGCCGGTACCGCTTGGGCGCCAGCATGTCCCGCCCCAGCCGCCTACCCCCTTCGACGTACATGTGCGTCCAGCGCTCGAGCGCCGTGCCGCGCATCGTGTCGTCGACGCAGCCCAGCCGGCAGTAGTAGTCCTGGAACTCGACGTAGCCCCCCGGCACGAGGTTGTCGTACGCCGCGCGGATCACGCGCGTGTGGTCCTTGAAGGTGTGGAACATGAGCCGCAGGTGGATGTAGTCGAAGGGCCGCGAGTAGATCCAGTCGTCCTCGGCGTCGTCGACCTCGAAGTGGCAGTTGGCGGGCACGCTGTAAGTGTCAGTCAGGGTAGTTCTGGTGGCAATATCGTGATGGGGAGATGGGAGGATGTACTAATCTGGTTGTATTGGGCTGAGGTCGGTGCCGAGGACTTCTGCTGAGGGCCACAGGGTTGCTGGTAGGTTGAGACAGGTGAGTATCGTATCGAACGTCGGACCGGGACAAGTACGTACCTGCTTCTATCGCCCATATGCCAGTGCCTGTACCCAGGTCAAGGATTGACTGCGGGTTCTCGACTGGTGCGAGTCCCAACTTTCCTTGTAGTAATTCGTTGAACACAGCGTGTTGGAGGTCTTGTCGAAATCATCAGCCCATGGTCATATATCTTCTCAAGACTGACAACGCTGTCATACCTAACCTATCTTGTTCGAGCTTTAGGTGTGATATCAGCACAAAGCAACTTTGGGTACTTGATCATCTCTCCGAGTCCTACCTCGTCATTTGGCATCCAGTATTCTGCGCCACAGTTAGAACCCGCAGCACCAACAGGAAGGATCTCCATCATGGGGACAGGTTCACTCACTCCCTTGCTTATATCTATGATATCTCCTGCCATGCTCCTCCACATAATCATATATGCTCGATCGTAATGAAGCTGTCGACGGTCTGCTTGAATCGTGTCGTTAGTCGCGGAGTCAGGGAAGACTGGAGCTCGGAATTGGGCAAGGCCTCGTACAGTGCGTCGGTTCTATCGACGTCGCCGACGGCGGAATCTGCGTCATTATCGACCTGTATTCCAGCGCTTAGCAAACCATCCCGCTTGGCACTCATGTCGGGTCTAGCGCACACTGAGGTCGACGGAAAAGTGGCTCTGGTCGCTGATCGACGACCGGTCCCGGTCGCATATGCCCGGGATCGCATCCGTCATGCCGTGGTACTCGTCCGGCCTGCTCTCCGAACTCGTGGGCCGCTCTGGCTTCGCGGGCGCCTCCGCTGGTGGCGCTTGGCTCTCCATCTCGGCGTCCGCCACACTGCCACCAATAGACCAATCAGGCCTGCCTCTTTGGAACTCGCGTTCAACACTCAAGCGCAAGGCGTCGTCAATCGCAAAGTGATGGATCGCATCAAGCTTGTGTGGACTGGAAATGACTGTCGGCCGCGAGCATCTCACACGTGGGATTCCCACGTCCCGGGAGAGCGGTCATGAGATGGGGAAGGGAATGGAAGCGGGAGAAAAATAGAAGCAGAGAGCCGAATTGCGTTTTCTCGCCGCATTTTCTACCCTCTAATACTCTAATTCACCCGCCCGGGGCGAGTTCTCTGGGACTGGTTCGACTGCTCGCGCGGCACGAAGCGAGATACCCGCAGTGCCTAGGTAAGCTCTACCACCCAGCGGTCCCGAACAGGGCGTAGAGCTTTAGCTCTCTCCGACCTGCCGTCTTTGGCTGCACGGATAGGAACCGCTGCCAGTCTCGCCGAGTGGCCCTTTGGGCGTGGACAGATCCTGCCCTCGCTAGCAGAGTGTACGTTGGCATTCGTCACTCATGTGTGACGCGGCCAGGTTGCAGCAGTTAGGCCCGATACGGCCTGGCTATCCACTTCCAGTGCGGTCCTGTGCCAGAAGAAGAAGCCCAAATCACAGTCTTTCGGCCGTGGAGGGTGGCATTGGCTCTACGGCGAAGCAGATTTACCCGTGCAGTTGCTTGTACGCACCGCACGAGCAGTGGGGTCCTTTGGTCGTCGTGTGTGGGTGGGCTTGCCATTGCTTGGCTCCCGGTGGGAGGGGGAAGTGAGCAAAACCCTATCCTGGCGTTCAGCTCTCACATGGAATCCGACCAAAAATCGCCGAGTTGGCGTACAGGGGTGGCGGTGCCTGTCCTGGTGGTTTGAGAATTGTGCGATGATCGCATGCAGGTGAAAGCACAGTGTCTCCAGATAAGGATCGATGTGATTGATGTTCCTACCCCCACGTAGGCACTGCCAGAACCACCAACCTCGGCCGTCATTTTTGGCTCTTTCAGCTGTACAGGAAGATGACTGGGTTGATGAAGAATAATTGCTTGGCCCACGTGCTGCCTATGGATGATTGCCTTCCCTAGGCTGCATTATCAGCTCCAGGACTGCCTTCCGACACATCGTCAGCCGCAGCACCTGAATTACAGCCAGTAGCAAGTCTAGCAAGTCTACTTCTTGAACAAACTAGCAGAGAATCAGCAGGATTGGGCTGCCAATAAAAATGAGCTATTGCGCAGTCTCGTCCAAAGGTAATTGTGCTACACGAAGTCTTGGGTGATCCCATGTGTCCAGAGCTCTTCTAAAGCGAAGACGGCGAAGTTGGAGATTATCCCCACCAAATGTCTTCAGCCGCCACGGAGAGCATGGGTTGTAGATCAAGTCTTCATCAAGCATCTCAATAGCGTGAATTCCTGGAACGTGAGGGTCTTTCAGCTATTGTACAAGTCGATAAACTACTGGAAGAGGAATTCAAGTTGAAGGGTCTCGTTTTGCATAAACAGCAAGTGATCCCATCACAGGTCACAATCCTAGTAGTTAGGCATCTTGTTCAGTATGTTTTCCGAACGGTTGAGGAAAACTCCCCCCAAAATCCTGACGCAACAGCTTTGCCTTGGCAATTGGCGTTTAATCAGTTTGCCATGGACAAAGCCGTTTCCATCATATCGTGTTGCAAAACCACTCCCTGGTGGTACAGTCTGCCTCTTCAAGTAAGCCATGGGCTCCTTCATGCTTGCTGACCCTGTCATTGGAGCCACACTTCATCGACAATGTCTCTTGGAAACACCTACCATTATACCACCGCCACCAGCACGGCTTGTGTGTAGCTTCCGCTAAAGTCGTTTCCGAGTTTGTAGCACCATTTCACTGATTATGCGAGACTGCTTCCCACAACAAATTACATCGCGTCACCTCCATCCTGATTGTGGATGCTAGAGGTTATTTGCCTCTGCGAGACACAAAGCCTTCAGCATAGTCAATGCAACTGCTCTGATTCCTCGAATAGCCCATGAAACTATAACAAGTTTCATAGCCATGACTACTACGATGGGAGAGGACTTCATCATGCTGTTGTCCGCAATGAAGGGTGGAATGCAAGAAGCGGAGTGAGGACTAAAAGTTCTCCAGATATCCAACTTCATTGTTCCTTACCCGTATTACGTTGATACTCGGGTCATCTGTTACCATCTGGCAGCCTCCTTTGAGTGCCATTGCAGAACGGGCAAGTGCTAATCAATATATCAACGGTGACCTCGCAGAGTACACCTGCCCCTACCTAAATTTAGACTGGCCTGAGCTGATGCCTGTGCACACCGCCTTTTAGCTCCTCACGTTGCACATCTTCAGTGATACAAGCAACCCAAACCACCACAGTCCGCAGCTTTTCCGTTGAAGTTTTCACACTGCCGAGTTCTCAATCACGATGTCCAGTGTTCCTTCAGGCGTCGCAGCCACAGAGGGCGTGGGTGGGAATCGAGCGGGCCGCCAGCTGCAACTTGCAGATCTCCGCAACGATGACCATTTCCCTGCATTTGACGACCTGTCGCCCAATTTCTACGCTGGGGATCCCGATGCCTCAGATGATGAGATCGGCGGCGGGCCAGCCAACTGGTGCTTCCTGGCTGAGATACTCGACGCCGAAAACTTCACCCGCGTCAGACTCGTTGTTCGGGACAAGGAGGGTGCCAAAGTTGTGCTCGCTTTTTATACTGAGGACCGGGGCAACGAGCTGAAGCGCTCTCTGCTGCGGCCTGGAAATACGGTGGCCGTCTTGCGTGCTCGATCGCATCAGTTCCTCGACTCGTCAGTTGGAGTCCGCCAGGAGAAAGAGAATGCAGTCAAGGTCTGGTCGTGTCCTCGCCTCTTACCCGGGATATCCGGATCGCTAACCATTCCACAGATCATCACTGCGACTCTGACCGAGCTACTCCGACTCAGCGACAGTGTCCGCATATACTCGAAGGATGCTGCTGGAAAAGTTTGCCACGGGTGCGATGAAGAGAAGAAGCCTCTTCTCAGGTGTGCCAAATGCGCCATGTTTTGGTATTGTGGACGGGTAAGTCAAACCACGATCGGCACTGGTGGCTCTGTTCGTTGATTAATGATTTCAGGACTGCCAAATGACCGGCTGGAATGAGAAGGGCCACAAGCGCGACTGTAAAATCATCAGGGACAACGACCTGCGCTCTTTCTTCTTGTTTAACTGGACAAGTTCCCAAGCGAAGCCCAGATTCCCTCTACCTGCTCCGACAGCGGGATGAGCAAAGCATATGCAAGTCAACAGATCCGGTTCAAGTCTCCGGATGCAGACCAATGACTATTCTTCGTTTCCTTGGGGGTTTTGAAGTAAGGGACTTGATAAATGGCGATTATAGAAAACTGGGCATGACAGAAACCCTGGTCATGGCCACAGTCCATTGAAATTCTAACCCTGAACGTTGAGTCTCATGCAAGGCTATAGAGCCAAAAGACTCAACAGTCATTTTGCTCGATTGATCTCTAGAACACTGTTGCCACATATTCCCTTGCCCAACAGAATGCAGATAGTCCGCAACATAGTGTGGGTGTGGGTGACAGGGAATAAAAGTTGACCTTTCGAATCCGATTCCTCGTTGATACTCGTGCTGTAGTCATTGGGCTGTGATTCTCGATACGTTTCCGTAGAACTATGCTCCGAATGGATTTGGGGGTCGCATAAATGTTAGGACTGTATAGCACCCTTGGCAACGTATATTAGTTCCCCTAGATAGGATATTGAAGTGAGAGGATCAACAATACTGCATCATGGCCCACTTGTCGACCGATATTGGGTCGTTTGTGCCATGAACTGTGACCTCAGCCACTCTTTACCATACGCAAAGATTCAAGAACGGGAAACCTCATCAGCCAGAATCTAAGGCGTGGTATCTTCACTAATCAACGAGACCGAGCCTGAATTCTAATACTTTGACAATCTCCTGCCAAGCCATCATGCCACCAACCCCCGAATCTCCGCAGGCAAGGGTCTTTTCCATCGGCCTGAGCACCTCGAACCACCCGGTGCCGTCGGGCTTGACGCCCCAGTCCTCCTCCAGGATGCGGATTTGCTTCCCCGTCAGCGGATGGAGCCACATCGCCGTGTTCATCGCCGGCGCCACGAGCACCCTCTTCTTGCGGCCGTCGATCGTGCCGTCGACGTCCCACGCCCTCAGGGTGGAGGTCAGCAGGTTGTCGCATATGCCGCTCGTGATCTTGGCCAGCAGGTTCGCCGACACGGGCGCGATGGCGAGCAGGTGCGCCCAGCGCCGCAGCTCGATGTGGAGGATGTGCGCGCCCCTCGTCCAGGAGGGATCCCACTCGTCCTCGTCAAAGTAGACGCCGTCGACGTTGGGCAGGTCCGACAGCGATGCCACCGTCGGCTGCTCCGCGGACTGGCCGGCGAGGAACCGGGCCGCGTTGTGCGTCAGGATCACGCGGATGGAGACGTGGGGGTATTTGGAGAAGGCGCTGATGATGAGGGGCAGCTTTATCGTGGCCACGGAGCCGCTGGCTGCCAATAGCAGGTGGACCTTGCCATCGTGCAGCGATGCTGCGACGGCAGCTGCGGGGTTTGGATTCGAGACGCTGCTCTGTTCGGATGGCATGTCTCATACAAATGAAATAAAGTATACGCAAGGGCCTATCGAAGGCAACGATGTGCAATTCTCTGATAAATTCTGATGTGGCGATTGCTGGGACTGTGATATGTCAGCGTGAAGTCTGAATCATGAGAGGAATTATTCGGGGCCTCCATTAGCGCGTGGTTCGGCCGGGAGCCGGTCATATGGTCCGTGCGTCATGTGAGGAACGCCGAGTCTGATGGGCATGAGACTTAGAACTTGATTATGAAGTACGGAGGAGACTTCCGCATCTGAGTGCAGAGGACAGAGGAAAAATGTGGTATGGAATTGATCTTGATTCAGCTTTAGGTTGGTGCCAGGCAAAGCGCACAAGCCGAGGCATTGCTGAACCAGCTAAACTCCCTAGTCAAGGTGTGTGATGCAGACGTCGTGAATCGCAACATGACAGTCAATTTTAGCTTTGAGTTGTCGATGGAAGGTTTCCAGATAAATCTATGCAATCATATTCATATCCTTGTCCGAAGGGTGTAGTACGGAGTAGTCATCAGGCCGTTTCTTCATGCCAAGTCGTCCGGATAAACAGCTGGCATTTATCCGCGCTGGTGAGACGTGGTCGGAAGTATGAGCATAGCTCACATGGCAACACATCAGTCATTGTTGGATAACTAGGAAGTGGCGCTATCTCATTCTTACAAACATCTATCTTGAGGTATGCGAGGACAAGGCTAAGGTAACACGCAAACCCGCTTCCTTCTCGATGTCAGTTTGAGCTTCTGTCTTTGGGTTGAGCTGGAACCAGATTTGCCAGCCATGGCACGCCCAGCAGGGCGCTATGCGATTGCAATCGTCCTAATAATTTCAGTTGTACTCATATACAAGTCCAGAGTGTCCAGAGTACATCCAACACTCTCTCTACTAACTTGGCACTCGGCCTCACATTCCGGTGGATCAAGACTCCAAGATATACTCAACGCGACTCTCGGGGTATGGACACTATCTTGCCTGGCCTGGACGGCTATAAAGAGCTACTAACATTCAGTCCTAACATGTAATCTAGTTCCAGGAAGTCTTCGTTATAAATCTTCCATCCCGCACCGACCGCCGCGATGCCATGTCGCTCGCAGGTGCCGTGACAGATGTTCACCTCAACTACGTGAATGGTGTTGATGGCGGCAAGATCCCGGACAAGGTGTTGCCAGCTGACAGCTGGAACAAGAAAATCAACGTTGGAAATAAGGGTTCGTGGAGAGCACATATGAACGTGCTACGAAGGTCTGTCCGGATTCGGGGATGGTCGGTCTCTCCGTCGACTAATCTCAAGTCGATAGCATCGTTGAAAGCAATCTTACATCAGCACTAATACTGGAAGACGATACAGACTGGGACGTCAGGATCAAGTCACAGCTGCAGGTCTTTGCACTCGCGTCTCGAAGCTATCTACAGCCATTGCGAGACGGCTCCATGCTGAGCGACAAATACGATAGCCCAGTGCCACATCGTCTGAGCACTGAGGAAGTCGCGACTAGCTACACTGTCGCTCTCCCTGATGCACCGCCATACCAGGTACCAAAGAGAAGCCCATATGGTGATAACTGGGACGTTCTATGGCTCGGGCACTGCGGCACTGAGTTCCCGGGCTCTCTGCGGGAACTGCATCACGATGCAGATCTTAACAAGGCGAACTCCTCGTTGCTTCGCATTTCCGTACCAAACGATCCTACGGTTCCCGTACCTCGACATCTAAGGCCTCATCCATTTGCGCTACAAGATGACCTTGGTGAAGCCTACGCGCCTGGCACGAGGGTGGTGCATGCCTCGAGTGGCACACTGTGCACGCAAGCGTATGCCGTCAGCCAGGCTGGTGCACGCAGGTTACTGCACCAATTTGGCCTTGAGACCTTCACTACAGGTTTCGACCTAATGTTGCGAGATTGGTGCGATGGGATGTACTTGCATGGAGGAAGCGAGAAGCAGGGTCGGCATAAGGGGATGCCAATGTGCCTTACTGTACAGCCCCCTTTGTTCTCGCATTGGCTTTTCGAAAAGGAAGCGAGTTCGGATATCATGGCCCAGGGCGGCGGCTATCTTCATAAGTCAGGGTCGCAGTATCAGAGATTGAGTACACGTCTGAATCTCGCGCGCCTGGTCGAAGGAACCCAACTGGACGACTTGAGGGATCAATGGCCTGACTCGGAGGAAGACGGTTTAGCTTGACTGATCAATACACTTTCGAGCACTTTTCTCATACTGTTTTCTTGACAACGCCAAAAGTGCTTTCATGTTCTAGTCTATCATATAAACAGAGGAAGTCTATGCCGATCGCTTCGCAAGCTTCGCAAGCTTCGCCTCCTGCTCCGCCAGGGGGTTGACAACGCCGTAGATCCAGGCCTGCTTCTTCTCGTCCGCGAACTTGGGGTACGGCCGCCTGCAGTCGCAGCTGTCGAGCGAGTAGCCCCGGATCTTGGCGACCACCCACTTGGTGCCGTTGATGCCGCCCTTGCCGAACCCCCACTCCATCTTGGCGAGCTCGAGCTGCAGCGCCTCGGCCTCGGCCGCCTTGCTGGCGCGGTAGAGGTCGAAGATCTCGATGCAGACCCGCGGGAAGAGGTTGGCGACGCCCGTGATGGTGCCGGTGCTGCCGACGGCCATGGCCGGCACGAGCCAGTCGCTCTGGCCGGCCAGGGCGCAGAACTCCTCCGGGCCGAACTCGGCGCGCACGCGGGCGACCTTGGCGATGCCACCGCAGGTCAGCTTGACGCCGACGATGTTGTGGTGGCGGCCCAGACGGGACAGCATGTCCGAGTTGACGTCCAGGCCTGCAACGACGCCGGGGAAGTTGTAGATCAGGACGGGGATGGGACTGGCGTCCGCGAGCTGGCATCGCCTTTAGTAAATCACATATATCTCACGTGCTAAATCATGGCGGGCGCCTTGCTCACCTCCTCAAAGAAGGACACGATGGCCTCCTCGTTCATGGCAAAGTGGAAGTAGCTGGGGACGAGGACGAGCGCAAAGTCGGCACCGGCGGCCTTGGCCAGCTGGGTCTCGGCAATGACGTGCCTCGTGGACTGGCCACCGCAGCCCATGGTGATGGGGAGGTCGGGGCGGCCGCATCGCACCGCAATCTCACGTGCTGTCCTCACGAGCTTCTCCTTCTCCTCGTTGGTCAACGTCACAGACTCGCCATTTGTGCCGGCAATGACCACTATTCTCTACAATCAGTAAAGTCGCCACTATGGGTGTTTCGGAATGAACTGTCTCACCGCCGTGAAGGCCAGAGTTCACGAGGAACTCGATGTGCTTGGTCTGGACATCCCAGTCGATGTCTTGCGTGCCCTCGTTCTTGAACCACGTCAGGGAGGGGACGTGGATGCCCGGAGGGAAGGCCTTGGAAGCAGACATGGAGCCCATCTTTGTTGTCTGGCCTGGTGGTGAGGATGAATCTTACACGAAAGGGCTACAAGGAAGGGCAAGTGAGGAATTGGAGATGACACACCACCCAAGAACGAGGAAAACTAAGCCAGTAGTCCAAGTATATCAATGAGCTCGGGTGAGTGGTCAGGACCCCAACAGTGCTACACGCCCGTGGGGGTCCCCAGCCTGGACCTTACAATGCCCATCGGGCATTCTGCCATTTGCCATGTCTTCGCGCTGGGTGGGACTTGCAACACCCGATCGGTGTAGGTGGGTCGTACAGTTGAGATGGGTCGGCGCCACTCCCGATCGCCTCGGCCGGAGCCCACATTACAATGTGGCGCTAGGTACCGTGTCTGGCTGCTGGGCCACGTATGTATGTATGGCGGGAAATGTCACCATCCAATGTGTTCACGATAGAGGCAGTAATATCAAACAACGCAAGTCCCTAGTAGACAACCCAGCCCAAAGGGAAGGCTATCAAGGATAACTTTATATGTCTATCCCCGAAAGAGGAGCGGCCCGTGACGTAGGCACGTTCGGTGATGAAAGTACAGCATACCGCATCGATCACACCCCTTCGAACTTATATAACAGGCCAAGGTCCTGGATCCTCGACCCGTGTTAGTCACTCTGTTGCCACGTGGTGCTCGACTTGGGCCAGATCACTGCCGGCTCTTCAAGCCAACATGTGTGGCTGAAGCTCAGAGTGGCTCATGTGAGGAATGACACTCTCCAGGTCGCAAGCTGCCTCTATTCACTTACTGTTAATTCTGTTCAACTTCTAGCATAGATGTTCTACAAACGAGTTGGATGAGCCTGTAGCACCCATCTTGTCCGTGCCCATGATACAGGTCCATCCTCCTACTCTTACTTGCGAGACTTCTCTATTCTTTGCAAATGGTTAGATGAACTACCAGTGACTTATCAACTCCAATACCAACATTCTGGCTCAGATTTTCTCTTCGCATTCTCCCTCGGATACTTTCCCAAAGGAGAAACCAGTCTCTTGCACTTTGTTATAGACGGCTCGTCTTATGGGCCTTCCTGATTAGTTGAATTATGATGCACTAAGCTACTTCTCCAAAATTGCCTGCTTTTCCTATGCCTTGATCAAATGCTTGTTGACCGCCGTCAGAGGCGCCTTTCCGTCGAGAACCAAAAGGACATTCTCGATAGCTAGCCTCTCGAAGCCAATATTGGTGTCCAGAGCTCCGCCGGCCGTGTGGCAGGTCAGCGTCGCGTTCCGCTTGGAAACCAGACGCGGGTTGACATTGGGCTCGTCCTCGTGCACGTCCAGGCCGACGGCAAACAGGTGGCCCGAGTCCATCGCGTCGGCGACGGCGTCCGTATCAACCAGAGTACCACGCGCAATGTTGACCAGCCTCGAGCCCTTCTTCATCTTGGCTATCCGCTCCGCGGTGATGATCTTGCCGCCCCCGCCCGGCGCCGCGAGGACGACGCAGTCGGCCTGGCCCAGGAACTCGTCCATGTCCTCGACCCGCCTGGCCTCGATGGCCGCCTCCTGCTCGGCCGACTTGGGGAAGGGGTCAAAGTAGACGATCTTCATGCCGAAGGCCTTGTACGCCTTCTCGGCGATGGTGTAGCCGATGTTGCCGAGGCCGATGACGCCGAGGACGTGGCCGCGCGGGTTGAGCGCCGTGAAAGGGCTGCTGTGGTGCGCGTCGAGCCACTGCTCGCGGTCGAGCGTGCGCGCGGCCATGTTGGTCCACTGCATGTTGCGGAAGACGGAGATGATGTGGTAGATGGCCATGTCGGCGACGGCTTCAGAGGAAGCCGAGGCGCCGTTGCAGTACAGGATGCCGGCCTCGGCGAGCAGGCCCGTGTTGACCCAGTCGTAGCCCGCGCCGGCCGAGGCGATGACCTTGAGGGACTTGGGCAGCAGCGAGATGAGCTCCGCGTCGTAGGGGGCCATCTCGTTGCCCGTCGACCACTGGCCGCGCGTGATGGCGGCAAAGTCGCCCCATTTCTTGGTGCGGAGGTTCTCGAGGAAGGCCGGCCGTTGCCTGTCCGCGAGCTCGGGCCGGATGACGGTGAACTTCTCGCAGAGCTGGGCGTAGAGCCCCGGGCAGTGCTTGACGGGGTCGCCCAGGTGGAGGACGATGGGCTTTGATGAGTCCGCCATGTTTGCCTGTTGGGAGATGTGTATAGGAGCTAGTAAGGTGGGATCACAAGCTTGAGGTTCAAGAAGATGGTAATTTGCACCTGTCTTGGGGTATCACGAGTCGAGTAGTTTGAAGCTCTTGCTCAGGTTCGCCGCTCGCCAGAACGTGTAAACATAAAGAGCACTTGGTACCTTCTTCTTTTGATCCGTTTCGACCCCTCTTGCCGAGACCGGAATAGACAGCAGTCACGATGATACAGACCGTTTCGCGATGCCGCAAAGCATCTTCAACGCACGCCTGACCTCATCCTGCACCCCGCTGCCGGTCCGTGGTCGGGGACTGTGGAGTTTGAAGCGAAGCGAGTCAAAAAGTCCCCCACGCTTCGTCGGCTACGCTAGAGAATCGGTGGCGCCAAGATGGCTCCTCAGCATTTAAGCAGTGAACCACCACGCTTTGAGATCAGATTGGGCATTGCGCTACAAGTCCGCATAGAGGATCTATCGGTATCTACCCCGTCGCTTCGGGACAAAGGGCTTTACATTATGGAACGGATAACCGCCATCTAACGTACAGCAGGGCTACGAGTCCAGTTCGTCAAGCCACGGGATCGAGTCCTGCGCCCCTCTCTTCTCCACCGTCCTTCGAGCCGCACCATTCGCTATCCTAACCGCCTTCTCAATGTCGAAGCTCTCCGCCGCCGAGCCACCGCACCGCACCACCTCGAGCGCGTACGCACCCACAAACGTGTCGCCTGCCGCCGTCGTGTCGACCACCTTGGCCTTCTCGGCCGGCACGTGGCCGGACCTGCCCCCGGCGTCCGCGTAGTACACGCCCTTGCCGCCGAGCGTGATGAGGACGTTCTGCGCGCCCCTGGACTGGAAGATGCGAGCGACCGCCGCTAGGCCCTCGGGCGTCTCCACGTCCGCATCGTCGCGGCCGGACATGAAGACGGCCTCGGTCTCGTTGACGACAAAGTGCGAGACGTAACCGTAGTACTCGTCGGGGATCTGTTGCGCGGGCGCCGGGTTGAGCAGGACGGGCACGCCCTGCCGGTGCGCCGTGGCCATGATCTGCAGGACGGTGTCGAGCGGGATCTCGAGCTGCATGATGACGAGGTCGGGGAGCGGGGCCGGCAGCTCCCGGAAGTGCTCCGGCCGGACCGAGTGGTTCGCCTCGGGCGACAGCATGATGCGGTTCTCGCCCGTCGCCTCCTCGACGATGATGACGGCCACGCCCGTCTTCATGCCGGACCGGACCTCCACGCCCGAGACGTCGACGCCGAACTCGCGCAGGCCGGCCGACATCATGGTGCCGTAGGCGTCGGCCCCGACGGCGCCGACCATGCGCACGGTCGCGGTGCCGCGGTCGAGCGCGGCCTTGGAGCGCGACAGCTTGGCGCAGGCGACGGCCTGGTTGGCGCCCTTGCCGCCGAGGCCGACGTTGAACCCGTTGGCGGTCATGGTCTCGCCGGCCTGGGGGATGCGCGACGTGTACGTGACCAGGTCGATGTTGAGAGAGCCGATGACGGCTATGACGGGCGTCTTGGTGGCCATTGTGATGCGAGGTTGACGGGCGTCAGGTGCTTCTTCTCAGGTGATGCCGTGAATAGCTGCGACAATGGGCTCTGCTTCGGTGCTGCGGCGTGACTAAGCGATTTGGATTGTACCACTTCCTGACAGCTGACGGACCTTCGACCTGACTCCAGCCTGGCGACAGAGCTATCTCTTCAGTACCCCGTTGATGTGCTTTCCGAATGCTCGAGGGCTTTGTTGTTCCCACAAATTTGTGCGAGCTCTGTTTAGCGCATCCGACGACCGTCGGCAGCGCCAAGTTCGCCCCAATCAGGTTAGTGTGGAGTTCCCAATACCCGTTTTGGCGGGGAAGCTTCTGAATTCGAAGTCGACTCACTCAGGCCTGTAATGTTGGCTCAATGGCAGTTGAATAAAGAATATTCGCTAATGAGGACTCTTCCAGTCGTCGTTCTCGCAGTTTCTGTATGTCATGTGCCGTGCCGACTGGAATTCGAATGCGTGGTGAAGATGGCAGTCTCGTGGTGGATGTTCGCTTCGTGTTGACTTTACGGTTCGTCACTCGCTCTCTCTGACGAGTTCTCGGGGTTGACCTCAAGCCCAAAGGTCGACCTAGTTGCACCAACTCAAAGTTATCGCCGATCACAATGTGTTTGCGGATGGGTGGCGAGGCTGTCCTAGAGTAAGCGTGCCAGCATATCAGCAAATATCTCATGCCCTCCTCTGTTAGTCATGAGTGTGTTCTGCCTTGTTCTGAGGCTAATTCCTTATGTTGAGTGTCTTCACGGGACCATTAATCTGCTTATAAGCACGCCGTGCATATGTATCCAGTCAGTCCGAGTCGTCCAATGAATGGTCCAAAAGTCAGGGCTCTTGTATCCTGGGCAGGAAAGGTGACTGACTCGGTGGCGCTCGAAGCTATGTTCGGTGTGTTATATCAAGCATATCTTGCTATTTTCTCGGGGGCCCAGCTCGGTCTGTCTTACCAGGAGTCCGACAGGCTGAGCACTATTTTCAATCGACGTTGGGGGCCTGCCTGAGACGAACACTTCCGCGCAGCCATTTTGCACCGTAAGACTGCCGAGAACCTTCCTGCTACCGCGGCGGACGCGTTCAAGATGCTCGCACGACGTGGTACTTATCTCCATCTTCTTTGGTCGACAGTAGTCTGCGTCGCAGCGAGGTTCAGTCAACCCGCTCGGGACACTCCGACCTCGCTCCCCACGCGGCGATCAGCTCTTTTCTGCTCGACGCGCGAATCTTTTACCGTTGCAAGTGCTCATGGGAGAAGAACTTGCATGTACATGCCACCAGCCCTCTTGATGACGGAGTGCCGTCACCATTTCAGAAGGAGGGCAAGTGAAGTTCATGTGGATAATACCATTGGCTTATTGTCACGCATGTCATGGTTCAGCGCTGAAGCACCATCACCGCACATATTTGAGCCACAACAACACTGGCCCCAGTCGCAAAGTAGACCATGGATAGTTATCTACGCTGTCTTCTCTATTGAAACCAAATTACTCTACTATATCTTCAACTATCACTACCATCAACCAACTTTGGACCACTGGTTCTCCCGATATGCGGGGAGCTCTGTGCGTTCGATGAAAGCAGGCAGTTCCGCTGCATGTTTCCTCATGGATAACTGTTCCGACTCCGGCGATGGCAGCTCCGCCGCGGGCGATGGCAGCTCCACAGCAGGTTTCCTAACGGGCTGTTAGTCTTTCTCGTTTGTTCCCGTTGCCAAGGCTGTCTCTTACATTGGATCTTGCCGAGCAGTTTCGTGGTCGAACCAGATCTGTGACCCTGCCCTGTTCTTCCCATAACGCTTTCTAAGGCATATGACGATAGCGAGAAGAATACTAGCGCCCACTACGCCGCCGACAGAACCGCCGATTATTGCCGACTTCTTGTTCGGAGATGGGCTGGGCTCTCCCGTCATTGACGAAGGGGCCGAGGCGGTAGGACTGGAGGCGTGATCTGTGGAGGTGGTGAGTGTCGCCGTGAAGCTTGGGATGGCTGAAGTTGTCGAAGACGCCGTTGACGAGCTGTAGGAAGCAGTCCTGTTGACAATCGAGAAGCCCTTCCCAAGAGCGCAGCAGTTCTTCTGTGCGTAGTCGTGCCCGCCGCAGCAGAAGGTCCCGTCGTGACATTTTTCGATGGTCATGTCGATCGAGCTCATGCGCTTGCCTCCCTCGTCTGCCAGGAGAGATGGACCTAACAGTCAGCGAAGCTGTCACCAAGTGGGACGGCACAACGTGGTCGGCGCACTCAGCTGGTCATCGTAACAGACTTTGAGGCACTCTGGTGCCTGCCACGTCGGGTCAGTGCAGCTCTCGCGCCAGAGCTGGCCGCCCGGATTGTAGATAAGCCCGTCTTCGACGCAGGTATCTCCATCTTTTGTGTTGTAGCACATGCTGTGGCCGGCTCCGGTAGAGCATGGTTCATATCGGGTTTTGCCGGCAATGGTGTCGTTCCTAGCATTTCGATCCGTTCCATCGGGGAGGTAACACCCTGCTTGCACCGCTAGTGAAGCGTGCTGGAGCCATAGTATGAGCAGTCGAGCCAGCATTGCTGTGGTTCCAATACGGCTCCGTCAACATGGGTTGCTTGCGAGGATGGATGTTGAAGGGGTCAATGGCTCAATTTGGGCAAAAGAGCAGAGATGGCATTCGGGGCCAGCAGGCGGCTAGCTGGAGGGGGCCAAGAACCACGACGAAGGCAGTGCTCCGTCTTGTGTTACATGATGCTGATTCCCCTGAAAATGGTTTGGCGTTGGGGGCGGGCGGCTAGGCAGTTCCTGAGGTTGGTCACACAAGACACCACGGCGGCAAAATTGACGCTGGAAAAGGGGCAGGATGTGCGCCTGGTCGCTTCAGCTGCTGTCATTCATCTGGAAGTAGCCGGCTGAAGAATTAAAATGGGTAATTCTTGTAAAAGGGCCAATGAATGCCGACATGCAAACAAGTGACAACACACCATCCAAGTTCAGGACGGTTTCGGTAGTGATCAGAGGGATGTAGCATCGCGCAACGTGTGAGGGCAGCGCCAACAGCACTGTCAAGTACATAGCCTGATGGTCGGGGCATTTCGTCCATTCACTTCGTCTATGCAAGATGGCTTGGTCACTGTCAGCGTCTCAGGAGGGGTGGCAAGAGCGCCTCTCGTTTCAGTGGTAGCCTGCTGTCGATCGGCCCGTTGTCTGCCTCCAGCTATCCCACCCTCGGGCTGCAGGCCGTTATCACCGAGGCCAGTAGGAGCGCAAATATCTTCCCAGGGTAGGATTAGAGGCTGTGTGTGTGCGCCCGATAATGCAGCAACGTGTATGCGTCCGCTTCGAGGGCCAGACAAGGCCATGGCGCCAACACACAGTGTAGGTACCAGGCTGGGCAAACTCGTTTGATTCGGCGCCTCAGCCAGTCCATTGGCTAACATATTCGCCGAGCTGGGCATCTCCCCTCTCGGCAGATGAGCAGCGACTGGAATGTGGGCTTTGCGATTGGGCACAAGTAGAAAGTCTCTTGCTGAAGCCTAAATCCTACCCGCCATTGATAAAAGAATGAATCAATCGCCCCTCCACACAGCTTTTGGACGATACTGACCTTCATGTGTGAGATACTCTGCCAACAATGGATATGACCTCACTTTCAGGGTCAGCTTCCACCCCCGACGATACGCAGCGACCGGACACTCCCTCCAGAGGCGAGAGCTCGAGCAGTGCGGCGGGGCAGAGCCCCGGCGATCCGCTTCACCCACCTCAGGAGAATGTGAGCTTTCGCGCACGCGATATCCCCAATGGCTGGGACGAACAAAGGCTGCAAAGCTTCATCGTGAAGGATCACTACTTCTCCGGGGCAACCTTTCAGTCTGTAACTCTCGAGACCCACGGCGAGTCTCGCACGGCGACTGTCACCTTCGATAGGATCCCGACGCAGCTACAGAACCTCGGGGAAGGAGGGCGCTGGAACATGTCCTTGCCAGGGACCTCACATCTCTATCCGATTCCAGATCCGAACTATCAACCTCCCATATGTCTCGAGTCTGAGAATGCCTACGATATCTCCAAGCACATACGCACCCGGGTTTCCAAGCTTCCCGAACTATCAGAGTCTTCAATTCTAGATTTGATTGAAACGAAAGCTTCCGGAATCTACATTTGGGCTCGACTCGTAGTAAACCTGGCTATTGAACTTCATAGGAGCGGAGCAACATTGGAGGAGATAGCAAAGCGAGTCGACGATGCTCCTCCAGGTCTAGACGAGCTTTATCTCAGCCTCGTGAAAGAGATGGCCAGCAACGAGTCCTCATTGAAACTTGTACAATGGATTTGCTTTTCCAGGCGGCCACTAGACCTAGGCGAGCTGCGATGGGCCATGGCTGTTGAGCCCGATGGTTCACAACAATCCATTCAAGGCTGCAAGATAAGCAACAACTACATCTCGGATGACAATGCATTGGAGTCCCGAGTCACGGCTCTTAGCTTCGGGCTTGCTGAGATAGTGCCTTCAATTGATGCGCACACAGTCCAATTCATTCACCAGTCCGTGCAGGACTTCTTCATCGAGAAAGGCTTATCCGCTCTGGATGAGGGCTCCCCATCCACCGATGTGGCTATCGGCATGGCACATTTCAAGTTGTCCAGGATTTGCATCCGCTACATGATGCTCGAGGAGGTCTGCCAGAACATGGACTCTGCCTTCAAAGGCCCTAACAATCAAGAGAGCATCAGGGAAGAGGGGTTTAATGATCATGAGATCATTGAACGGAGATTCCACGATGAGCATGATAGCTTCGGGCGCTTATTCACCGCGCTTGAAGCAATAGCATTACGCTTCCCGTTGTTCCGTTATGCTGTGGCCTGCTGGATCTCACATACATCCCAAAGCGACGCCAGAGGCATCCCCCAGCGGGATCTCTTGGAATTGTTTGGATGGCCATCAAAGGTCTCTATTGGGCGGTGGGCTAACCCTGATGAGACTGGCGAATTGTTCCACCTAGCCCGGGAAGATGAGGGTAGCAGCCTTGTCCATATTGCATCCGCGAGTGGAATCGAAGGACTCCTGAAAGCTATACTGGGGTATCCAGATCAGAGCCGTGTTGATTCCAAGGATCAGCGTGGCCGCACGCCACTGTCATATGCTGCCGAACGGGGCCATGAGGCTGTGGTGGGGCATCTGCTTTCGAATAAGCATGTCAATTCTGATGCAGAAGATTTTCTTGGCCGTACACCGCTGTCGTATGCTGCCGGGCAGGGCCATAAGGCTGTGGTCGAGCATCTGCTTTCGAATAAGCACATCAATCCTGATGCAGAAGACTCTTCTGGCCGTACACCGCTCTCATATGCTGCCGGAGGGGGCCACCAGGCTATAGTCAAACTTCTACTTGCAACACATCACGTCAGTATTGAATCAAGGGACGACTTTGGCCAAACGCCACTGTTCTGTGCTTCCTGGAGCGGTCACGCCGCTGTCGTCAAGCTTCTGGCGTCAGAAAATGGGATAAACCTTGATGCGAAGGGTCCTTCTAACTGTACGCCACTATTATCGGCTGTCAAGAGGGGCCACACAGATGTGGTCAAGTTTCTGCTTTCCACAAATAAGGTCGACCCTAATGCAAGGGATCAGTCCCTCCGTACACCACTGTCAATTGCTGCCTGGCATGGCGATGAGGCTGTGGTCAAGCTTCTACTGTCGGAACCTCAGGTCGATCTTGAAGCAAGGACTGATTTTGGAGAAACACCATTATCAGTTGCTGCCCTAGCAGGCCACGCAGATGTGGTCAAAGTTCTGCTCTCAACACAGAAGGTCGATCTTAATGCAAAGGACCTTCGCAATCACACTCCACTATTATTGGCTGCCCGGCAGGGCCACATAGATGTGGTCAAACTTCTACTTTTGACGGGTCAGGTCGATCTTGATGCAAAGGCTGAAACTGGCCGTACCCCACGGTCATATATTGTCGAATTGGCGCCTGAGCTTCTAGCCATGCCGCAACCTTCAGCAAATCTGGCCGAAGGAACATCAAAGGGGACACTGTTGGTGGAGTCCGTGCAAAAGCAGCGTTATCTGAAGTCTCCCGACCACCCTGTTACTCTTCACGATCATCTGGGTGTGGCTACGCTACTGACTGAGATGCGAGCTGACAAGGAAGGACCGGCATCACCAGGTCTGGATGGTGATATAAATGACAAAAGCTACTGTAGCGATCACTCACCACTCACAGGATCAACACCATCAGTAGGCCTCAGTTCAGAAGCTTTCGGGGCCTTTCGTGTTGAATATGCTCTTGAGGGCGGCAGTCCAGACTCTATAAGCAACAGGGTCAGATCTTGGGTTGAAGACTACTTCGATACTGAAATCGACTGGTGGCCACTTCCGCAGGTCCAAAAACGTCTGCGGTCCGATCAGGCTAGGTTGCACTGGAACGTGAGTTACCACTATTCCCTCGGTACGAGCCGTGACAACTAACCCATTCAAGTATTGCGGACGAGGAATGTCCCTTGTGTTGGATCCGGAAGAGGCAAAGCATCTGAGGAGCAACCCTCCAACCCATGGCAGCGGCACTGCTCCAGCCCCGGCCCAATCCCCTCCCCCAATACCTGTAACCCACAGCACATCCCCGAGAACCAATTCGAGTGTGGTGCAACCTTGCAGATCGCTGCGAACATCCAAGGATCGGCAAGCACCTCCAATTATCCACCAGAAGGAGTCGTATTTCTGCGTCGACCGGACTTGGACCGCCATATCGCAGACAGCCCTTGCCAAGATCATCTGGGAAGACGATCTGTCTAATGATACCGATGAAAGGTTACACCGTGAGATCAAGGCAGCTATAGATGCCCAGAGCAGTTGGTTGCAGCGTTTTCTGTCTTGGCGATCATTTACTCAAATGCACTTTTGCAAGGTCAGTTAGATACGCCATCTACATTTAACAACGCTGATTGATATTTAGTTTTATCGCACGCCCGAACCTTACAGCCATTTCGAAACCGAAGAATTTTCGACGAAAGATCTTCGAGAATTTAGTGACAACTACGAGGCTACCTTGCCTCAAGCCACTGATTTTGGACTTCAGATGCGCATGACAGCCAAAATGATACTTTTGGGGATCTACGATCCAATAGTGGGAATCCCGGCCACACGTGAAAGTAGTCAGACCGCAGCGCAGGTCTTGGCCCCACGTATCCCTAAGTTGAAGGCCCCTCCACTAGGTAACTGGGGTTGGGGATTTTATGCAATTCAAGGTCCTTGCATATGGAAAATTCTCTGTTGGATTGCCGTGTTACTAATATTGGGTCTGGGGTTTGTGCCAATTTGGCTGTCTTCCATCAGCAGCGTTGATCTTCAAAACGCATTTGCACCTGTAACCTTTTTTGCCACGGTTTTGACAATGTTGATAGCGACCTTCGCTATTGCTCGCGAGATATCTTGAAACAGAAGGGAGATAGAGAAAGGAAGAGTGCCCTAATATAACAGCGATCTGCCAGAATGCCCATGTCAACTTGGCTAGATCTAGTGTCTGTTTGTTAGATCGGAGAATGTTTGAACTTCACCTCGGTGATTTGATAGAAGTCTTCTTTCCCCCACTTGGAAGTTATGTAATAATCATGAAACTCTTGACACCGTGGACTTGAGAGCCTGTATGGTTATGCCATCATCATACTCCATAAGGCGTTGCAGGATTTCCCATGAGATTAGACGCAAAGTGTATGTGTATGTGCGGGGAGGAGGAGAAGGCTTATTAATCTCAGCCCTCAGAACGAACCTTTCTTTCCCAAGGCGTCTATGCTCGGCCTTCTTGTAGCAGCATATATCTCAAATTAAATGTGTCTAAAATTTGCGGGCTTTCATCACTGTCGAGACCTTTGGCGGCAAATCCTTTTCTAAGGACGCTGGTCGTAACTTGTTCACCCTTCCATGTCCCACTGTTTCTTGACTCCGGTACTGATACCGTTCACGAGAGAAAGCTGCAAAGATTATCTGCCCAAAATCTTCACTGAGCAGCTCCACGTAAATTTTCTGGGCACGGGAGGGAGACATGGAGTTTCTCAGGAACAAGGGCTTGCAAGGTAGTCTTACATATAATAAATTGCCCGTTGTCGTTACCTTGAAGCATGTGGATTCCATAAGAAATGATGAGATGAAGTTTTCAATACAACCTTTTATCCTGTCATCAAATAATCGCCTGAACGGTTTCTCATGCCCTGACAGCGACCAAGAAGAGACGAGGATACCTCAAAAGCACCTTCCCATCGACCGACACCGGATACAACCCCTTCAACTTCTCCAGATACTCCTTCTCGAAAGCCACCCTGTCCTCGGGTCCCAGCGGGTCGAGAAACGGGCGCAGCCCAGTCCCCTTCACCCACTCCACCACACCCTGGTGATCCTCCAAGGGGTGCTGATAAAACGTGTGCCAGATATCGACAGCGGAGCAGAGCGGGATCAATCCATCATACAATTCCTGAGGCGATTCAAACGGGTCGAGCGCAGGCTTGAGGGGGCCCAGCACCGGCGCCCAGGGGCCCTCCTCCGCCACGGCGCGCATGGCAGCGTGCGACTTCTCCAGGTAATTATCCGGGACCTGGATCGCCAGCACGCCGCCCGGCCGAAGCCACTCGACCATCCTCCTCATAGTCGGGATGCGCTCGTCAGCGCGTAGCCAGTGCAGCACGGCGTTGGAGAAGATGAGGTCCTGCGGCTCCTTCGGAGAGTAGGTCCGGAGGTCGACGACCGAGAACGGGATGTCGGGCAGCCTCTTGCCCGCCTTGGCGATCATGTCGGGCGACGAGTCGATGCCCTCTATGGCGGCGGCGGGGTACTGCTCCCGGAGGATCTCGGTCGAGTTGCCCGGCCCGCAGCCGACGTCGAGGACGCGGCGTGGGGGCTGGTCGAGGGGCACCTGGGCGAGGAGGTCCCGCGCGGGCCGCGTGCGTTGCTTCTCGAACTTGAGGTACTGGTTCGCGGACCAGTCCTTGCGCGCGGTGTCTTTACCATCGGCCATTCTGTAAGGGCTTGCCGTGTTGTGAAAGTTGGACGAGAAGATGATGTGCGAAGAAGCGGCTCTTATGTGTGAGTGAGAGCTGCCGGCAAATCGGGAGGCGCCAAACAATGCCGAGCAAAGCCGCCTTGATGTCATGCTCTCTCTCTCTCTCGATCACTCGAAGAATTGCTTAGATACGAGTCAAAGCTGTGATGGCTTTTCCTCAGATACAAAGAACTCTCTTATTATACGAATTGAGCGGCCTTCGGGGTATAATTGATCGCCAACTCCTGCGAATGAGCTCCGAGCCGATTCAGTTCGTAAAGGCGCGCGCCGCAAAGAGTGCGGTCGGGGATCCATGGAAAATGCCAAGGAGATTAGCGCTCGGAGGCGAGCCCGCGCCGAGATGTCTGGACCCCACATGGACCATCAGTGGAGGTCGGCGGCGGACCAATCATGTATGTTACAAGTAAAAGCGAACTCGGAGAGTCGATCTCCGGGCGAGTAAACAGTGACGACAAGTCACATCGAATGCTGCTTGCTGATATTGGAGTCGGAGCCTTCATTCAACCCGGGCTGCCGTGAGCCTCCTTGCTGCTGACATAGAGATACCTGCTGAATATCCTGCTCCTCTTTCTTCATTGATTCCCATTCATGCTACCGCCATTTGGCCGATCTCCACCCTGATCCCCCTGCTGGTCTCCGTTTCTACCCCCCTGCCGGCTCGGTGGACGCGGCTCGGCAATGCAAGTTAAGCATGGCCCAAGATAGAACCTGTCACCCACCTCGCTGTTTCTATAACACACAGCTGTCAAGCTCACGATATCGCCATCTTCCAGATACCCAATTTCGCAGCCATTCTGTGGTGTTACCAGCGGTCTGTGTCCGTCGGTCGTTGCCTCGAAGAGGCATCCGCGCCTAGTGTTGTTGTCGCTCTAATCAGGCACACAGGGCGAGTGTTAGTTAATATTCCAGTGTATCATCTCTGTAGATCGGAGCTATCATTCAAGATAGTTAGAGGTCCTACAGGATCGGACACCACACCGCTGGCTACGAGGTCGCCGGTCGCCAGACCGCGGCCAGATGCGGCCAGATGAACGAGCAATTGGGCCGGGCTCTACCGCATCGCCGACATTTTGTTCTCAATAGCTAGGTCGATGTCATCCTCGGGACCCCCTCTGATTGATTGTCAGCATCAGATGGCGACGGAGGGTCAAGACCAGCCATACGGATGACACGGGCTGTAATTTTCATGTTGAGGGTCCACGAGTGCCGCGGATTGAACCTCAGATGCTCTATTGTGGTGTCCTCCCCTGAAGGCATCGGTTGGGGTATGATGCATTCTATCAGCGTGTCTAGTGGGGTGATCCAACCCGATACCGATGTCGCAAAGTCTGCATATGGCACAGTATTTAGTCATGAAACAGGCGATGCTTGCATCAAACAACAGCACCTTTTGACTGGGAAGGGCCCAAGGGTTTCCGCTCATAGTCCTCCATGTCACGCGCCGTCCAGTCGTTCAGCAAGACAAAGCCGAATATGTGCTGGATTGCGTCTTCCAAGGGCACTCTGCGGCCGCGGGGCACGGGCTTGGAGATGTAGAAGCCAACCTCCATCTCAAAATCGAGCTTCTGCGTGGGGCCGAAGTGGAGGTTATTGTTCGCGTCTCTCGTGATCCCATGTGGTCTCTGGACCGGCTTCTCCGACACGATCAGGCTCGATGGGCATCCGTTGTAGTATGCTGGCGAGGTTCGGATGTTGTCGGGCATTTCCTCGCCTCTGAGATATGCGGACTGGTTCGGAGAGGTGAGCATGTGTCAGTGATACCATCGTTTTCCTACCAGGGGTCGGAAGGAGGTGTGAGGGGGCGATGTTTACCAGCAGTGCATGGTGCTCCGAGCCGTAAAAGTTGACGTATTCTCTGGTGTCCATTGGCAGGTGGTTGGTGTACTCGGTCAAGAAACAGACTTGCGGGATGCGTCTATTCTTGTAACAGGAGATGAGCGTCCTTCGGAAAATGCCGCGCACTTCCACTGGCAAGGCGGCGAACTCGTTGAGGCTGGGCTGAAAACTCGGCGAGTCAGCAGTCACTGTCAGCATCGGCAGGCGTCTCGTAAAGGGGGCAGCACCAACAAGGGCTGGCCAGCAGGCGGGTATGTAGATACAATCAAACCTTTGCGAAAATTTTCCAAAAGTCAATACCAAAGTATTCTTCATAGCGTCGGTCCAAGCCGCAGTATATAGAGAGATCCACAACCTCGTCGTGGGAGTCGGCGTCCTGGATGAGGGCCGCGCAGCGTGGCAGGGGGAAATGATCCCCTGCAACGACTCCATAAAGCAGCGCGATATCACGGACTTCGCAATCCTGTTCGAACTGGAAGCGAGACATGGTAGTGGGAAAGAGAAAGAGGGCGATCAGTGATGTCGCGATCGAATGCGTTGATGGCTGGAGATGAATTGGCAAGATGATGGACGGGTGGATTGAATGATGAATGGATTGATGAATGAATGAATGGCAAGGCATGAACAAGACAAAGACGAGGCACTCGATGCTACGCGTCAGGCCCGCACCCAGCATTGACCAGGAAGCTTCAATTTTGTTCCATGGCTCTTAACTCTTTCCTTCGGAAATAGTACGACATCCATCATGGTTGCTCCTTTCGATTGCGCCGACATGCGCCCCTGCCACAACCCCCAATTAACCTTCCGTCTGCAGCCTCTATGGCTGCCACCTGGAAGTGCAAGGGCTCCTTGATGATAAATTGCCAGCGCTGCGTTTGCCCAACTACTTCATGTACCCCGCTGCTGTGCATCCCGCTACTCGCAAGTCACCGCCAGCTTACTGACCCGCCGCGGTTGCAGATCACGTCAGCGTGAAAGTCGGTTCATGCCCGTCTCCTTACTCGATCGACTCTCATCGTCTCACCCGCACCGCCTGACAACTTGCGTTCCGGCGACTTCGCCATGTTGACTCCTCCTGGCGACGACGAAGCCACAGGTTCTCATGCCCCCATACCAGCCATCCCGAACATGTCCACGCTCCCGAGCGTCGCAGCAGAGCTCACTCCCGGGTGGCTGTCAACCGTGCTGAATCGCAATGTCAAGTCTGCCGACCTGGTGGGGTTCTGGCCAGGCACGGCCAGCAAGGCCTTCCTGAGTGTTGTGTTCGACGATGACTCGGCGTCCAGGCCAGTCAGGCTGTGCGTCAAGGGCGGCTTCCAACCGGAGTTCCTCAGACAGCAGCCATTCCTGGTCAGTCTGTTCCAGCGCGAAGTCGACTTCTACAACCGCATCGCTCCGACCCTCGACCACATGGGTCTCCCGCCCGTGCACTGGGCCGGACACACCGCGGAGCAGGGCATCATCATATTCGACGACCTCGCCGCCCACGGGTGCACCTTCGTCCCTCCCACCGAGACCTGGCCGGCCGACCGCGTCTTGGCGGGCGTCGAGCAGCTCGCGGCCCTGCACGCCAAGACCTGGGGCGTCCAGCCCGCAGACTACCCCTGGCTGACGTCGGACTACGACCAGATCATCCTGACGCTGCTGGAGACCTACGACCAGGTGGTCAACGGCCCCGACCGGCCCGACATCCCCGCAGCCCTGCGCAACCAAGCACGCGTGACCGCCGCGGTCAGGAAGCACTTTGCCATGCGCAACCCCCGGTTCCAGTGCCTGCTCCACGGCGACCCGCACGTGGCCAACGCCTACCTCGAGAACGGGGCGCCGCGCTTCCTCGACTGGCAGACCGTGCACATCGGCTCGGCCTTCCATGACGTCGCCTACTTTGTAGCCGGGGCGCTGTCGATCGAGGACAGGCGGACACACGAGTGGGATATCCTGGCGCACTATCTACGCACCCTGCAGAGGCTCGGCGGGCCGTCGCTGTCGCCCATGGATCAGGAGGTCGTGTTTGAGTACAAGAAGTCGCTTCTTGCGGGGATCGGTTGGATCATGTGTCCGTACAGCATGCAGGCCAAGGAGAACGTCATGGCGCTGGCGGTGCGGTATGCGGCCGCGCTGGATGACAGCAAGGTGTTGGATCTGGTGGAGCGCTTGGCGAGATCCAGCATGGGAGCGTGAACAGAGTTGACAATTGAGGGCCCCGATTCCAAGTATTGTGTAGCATTGGCTCCATAGATACGTTTAAGACTTCAGAGTTAGCATGCGAACTTCTCGAGGTATCCCAGTTCCATCCATGTCTTTGCTGCCATCATGTCCTGCTGCCTTTTGGTTGACCTCTATGTGGAAGCGATGAAGTTTGTTGCTCCCTCACCTCGCCCAGTTCTGGCATCCACTATGCTTGGAAAGCGTGCCTGAGACTCTCTGCAGTCATGTCCTCACCTCTTCGGAGTCACAAAAGAAAAGAGTACGGAGAGCGCTCCACAACTCAACGAGGCTCTAGGTGGGGAGCAGTGGGGCCTTGACACTTTCCATTCTCATGTTGAAGATAACTGCTGTTGAATGCGGGATGTGCACAAAGATTCGTCCTGCACAGCTCTGGAAATCGTAGTCACACATTCATCTACAATTCTGTATAACGGAGCGCTACTGGGAAGCTTGAGATCAGTCCCGGCAGTCACGTTTCCACAGAAGCACCGCGCACGGAGAGATCAACAATCGCATTTGCAGTTAAGTAATTTCATTAAAGGCCTGATTCTCAATTCATATGCGCCTTGTAAGTCATAAGTAAACCCATCGCAATTCTCATGATAACCGTATTCCGCCTTCCCCAAAACCCCCCATCAGTCCTCCTCCAAGCTGGGGATCCGCTCGAAGCCGCGATCGCTCCAGCGCTTCTCCTCGTCCCGTTCGATCTCCGGGATGGCACGGCTCGGCGGGAGCACGTCCACTCCCTGCAGGATCTCATCGATCCACAACGCCGTGATGCCGACTGAGTCGGCATCGTCGGCCACGCCGTACGAAAGGCGACCTCCCCACCAGCCCTCCAGCGTGGGAGCCTGTCCCAGCGCGCTGGTCGACGCCTTGACCCGGTCGATGACCGCCTCGCGGAAGCCGAAAATCGCTTGTCCGTGCAGTCGGGCTGCCTCGTTGGCGGCGGGCGGGTAGTTCTTCCACGGGTCGAAGAGGACGACCTGGACCCGCGGGCGGTCAGGGGGGCCCGTCTTGCGCAGGACCAGGGCCATGCCGGTGCGCGCGGCCATGTCGTGCTCCGCCCAGGCCGCGGAGCCGCCGACCGTGCCGAGCTGGGCCTGGGAGGCGAACCACGGCGTCAGCATGCCCAGCGCCAGGTCCTTGCCGGCGAGGATGCTCGACCACGAGTACTCGAGGAACTGGTCGAGTGTGCCGAACATCTTGGACTGCTTGGCGGTGTGGAAGTACCACTTCTGCCGCGTGGGGTTGTCTAGGAACGCGACCGGGGCCAGGTAGAGAGCCCATGGGCTGCCAATGTTGTACATTGTCAAGGATATATATCCGAGGAAGACTCGGAGGTCGATGGCAGAGGATCGCTTATGCGGTCTGGCTGGCAGTCTGGAGCTGTCGGCGGCGGCGGCGGGTGTGATGCCGTGGAGAGCTTGGCGAACCGGCTTGTAGACAAGGAAGACGAGGTCTTTCTCTCCGAAATAGAAAGGCGGCCACGCGGCAGTCGAGAGGACTGGAACGATAATCGACGCAACGGAACGGGCAGTGTTGGAAGGGCTTGGGTTTGACAGAGCCCTGGACATCTCGTTGATGTCCGTCGGCTGAGACCGAACGGCTAGGTTGAGCTGGCCCGAGGACTGCGCCATCTGTGACGTCTCTTCACCGAGTCGAATAAAGATGTCGACAGTCTGCGTCAGACCCGTGTGGACTGGGGGACCTATGTAGGTTTGGCGGGCTCGGGCGTAGAAGTGGACGAGCATTCTTGCATGTTCCCAGCCAAGGTCGTCAGAACTACCCAGGTAGTTTACGGCCACTGTCTTCCAGAAGAGGTCGCTACCTCGGACGGCGACGTAGAGATCGCGATAGCCCAGGCAGGTCTCAAACAGAGACTTGACGCGCTGGTTGACTCGCTCCCGGGCCACGTCAGGGGATATCTGTTGGCGGTCGGTTCCGATGAAGATGTTGTAAACGGCCTCGGTTACATCGGTGTTTCCGCCAAAGGCTGCGCCATGGTAGAAGAAGCCAGGCTGCTTGAGTGCTTGGGAAAATCGGATCGGCATGGTGCGTAGTTTCGAGGCTTGGAGGAACTTCTTGGAAGAACTAAAGAGAGGGAGTTGGAAAGGGAAAACAGAACTTCCCAGCGAGTTTGATCAGGAAATTGTCTGAGGATGATAGAGATCATGCACTTGTATCGTGATGATTCTTTTCTAGGCTCTGAAGAGAAAGAAGAAGAGACAAAAAGGAAAAGAGGGCGGAAATCCACCATGTTTATGTTGCAGCCGCCGGAGACTGAGAATGCTTGAGGATTGTTTGCTCAGCTATTCAGGCATCGTCAGTGAATGAATGAGCCATTGTTATTGAGTGACAGAAGGTGGTAGAAAGCAGGTAGTGAATCACCTACCTTATTGACTCGCATCTTTGTGTCACTTTTCACCTTCACCGAAATAATTAAAGAGAAAAAAAGGCCAAAAAAGAAAACAACAATGGTATCATCGGGAATCGAACGCAGCTAGTTGCACCAACGGGATGGCTGAAGTGCCGCAGTTTCTACTATTCGACCCCCTAACCGCTATGGCATACTGCCACAAGCTGCTGTTGTTATTTGGAGTAGTGTTGTTCTTAACTATAAAGCCTTTGGAAGCTCCTATTTCAAATCTTCTTCTCGTCACCCGACTACACCTTACCTAGATAGTCCTACTGAGTACCCTTCTTCTACTCAGCGCTCGATGGTTTTGTAGTCTACCTCCCACAAGCCGATTCTTCCATGACAACATGACTGGTTCGTGCCCGGTGCCGAAGTTTGGCGATCGACTCATCGTCGTTGACAAGCGCGAGGTCCTGACTGATGTGACTCGCATCTGCAGCATCTTTTCTACAGAAACGAGAATAAATACAATCATTCTAGTTCAGCAAACATTGCCTTATTTGTCGCCAAAAAAACATGCGGATGTGATTCCTGACGCAGATATTTGTCTCGTATACACGATGCGATGATCACCCAAGCACACAACAACTCGTGTCAATTCTGAACCGCAAACACATAATGTCTTTATTCATACCCTATGTTCTATTACACTATATCCTGCGGGGATTTGGCCCGCGTACGCGGCATCACGAAGCATGACAGCAAAGCCGATACCCTGTTGAATTATGATATTCGATGCATTGGTCATCTATGTAATTTTAACTCTTGAAGGCGGATTTCCCAATTGTCTCCTATAGCCTGCTGGGAAGAAACTCTCGCATTTTTGATAGAGAGGCGAGATAGGCTTTGCTATGACGGCATGTCGCCAGTGACTAAAATACATGGGATCTTCGTACAAAACAATGGAAACCGCAAAACAAACACTCATTCCGTACACCCCTTCTCCTGCTTTGTCTCAACTCAAACCATTCCTCCCTGCTAGTTCAGGAGACGCTCAATGGGTACGAAGCCCTTCTCTTCCCAGAGCAGGCGTTCCTCGTCGGCTGTCATCGTGTCTTCAGCCATGGGTGGCAGAGCACCGCCACTCACAAGCTTATTAATCCACAGGGCTGCGAGACCAACAGCATCAAGTCCGACTTCCTCAAGTTTGACCCCCTGCATGCGCCCGCCGTACCAGCCCTCGAGCACGGGAGGGAAAGCCGCGGTCTCTCGGACCCAGTCTGTGATCATACTCAGCAGTTTCCGGTAACATTCAACCAAGGGGTCGCCGTGGGCAACGAGGGCGTTGCGAGTGGGCGCGTCGTGAAGGTTGGGATCGTAAATGACGATCTGCAGGCGGGCGCCGCCAGCCACATTCGCCGCCCGAATGACGAGAGTCATGCCAGTCCGCATGGCGAGCGGATGCTTGAGCCACTACTCTGCACCACCGATGGCATCGAGACCAGGCCGGTCGATAAACCACGGCGTGAGCATGGCGATGGTCATCTCGCGGCCACTGGCAAACATGGCCTGGCTGTACTCAAGGAAGGCCTTCGTCGTCTGAAACTGCTTCGACATTCGGTTCGAGTGCCGGAACCAAATCTGCCGCTCTCGGTTGTCGTCGAAGGCAATAGGTAAGAGATAAAGACACCAGGTGTCTTCGGGGCCTTTGTTGACCAAAGCCATGTACGCTAGGATGAGTCGCAACTGGAAAGGAGACGAATGCCCCGTGGGAATGCCGGGCTTTCTGTCTTGAGCGTTTCGAGACTCGGGTGTGATGCCGTGAAGGCTTCGTATATATTGGTGGGTGAGGAACACCTGGTCCTCGCTCGGAAAGTGACCCGGCGGCCAGGGCTCGGTTGATACGGATGCGAGGTCGGCCTCAGAGGGAGTGAGGTCCGTAGTGTCCGCGGTGCTGCCAGGAAGGGCTGCTGTCGGGAGCGAGTCGGACATCGCGTTGGCATCGCTTGGGTCGGTACGAACGGCAAGTTGAAGCAGGCCGGCAGAAGGAGGGAGGTTTGAGGTCTCATGGTGGAGAGCGATAAACCGGTCGACGACCTCGGTGAGATCTGTTGCGGGTGCATCTGGGCGGCTGTGGTAGGCCTTTCTCGCCTTAACGTATTTCTCCACCAGCTCCTTCAATAGTGCCCACGGCAAGTCGGAAAAGCCAGCGTCGCTGTTGAACTTCTGGGCAACAGTCTGCCAGTAGAGTTCTTCTCCCCGGACAGCGACGTAGAGATCCTTGTATTCCACACAAGTGGCGAAGATCTGGGTGATGCGTCCAGCGACGCGTTCTCGCAGTTCATCGACCGTGATATCCCTGCGATCCGGGCCCGCAATAGAGACAAAAATAAGTTCTTTGTTTCCTCGATAGTGGACAGACTTTCCCGGCTCAAAATAGAATCCTGGAGGGCGGAATGCCCGCCCAAGTACCCGAGGAGCCATTGCAACGGAGACCCGAGGCTCGGCACCGGGTCACTTCGAGTGAAGTCTAATGTGGGAAGAGCTCGTCGGGTTGGCGAAGGGGGGCGGGGGGGGAAAGCAGTTTTGATTTTGGAGGGGGAAGATGGAAGGGTGCAGTTATTTTGAAGAGAAGGTCAAGGTTAAAAGAGTTTGAGGGGGTTCTTGTACTATTATTTCAAAACTAGACTGCTCAAAAAGAGAGAGAGAGAGAGAGAGAAAAGGAGGCGACGAAACTGGCCCTTATCTCCCTACGTCATCTTCTTTCAGCACAGGCCAGGTGGTTTATCATCAGAAGTAACTCATGCAGCTCTGGTTTTCCCAGTCCAAAAATGTTGTGAAGACCGCTCGCGCCTGGCACTCCTCTGCCCAGTAAACACATCGATGAGGTCGCCACACCCTCCAATGGCCTAATACCACTTGGTGAAAAGCTCGGGAGTTGCTTCCCAGCTCTCATGCAGTTGAGGCGAATTCATCTGCAGCTGGGTCGGCGAGAGGCATGACGGCACCGTAATATCAGTCGCCTTGCTGGTCCGAACAACCGAAACGCTACACGTCGACAAGTGGGACGGGTGCAAGAGCGACGGGCCCATCACCGTGTTGATGAAGTTTCACGCGAGGGGAAAGATTTGCTTGTTGTGAAAGCGTTCACGACATACGTTGTAATTGATCAAGTTGATGAACTTGAGGTCAATGGGCGACGGAATAGGGTTTGCCAGACTTCCTCCAAAGCCTGAAGCGCTATATTGCTGTCTTGTAGGAGCCTCCAACTGTAGACTTGATACGGCCGACTTGAGTTCTTGAGCTTTTCGTCTTTGATGTGTTGTCCTATTGTACTGGTTATCGGGGCTAGAGTTGACAAGGACGGAATTGGAGTGGCTCACTTCTTTTGTGGTCTCTTCCGCTCCGCCCGCTGCTCATTGGTGAGAATCTGGCTGCTTGACTCATATCCACGAACGTCTTAGAGGAAGAAACATCGAAAATAGGAAAGTTGCTGGCTGCCCATTGCTCGAGAAGAGAGATTTAGGTTACTCACAAGTTCACAACGTTGAAGCCTCCGAAGCTAGGCCCAAAGTGGGAAATATTGAATCTCAGCTGACAGAGTGGGCCAAACGTGGAACTCGTGTATCGCTGTCGGGGCCTCCGTTTTTTGATTTGCTCGCTGACCCTGCCTCTGCCCTATCAGGGTGGACAGTGTCAACAGCACGGCTGTCCTGGAACGAGACGAGTAATGGTCAGGTCGGAGCGGCTGAAGCTCTGGGCAAAGAAAACGACGCACCATTTCCACTAGCACTTCTGCTCACCGCTAAAGGGAAATCCGAATGCTTGATTCTCTTGCTACCAGCGACCAAGCCACCTGATCTGCGGTTAGCTCAGAGCACCTGTCCCTATCGCATTGTCTAGAGGCCTGAGCCGGGACGCACGCCATGGCAAACACAAAGCTGCCAAACCTTTACAGCGAGCTTTACGGGTCGCTTGACCCGAATACAAATGAAATACGTCTCGTCGCCTTTGAGCAGCCACAGCCCGATTCACCACTTCTGCACCTCACTCTGAGCACCCACGCTTTGGACGACATCACCGAGGAATATGCCACCGCTGTCACTCTCGGAAACGATGCACACGACAGCATCCAGCTGCGACGCAGGACAGTATCTGGGTGGGCCAGACGGTTCCGAAACGAGCCCGGCGCTCGGCCGCCCGATGGAGCCGCCCGCTTCCGGTGGGGCGACTACGCCGCTCTCTCCTACGTCTGGGGCTCCGAGACCGACCGGCGGCCCATCGTCCTCAACGGGGCCGAGACCACCGTGACGGTCAACCTCGAGGTCGCCCTGCGTGCCATGCACCGGACCGGGCACTACACCGGCAACTTCAGGCTCTGGATCGACGCCATCTGCATCAACCAGGCCGACGAGGAGGAGCAGGCCGCCCAGGTGGCGCGCATGCGCGACATCTACAGCGGCGCGTGGGGGGTGGTGGCGTGGCTCGGCGAGGCGGGCGGCTACAGCGATGACGCCTTGGATCTGCTCGAGACCTTCGCGGGCATGGCGGAGGAGAGCCAGCAGCGGCCGTTCGGACAGCTGCGGCTGCCGTCGTCGTTCTTCTTCGGCAATCGCTTCTCGGGGCTCAATGCGCTGATGGAGCGGCCGTACTGGTCGCGTCTCTGGGTGGTGCAGGAGGTCGTCCTGGGCGCGTCGGCCACGGTGCTGCGGTGCGGAGACAGGCGGATGGACTGGGTGACTTTCTGCTCTGCGATCGACGTGCTGTTCAGGGCGGACATGTGGCTCATCAAGGACGAACTGCTGCGGTCCGAGCAGGAGCGGCGTAGCGAACCCGACGCCAAGCCGGCGTGGTCGACGCTCTGGTTGCATCTCGTGCACAAGGACCTCCGCATCCTGAGCCGATACCACGAAGAGTACGACGGTCGGTGGCTGGGACTACGCCGGCTGCTGGACATCGCGTGTTCGTCCGAGTGTCGTGACAGACGCGATAAGGTGTTCGCCCTACTTGGGATGATGGACCCCCAGATCGCCAAGTCCTTGTCGCACGACTACTCGATGAGTTCCGCCATCCTTTTTGCGTCTGTCTCGAGAGCATTCATCACCCGATCGAACAACCTGGAGGCGCTCCGAGAGGGAAACCCTTGGGGCCACTCCGGGGCGCCATCTTGGGCAGCCGACTGGACGTGGAAAGGCCGGCTGAGGTACTCCCGGCCGGGGATGCCGCTCTGGGGTTTCTGGCAGGTCTCCCACGAGCCGGAACCGTCATTGGCCGAGGAGGTCTACCGCGCTGCCGGAGATCGGGCCGCCGAGTTCAACTTTGTCGGGCCGCGGATTCTCCGCTGCAAAGGGTTCGTGTTTGACCGCGTGGCCGGTTTGGGAGCCCCCGGTCGAGGATATTGGATGTGGGACGATGGCAAGTTGATACAGTATCCCTCATGGCGGAGCGGCTACGGTGGTTACAAGGAGACGGCAGCGGCTCTCTGCCGAACGCTTCTGCTTGATCGGCTCAGCGGCAGCAGACGAGCCGAACCGCGCCATGCCGCGGTCCTAAGCCTGCCTAAGAACTTCGAAGTGGCAAGGCCGCAGTTCGAGAGGCTTGGCTGGGTGTGGATGTCATCGCAGGAGGGCTACTATTTCAGGTACAATCTCTGGAGAGAAGCCAACGACAACCTACAAATGGGAGAGGACACTCGGCTCGGTGACTACTTCTTTAACACAATAAGAGACGATTTTGAAGAGCAAGACTACGCGGAAGTGTACGGAGCCTTTGACCGGACTTGTAAGGAGAGACGGTACATGCTCACCGAGAAAGGTTATATGGGCTGGGCACCGGACAACATCATCGGAAACGACGACCACCAAACCAGGAAAGGTGACCTCTTATGTATCATTTTTGGGTGTTCGGTGCCATTGGTTATCAGGCCATGGATCGGTGGATATGAAGTGGTGGGTGAGGCGTATGTAGATGGGTTTATGGACGGAGAAGCATTGAAATTGTTGGAATCGGGGCTATGTCAGGTCCAGGATTTCGCGCTATCTTGATCATGTCTGTGTTCTACGGGTCGCGAGCCGCCTGAGGCACATGAATTAACAGTAGACTGAAGTGCGTGGTAGAATAAAATCGTAAGATTTGAGGTTCACTTTGGCTCGTTTGCCTGGTGTGGACCTGTGGAATCCAGACAAGAAGACATGAATCGGGTGGCACAGACAGCTGAGGTTGTAATGAGAGCGGCAGAGAGAAGACAGAGGTTGACTGGCATTGAGTTGCGATGCCAATATTTCGGCGGAGGAGTCATGTAGGAGCAGAGAGTGCGGCGAGGGAGAGACAGAGAGAAGGTTGTGGGAAGACTCGCTCAAGCTTGTTGGTCTTGCGTAGTTCCAGGGGTGGAGTCAAGATCAACTCACTGCATTGCAGGATAGACAGAGTTGTTTTTGCGCAGACCAGCAAATTATATCTTAAACCTCACTCAAAGGAACCAACTGTTTTCAATTAGCAAATGATTCCAAAACCGAACAATCATACTGGTACCCTGATTGGTAGGGTGAAGTCTGCCAATGGCTAGGTTGGTTGATGACTCAACTCTCAGTTGACCCCCACCTTGCTCACATCGCGTTGTTTTCCACTGATTGGTGCGCATTCAGCACACTCTAGGCGGCAAACATTCACAAATCTGGAGAGGGGGATCAGGGACTTTGAACAAACAAGATAAGTAAACGATTCAACGAGCCTCATCGTGCGTCAAGCAACTGAACGAACGAACGACCTGACGGAGCGATGGCCTTCCACAACACAGCCCTCTTCGTCATCGACATCCAGAAGGAACTCGCCTCTGATCCCAAGACCGAGATCCCTTACGCCTCGCGAATCCGCGACGTCGGCCAGCAAATTCTCTCCACCGTCCGGGGGCTCAACAGCCCTACGGAGAGGAAAACGCCCATCTTGATCGTCTTCGTGCAACACGAAGAGAAGCCCGAGGAAGGGACTCTCGTTCGTGGCAGTGAAGCATGGAAACTGGTCTTTGAGCCTCGCGAGGGCGTCGCAGAGGAGATATTGGTGGCGAAGCACACAAGTGAGTCTTGCTAGTCGCTTGGAGTAGTATTGGAGGGTTTGTGTGTGCAGCTGACAAAGGTTTTGATACAGGGGACACCCTTGAATCTAACCCACACCTTGCGGAAGAACTGAAGGGGAAGGGAGTCGAGCACATCGTGACCTTTGGCATTCAGAGCGAATGCTGCGTCAAGTCAACCTCAGAAGGAGCGCTGAAAGCCGGGTTCAAGGTCACGCTCCTGCAGGGAGCACACTCGACGTATGATGCCGGGTCAAAGACAGCTGCCGAGATCGAAGGCGAGGTCGAGGAGGGTTTGCGATCTAATGGCGCGCAGCTTCTTGATTGGAAGCAGTGTGCGGAGCTTTGGGAGGGCACACCTGCACATGTCTGAAAAGTTCCAACATCTTCTGAGTCACAACATGTTAGTCTTTTCATTGTTGTTAGTCAAACAGATTCACCTCTTGCTCAGTCCCACTCGGGTCGCATATCATGGTTGGGAAACCCCGGTCTCACGCTTCCATAACTTTGGCCATCGCTAGATTGACCCAATGGCATCTATTCTCTTGAACGTAACATATCCCCCCCTTGATTTCTATGGACTCATACATGCGTGCGCCTGCGTGATGAGGCCCCATTCAAGAGACATCCTGCAACCGCGCAACGTCCTCAATACCCAACTGAACTCCCAGATCTACCCACTTGTGAATCAATTCCGCAACGGCATGATGCCCACACCATTCAGCCATTGCAATCGCACCATCACAACCTGTCTCGCCGGGGACCGCACTCATACCGCCGCTGTTCAAAAGCAACTGCACCATGTCTAGATACCCAGCCGAAGCCGCACTGTCTAGAGCTGTTAGGCAACGAGTGTCCCCAATCGTTCCATACGAGATGTGAATAACCGCATTGATGTCGAGGCCGTGGCGAATAAGGATAATCATGCCATCCACGTGGCCGAAGCATGCATTATCCGTTGCTAGTTTGGCAATCGTGCTGTTCGAAAGTATCTTAAGATCGGGAGAAAACTGTTCCATAAATTGCAAGGTTTCAAGTCTCTCCAGAGGTGACGCTTGAATTCTGCTGGAATTTACTATTCCAAACGCCGTGGCCAAGTCGACAGGGTTGATCTCAACACAACGTCGCTCCAAGATCCCTCTTAGCAATGGGAGCCGATCACGTAACGCTATCGATGATAGGATGCCTTCCCACTCCCACCGGCTAGCGTGCGTATTCGTATATGCTCCACAATCGAGAGCGAAGAGTATCAGGTCGTTGCTCGCGTGGACTTCCAAGAGCCAGGAAATTACATCTTTGGGCAACGGCGTGCCATTGCTAACCAGGAACCTGAATATTGGTTCCAAAACACCGGGCCGTTCAGTATCATGAGTCGATCGAGATTCAAAAGGCGTGGCAACCCCAAAATTGTTGAGCGTGCATAGGAAGGCTTCAATGAGTGATGGTCGCAGTGGTTGGTCACTGAACTCGAGGCCCTCTGACTTGACCAGCTGGCATACCTCAGAGGTTGTACTAAGGTGAGCACGGCTTTCTAGACAGCCCAAGAGCAGATCGTAGAGGTATATTTGCGGTGCTTTGGTAGTTCCGTTTTTGGCAAGGTCGAGACAACGCATGATCATCGGTACAGGAGTAAGATGCTCTTCGGAACCCTTGCCGACAGCCTGAAGTAGACTCATTGGGTATTGGTCTCTCTTCACATCGTAGCAATACCAATCGTCGCGCCGTGCATCAGTCAGCTCTTCCCCAAAGAAAGTATGGCGAGAGCGAAAAGAGCCGGGGTGGGATGGATATGTCACGCTGCCGACCTCCACATTACTGACCGCGATCCCTAGCATTCGAAGAAGATTCAGAGAATCAGTATTGTCTGTCCAAACAGAAGCGCAGAGGGAAAAGGGCCCAATTTTTCTCAAGTCAGAGTAGCTGACCAAAATTGACAGAAGATCTGTATTGCCCGACCGAATTGCGTTCAATAAAGCCTTTGGACTGATTTGGCACCCTGTTTCCAGCAAGAGTGTGACCGCTCGGTTGTGGATGAGAGAGCGCTCTGGAGACTCTGGAGGAAGCGCAACGAGGTTGACGAACAGGTGCAAGACCTTTGCGGCAAGAGAGTCCATGCTCTCACCGCCGGCAAGCAATAGCATTCGGAGGTGTTCTGTCGTCCATCGCTTTGAGAGCTGGGCTAGATGCACCAGAGTATTGTGCAGAAACCGATTTTGTTTCTCAATATCAGTGAACCGATTCACTTGCAAGTAGGTTTCGAAGAACTCCAAACCAAGGTTCAATGCGTTCATAGCACCCGCAAGAGTTGGCTTCCGCGGCAAGCTTTGCCTCCTGTCATTGTACGCAAGGTAGAGAGCAGGGGCAATGCAGTATGCTATGTCTATGACGGTGAGTTCCACATCTTCATCATATCCGCCGAAATAGTGACGCATCGGTTCAAAAATGTATGGGTGGTACCGTAATCCCACACAAAATTGAGCCATGAAAGCTTGCTCCTGGATAGACTCAAGTTCCTTGGGTGTAATGAGCGCATTGGCATTACATCTAATAAGATACTCAACCAAATACGTGCAATCGTCGGGATACTTCGTATCATCATGATATAGATGCTTCACAAGTCTCCCGAGAAGGAGGGTGGCGTACGTGTCGCTAAGATCTTCACGACGAGTCCTTAAACGCCGAAGATAGGGAAGGAGATAAAAGTCAAGATCCGACCAGATTCTGATATCGGGCTCAAGTGGCTTGAGCGATGCTGTTGCTAGCATTTTCGAGTCACTCAACATTGCTGCCTGCCAATCAATGCGCTTCCGTGTTGCGTTGATCCATGTTGCTTGACAGTTATAAGGCGAGATAAGGTAGTTGAATATTGCCTGGTTTCCAGCTGCCCAAGCAACGTCAACAGATGATTCCCAGGCGGCCCGCATTGTTGGAGTGTTCAGGTTGAAGAGTCTCGTCATCAAGTCGATATCTAGGGTGCTAAGAAATGTGTTCAAAAGATGCGTGTTATCGCTTGGGGCCCACAGTGAAAAGGTCTTATTGGAAAGTTGATAGATAGTCTGCAGCATGTACAGTTGACGGCCCTTATCGTTCATCAGCCTGGGTATCTGTCTCAATGCAGTTTGGAATATCGGCGGATCAACCAGATCTATGAAGCAAGCTTTTAGGGCTTCCAGTGGAACCGTTTGGTCCCGTGCGCTTATGGTAGATGGGTCGACCTCTTGCTTGTCTCTCCAGTCAAGACCGAGTCGGGTTCGAAATTCGCCTGGATTTTTCTCGTTAATACCTAACTGAGCCGTTCCTTCAAAAAGATAAACTTGGAGTTCTTACGACATTCGTAAAGCATTTCTTCGAATTGTCGCCATGGAACTGGATAAATATCTGCATAAAGCGAGATTAAATTTGTTTTCCCCCAGTCATAAGTGCTGTTGAGGTTCTCTCCCGATACTGGCAACTCGGCGTAGGCGATGTTGAAGTCCTTCTGCAAGACACAATGCTGCATGGCGGGCGACGGAGTTCGAACTTCGATGCCAGTGGGTAGCCGTGGAAGAGCTGAAATGCCTGCTTTGTGAATAAACATTTGCGATCAAATCGGAGTTTGGAAAATCTACTTGCTTGAATTATATTCCAAACCACCAGTCGATCTTCTGATTTCCTTCCACAGAGCCTTCCAAGGAACCGCAACTCCATGTCGGCACACAACGGTTGGCTTGGGGGTCTCTACGTTTTGTGAACCACGGGCCTTTAAATGTATGGCAACAGTTCCTGCCCAGTAACTACCCTTTTCAACCTTTTTCCGTAGATTGAGCTGTGCCAGAAGCTTCCTGAATTGGCCAGTACTTGATTTGAATAAGCTCTTGGTCTGTGGTGTGACAAAGTCTGACAAACCTCATGTGCGGGAAGCCATGTTCTTCCTCCAGTATCCTCTTGGTTTTCTCTGCCGTGAAGCGGTCTTTCACGTACAGTTGCTTGATGATGCTTGAGTAAGCCTTGATCTGAACGGGAGTCATGGTCTTGACGGGTTTGGCTTTGATGATTTGGGGGGTGGGGGGAGGTCAGATGTTGAAATGAAGTTTAAGGTCTTCACTTGAGTGAGGTAGTTTGAGTAAGTTTCAAAGACGGAGGACCATGGGGGTGTTTTTCTTTGCTTTTAAGTAGTTACTGTTGTCCAGGTTGGGCACAAGTTGGAAGGCCGAGGTTGACATGGTTGGTACACCCCCCAACCAGAGTGACCAATGCGTGACGCGAACAAACTTCTTGAAGCCAATGGTGCATATGGGATGGCCTTCTGTCCCAATTACCCATCACGCCATTTGTCGGATTCATTATGGATTACTGTTCACTGGCTGTGTCCAAATTCCCTTCGTCATGACTGGTATGACGACCCACCTGGCACTACCACTACCATTCGGTCGGTGATGGGTGGGCTCTTCTATATAATTGGCGAGAATTTGGACATAAGCATCAGTCTCTTGGTCGTCTATTGCATGTCTCACTGAATGCTCTGGGCAGGATTTGACCCAATTCTCCTCGCAAAATTTTCGAGGCCTCGATCCTCTGCACGTATCACCTCACAGCCCCGGATACAACACGAGCAGTGATTACGGCAGACAAAATAATATGAACGAAAGGGCTGAACACGCCAACCTTGTTCGACAGCTTCAATAAATTGCATTCCCAGTGGAAGCCATGTCGTGAAAGTCACTAAGTTGACAATCCCTTTGGCAGACTGTGAGTCGGCTACCATTGAAGGACATAGCCAGCGACGCTGACTCCGAGGAGGGGTTGCGCTGGCCGAGCAACCCGTTGCGTGCATCTGCATGCATGATAGACTGCACAGGTGCCCAAGTCCTCCACTTGATGTTGGTGGTAAGAGCACAGCCCACCACGATGGATCAATCAGGTCGCCATCATCAAAATCAGCATTACGAGTGTGTGGATGTTACAGGACGGTAACTCTGAGTGGTTGTTTGGCAAATGGGTTTTGGCCGGGTAGGAACATGGTGACCCAATTGCATCTGAGGATCTCTCGGTACACCACCGAGGCGATAGGGTGCGTAGGATAATTTCTGTTTGTTCGAGCTCCCAAGCCGCACCTCTTTGAGCCACCATCCTCCCAGCCTTTCGCCTGATAAGGGTCAATTCCAGACGGGACATAAATATCAACGTTTATTCTGCTCTCCTCTCCCAATGCGGTGAAGGGTAACCCTTTCGACGCAATTTCAAATCGACAAAAAAGTATGTCTATCTCCACCGAGGCTGCCATAGCCCTGATAGCTCTCTTCATCACAATCGCCCAAGTGGCAATAGTGTTAGTGTACAAGCATTACCGCAGATTAAGGCATACCCTTGCACGGTTACCTGAGCAGGCAAGACAGCAGGGTGAGAAAGTCTATCAATACTCAACCTCTTCCGCTCCGACATGCTCCTTGAATGCTCACAGCATAGCCTCGTCAGTCACGCCACCGTTGCTACCAATTCACCGGCATGATTTACATGTAACGCCTACCCATCGTTCAGTCTTGATGTCTGGAGCATATACAATGACGACAGTCAGTTCGCTTACGGTCCCTGACACTTTGAGAGTTGCTTGATACAATTCCTTGCGCGGACTTGGCACTGAGCAGGGGGGCGGGGCTAGGACCATGATGATCCCGGGAAGCTTCCTGTAATTAGTCTGGAGGGATGGATGAAGCCTGCTATTCTTTCGCAAGAGACAGCCGTGCTGGATTAGCTTGTACTTTAAGCCATGAGGCAATGACTTTGATACTAACAAAATAAACCAGAAGGGTATTGTCCAAGGACTTGACGTATGTTGCCAGCCCAAAAAAGGTGTCTACAAAATATGGTTTACCTTTCCAACCATATAACCCAAGAATTGAAGTGATTTGTCTTGCCGTCAACACCAATAAAGAGCCATCTAGGCCGACTCCCAAACGCCAACATACTGCACCTCCATCATGTTGCCATAGCCAGACTCTGTCGCGCCATCACTCGCACCAGCCTATTGATAAAACACAAACTTGTTAGTCACACAGCCACATCAATAGAGTCAACAACCAACCAGGACAGAAGCACTCACAAAGTTACCCCCAACAGCCACATTCAAGATGATATAATACGGCGCATGCGCCAGCGTGCTCCAGGTGCCCTGGTCGCCGAGCCCGGCCCCCGTGAGCGAGTTGAACACCTGCCCGTCCCGGAACCAGGTGATCTTCTCGGCGGTCCAGTCCCCGGGCCGCCGGTCCCACTCGAGGCTCCAGGTGTGGAACTCGGAGTCGAACCCGACGGGCAGCGTGGCCCCGCGGCCGACGGGCTCGTTGCACACGCCGCCCTGCGCCGAGGGCCCGCAGTGCGCCGTGCCGTACGCCGTGCCCTCGCCGTTGCGCATCTCGAGGACGTCGAGCTCGCCGCACAGCGGCCACTGCGTGCCGTGGTGCACGGCGTCGCCCAGCATCCAGAAGGCGGGCCACACGCCGGCCTTGCTGCCCGCGGGCGCGGCGCCCATGCGGATCGACGCCTCGACGCGGGTGACCTTGCCCGGGGCCGGCGTGAAGGTGGCCTTGGACTCGATGCGCGCCGACGTCCAGCCGGCGGCCTGGTCGCGCCAGGGGACGAGCTGCACGGTGCCGCCGCCGGAGAGCTGCAGGTTGTGGTTGGAGCCGGTGTAGGTCTGCTGCTCGTTGTTGCCGTTGTTCATCTTGACTGCGGTTTTTGACGAGATCAGCACTCTCTGATACTTTCTTTTGCGGTTTTGATATAGAAAGAGGAATTATATCTGTGGGAACTTACCATTGGCAACGTCCCACAGGTCACCGTTGACAGGGGACCCGGCCGAGCCGGTGAACGTGTCTTGCCAGAGGACCTTCATGCCGTTGTAGCCCGGGAGCTGGATGCTGGCTGCCAAGGCCGGGAGAAGGGCTAGGAGAGAGGCTCTGAGGAACATCCTTGCTGTTTTGGATAGGAAATGAGGGTATCGTAGTTAAGGTGGCGTCGAGTGCCTTGTTGAAAAGAATGTTGTCTCTGCGCCGCAAAAGAGAGAAAGAGAGAAAAGAAGGTTCAAGTCGACAAGCAACTGGGCTCGCCACGGGATATCAAAAACGAAGAAAGGCGATAGACAGCAATAACAAAACCGGTTTATCGCTGAAACCCCGGGTAGATCTCACAGAGAGTGTTGATAGATAAGCAGAAGAAGGGAGTGGAAATGCCGTGTCTTTGACACACGCCACGCGCATACACACAAACGAAGGGAAGGGGTCGGTGGTGGGTTGACCCAAGAAAACGAAAGGCAGCAGGAGAATAGAAACACCCAGAGCAGGAAACGATCGATGAGCTGGCAAGCAGGCAAGAAGCATGGCAAAAAGTGATGTGGGATGCACATCAACATATATACAGCAATTATATTGAACAGGGGCGGCTCGGGAGAGGAGAGAATGGGCCGCCCGTCTCCCAGTCCATGCCTTGACCCTCCATCCCGGTTCTGCTGGGCATAACGAGAGCGACATAGTCTAGCCCAGACCATGCTTGCAGAACAGAGAGCTCCAGTCCAATCCCTACATGATAGCTCACCTAGAACTGGCCATCCCTTTACCTTGTCAGGGAGTCAGGCACAGCCGCGGATAGGAAATGATTCGCCGAGACGCCTCTTATGCCCGAGATCAAGGTACTGGCAGCAACAAGGGTGCCAATTCAAGCGGTTACAGACAGGCAGGGACTAACGCAAAAGAACGATCTGGAAGGGCATGAGAGTTGACTGGTTGCCACCCAATGCACAACAGGCCAGGGGGGACTGAGGTGTGTGTGGCCAGTCCTGATAGGGAAGATGGGGCTTGGTTTGGGTGGAGCGTCCAAGTTTTGAAACAGGGGAGACAGAAGCCAGTACGAGTGCGTAGATGGGATGATGCGCAGTTGATGGGCTCAGCCCAATCGCAATGCCGGACGATCTGGTCCAGATTAGTCCACCCCCTGTCCCTGTGCCTGGACTACCACAGCACCGCACTCGCATACGCCTCCATGCCAGGTACCCGACTCTCTTGCTGGACATGGCGGTGTCGATTGGGTTCCCTCCCTCCGTCCGATCATAGCACGGGACGGCGATCGCGATGGTGACGGAGATCATATGAAAAATGCCGCTGTCAAGATGGGACACTGTATGCGAAGACGAGCCGCAAGTGTATTAGAATGACGTCGGACCAGACATATCGCCATCGGCATGCCATGAACAGAGTCATAACGCTGTCGTAAAGACGGTCGCTGGCAGAGCAAGTAATGCAAGTCAACCCAAATGCCCAGTCCGCGACAACACAAACCATAACAAGAGGCAATATAGCCCGCCCACTCATTCATATAGACTCAAGTCTTTGGCCACCGCAGCCAACAACCACGAGAAAGAGTGGTGTGCAATATGAGGAAAGGGAAAACCACTACAGTAACCAACACGTTATCTCATCCCCCTTGTCCCGCTCTCTGTCGCGACAATATTCCGTACCTGCATGAACAAAATGTCGTGCCCACCTTCGCTTTTCCCCATCAACCGTGCCAAGCATAAAGAAAAACAGGTGAGGATATATTGGGGCGGCACGGCGAGGAGGAGGGAGGGGGCCAGCTTGGTCGGTGCGGTCGGGGCGCTGCGCCTCACTTACCGAACAAGCCCGAAGGCGTCTCATGCTGCCAACGTGGACGAACCCAGAGAACGACGATCGCCGCGCGGGGTGCTGACCATGCGCCGCACATGCTTATTAACAAGCCCGCCAAGCAACAGGAATCCCAAAAAAACTGCGTCAAACCACGCGTCGCCGCTGGACGTAAGGACGCACGCAATGGTTAAGGGTGAGGCAGCACGTTTCTTCTGAGCATGGACAACGTGAATCTCAAACGAGCCGACGCGCCGTCGCAGGCACAGGCACAGGCACAGAGCAGCAGTGCCGAACAAGAGAAAGAAATTCTCACGCCCAAGCAGAGCTACGACAAGCACAAGGACACGCTGCGCGACATCATCACGGTAGACCACTTCAGCAACACGATCCCCGACTCCATCGTGGACCTCTGGCTCGCAGCGCTGGACCCCGGCAGCAGAATCGCGCTGCCGGCCGGCGTCAAGGGCTTCTACGGCGGCGACCTGCGGTCGTCGATCCCCATCGAGCTGGCGCACGACTCGTACAAGTACGTCGTGCACGAAACTCAGGACAGGGCCAAGGTCGCCAAGTACGCCCGCCGCATGCTCCTCGCCATCTCGCTGCTGGACCTGGACAGTCTCGCGAGGAGGGACGCCAACCTCGCGGGTCTGGCGCTGTGGCACAAGGCGCTCGCGCAGGCGCGGCTCTCCGACAGCGACAGCGCTGCGCAACTGGCCGGCACGCTGAAGCAGTACGAGGCGTTGCGCCCGCAGGCGTCACTGCCCGACGCCAAGTTGCCACGGTCCGAACGCCTGAAGACGCGCCTGCTCGCCGTCGCCCAAGACCTCGGCAACGCCGAGACGGTCACATGGCTCAAGAACTGGGAGCCGCGAGAAGAGTCTTCGTGAGAGTCAGAGAGAGGGGGCGGAGAGCACTGCTTTTCGTCCACGAGCGTGAGGAGCACTTCGCACAGAACGCAATCGGGAAAGGCGTCGGCCGGAATGAAACCCCTTGTCCTGCCCATGTCCAGCACAGCAAAGCGACCCAGCAAAGTGGACAAACATCTCCTGAACCCAAAGCTCGTACTTTTGTTTCGAAACACTCAAGGAGAGCACCCCCGTGGCAATACCGGCTGAACGATCTGGTTAACTGAGGTCCAATCGACGGCTGCTGGACGACCCCTGTCCTGCAGGCAGGGTTGCTGTCAAAGATAACCTGAAACACAGCGCCACCACACCCAGCTGCCACGCTACAGGGGCGTGAGGGGCGGCTCATGAGAAGGGATCAGCGCTAAAGCCGAAGCATAACCTTGCAGGTGTCAGATCTCAATCACGACTCCGGCTTATCACCGCATCAGTCGATTGAAGGGTGAGCAGGCACATGCAGGCAAAAGACATCTGGGGGGCACATGCATTCATTCACCGGCAACTGCTGGAGACACGTGATCAAGTACAGAAGAGGAGGATGTAAGCATACTGTTAATTGCTGTAGGAGAGAGAGAGCCCATCAAATCCGCTTGCTGCTTCCCCATCAACGTCACGCGGCTCTTAACCCTAGAACTACCCGTTCTCACTTTTGCTATCCCTTATTGCCTCGTTCCATCGACAAGAGTAGCTTAGGCAGCACTAGTGTGAGCAGTGTGCTGTGCCTCGATGTCAACAGCAGGCCCGGTGGGAGGCTCAGCCTTATGAACCACAGGCAGGGCCGGATCATCGACATCGCCAGTCTGACGACGGGCATCCAGAGCCTTGGTCAGAGTGTAGAGCGCGGTAGCAAGCAACGTGCCGATCACAGGGCCCACCCAGTAGATCCAGTGATAGGGCACAAAGCCCACGACGATCGAAGGACCAAATGATCTGGCGGGGTTGAGACTGCCGCCGGTATATCTGACACCCGTAGATACAGAGTTAGCACGATGGTTCCCAACACAGGGGGGAGACCGGAGAAGACTTATATTAGTTCGCAGATGAAGAGCGCCAGACCAATGCCAACCGGGGCGAGGAAGGTAGCGCGGTGCCGCTCGTTAGCCAGCATAAAGATGACAAAGACGAGCTCCGTCGTCAGAAAGGCTTCGAGGAACAAGCCCTGGGCGACGCTGACACCGTCGGCCAACTCGGTGGACACGACCAACGGACCGGGGATCAGGCCACCAACCAGCGCGGCAGCCGCAACGCTGCCCGTGATCTCGGCCAGAACGACGATGAGGAGGCGGACAATGTCAATGGCTCCGATGATCCACATGCCGAGAGCGACGGCCGGGTTGAACATGCCTCCACCGATACGGAAGAAGGCCCACACATTGACGAGGAGCGAGATGCCAAAGGCGAGCGAGATGTAGAGCAGGCGAGGAACGGGATCCGTCACCTCACCGGGCGACTCCATGGCCACGTTGGTGCCGCCATAGGCGAAGAAGAGGAAGAGCAGGGTGCCGACGAACTCGCTCAGGCCGGCGACGGCATGCTGCTTCTTCTTGTTGGGCGGGGCAGCGTGAGCATGGACGCCATCCGCCACAGGTGCGTTTTGCTGAAAGACATTGCGGCGTCTCGACCACCACGTATTTCTCGGCATGGCTAAGGGAACTCCGAGGTGGAGAGTAGCTGGGCAAGAGATGAACGAAGGTATACTAGGTAGGTCTGCTGGTCAAGACAATACTCGGTCGATGCAGGCTGCGTGTGCGGCGTGCTGTGAGATACAGAAAGCAACTGGAGAGCGTTGTCTCTCTGTCAAGTCGAAGCAGAGCAATAAATAGTGATGCTGTTATTATGGTGGTGCGAGGAGATGGATTGCCCGGGATATGGCAGAGATCAGAAGGAGAAGAGAAAGAGAAATATGGGAGCAGGGGATGATGAGGGCCGAGAAAAGATCTGGAAACAAGAACGAGCCTGGCTCCCTGTGATCTGTGAGATACCCGGGGAAGCAGCACTTCGAGTAAGACACTCGATACGAGAGGGCAGGGGCTAAGGCAGCCACCCGTCTTGTCCCTGTCAAGAGCATCGTCAACCATCCTCTGCTCCGGGTCGGGCGGGAATGACGATGGTTGCTCTGCTCGCTCTGGCCTTCCGGGTGAGCATTTCTGGTCGCGCAGGAGCGACCATGAGATCTTGCAGAAGTCGCGCCGGGAGATGTCACAATGCTCGCACGAGAAACAGGTGCAACCCGACCCGGACCTGCTGCTCCTTTCTGCTTTGTCGTCATCGATGTTTGTGTGTCGAAATATCAAGATATCAGGACTCGAGACTATTCGGGCCGCATCCCAGTGCCGGCTGTTCACATCAGTGTGCGTATTCGTTGTGTGAAATGACTGGTTTTGTGTCAATGCTTGACCCCGTCACGATATTCTCAATGTCCCAACATACCTAGTACCCTCTGGTCTCCCAAGCATGTGTGCCCAACTCTTCGTGTGTCGTATGTTCTCGCGTTGGACAAGAGCCACCATAGTTGCGGTTGTCGGCTGCAGATCCGCCGACACTCATATTGATGGCTCCAGCTTCTTGCCGCTCTGCCATCGCAATAAGCTCGTGTGATTGCCCTGTGCGGAGGGGAGGGTGCATGAACGCGGACAGGATCTGAACAACCTGCCACCTCTGCATATCCGGTATCACCAAGACAATTATGTACAACATTGCATCGGGTGTCACGCAGACTCACATCACGAAATGGGCATCATTAATACCGGCCACACGCAGATGACCTCGGCACTGGACAAGAAAATATCTCCATAACCAACATTCATAAGTCTACTCTTCCCGAGATCCATCCAAGCAACACAACCAGCCCGAGGGGGGGGACACGGAGCGCACAAGCATCAGACCAAAGACGTAGCCAGCTAGCCAGCTACTCTCTAGTAATTGCAAATGCCCCCGACGTCGTCGTCGACAGTCCACGTGCCCGCCAGCCCGTTGACCTCGACCTCCTCGGTCGCGCCGCCGTGCTGGCCGTCCTTGCCGGCGAAGAAGTCCCCGGCCCCTTCGTACTTCATGTTGCGGCTCATGAAGCGCTGGGTCCACTCCTCGACGGCGGGCTCGCCCGTCTCGTCGCGCGCCTGCTTGAGGAAGCTGATGAGGGCCGTGCCGCCCGTGCCCTTGAGGTTCTTCTTCTGCTGGTCCGGGTCGGAGGAGGTGTGGGCCTCGAAGGCGATGCCCACCGACGCGGTGGCCAGGTTCTGCCTCTTGCGCGCTTCCGCCGCCGGCTGGGACTGGGGCATGGTGGGCCGGCCGGCCCGGCGCACGGCCTCGGGGCTCCGGCTGCGCGAGCGGGCGCGCACCTCGCGCGAGGGCACGACGATGTACCGGCTCACGATGCCGATGTGCTTGTCGCGCATGGCGCGCAGCATGGACAGGCAGCCGTCGTAGGCGATGCGCAGGGGCGCGTCGCCGGGGCGGCCCTCGACGAACGCGCGGATGTTGGCCACGGCGGCCACGTCGTGCAGGAAGCGCGCGTGCGGGCCGGGCATGTACCGCCGCATGTCCATGATGAAGTTGTGCCGCGGCGCGGGCGGCGCGTGCCCACCATCGCCATCATCGCCGGCGGAGGGCCTCTTCTTCTTGTCGCCCGTGGGGCGGTGCTCGATGCCCAGCACGATGTCGAAGAACTGGATCAGGCTGCTCTGGGCGTTGCTGCCGCCGCTGTACTGCGTGTAGACCTCCTCCTCGCCGCCCGATCCGGTGTCGTAGATGAGCCCGTGCGGCAGCCCGGCCTCGGCCATGTTCTTGGTGCCCGCCAGGAAGGGCCGGATGCGGTGGTAGAAGATGGTCGGGTCGCAGCTCTCGTGCATGCGCTGCAGCAGCTGGACCAGGTCGTCGAGGCGCTCGGCGAAGCCGCGCAGGCAGCGCGTGACGACGGCCGAGTCGCCCTCGCGGGCGGCGGCGATGGCCGTCATCATGAGGGACATGATGGGCCCGCCGCGGGCCTCCATGGCCACGCTGACGAGGTAGAACCACGACTCGTCGAGGCCGCCGGTGAAGGTGTGCAGCGTGGCCAGGTTCTCGAGGTGGTCGATCCCTTCGTCCATGAAGAGCGGCTTGAAGTTCCACAGGCACACGGCCGCGTAGGTGGCGATGGGCGGCAGCTCGACGCGGCGGGCGATCTTGAGGAAGGGCACCGAGATGGAAGGGGGCAGGCGGTCGCTGGGGCTGTCACCGCCCCAGATGTAGCCGTGGGCTATGAAGGCGAGCAGCGAGTAGGCGCGGCGCCACTCGGCGTCGTGCTCGAGGCCGACGGTGGAGAGCACGGGCAGGCGGTCGACGACGCCGCGCAGGCGCTTGCTCAGGATCAGGCCCTGCAGGTTGGCGGCGACGGCCTCCCACTTGTTGTAGTAGGGGTCCGGGAGCCGGGTCAGCGGCAGGACCTCCGGGAGGAAGCCGTGGGTGGGCGAGATTCCATAGTCGGACAGGACGGGGATGGGTGGGAGCATGATTCGCTGGCCTGTCGCGGGTTTCGAAGCTGACTTGGTTTCTTTGCCGTACGTTCTGTATTCCAAGAACGTCTCACAGAGTCTGTCCAAAGGTGGTGATTGTCTGTGGTTGATTGGACTTCAAGCCAAAAGCCTTTCACAGCTTTCAGATGAGATGAGATGAGATCAGATGAGGGAATTGACGATTCAAACGAAAATGTCCTGACGCAAGGAGTATACAGAATTTACTCTGTGATACTCCTCAGCCGTGCGAGAACTCGGTTGAGTCGCGAGCATGAAAGGCTGGGGTGTGTTGGGTTGTCGATTGTCTCAATAACAACAGTTGTTGGTGGTGTGAGAGAGATGAAAATTCTTTAGGAAAATTAGGGGGAAGGACAGCCTTATTTACATTACGGGGAAGGTACTCTTTGGGGAAGGCAATCCATTTTTTTATTCCTCAGCAAACTAATTCTACTTAATTAATCACCAGTTTCAGAAGGTTGGAGTGGAGAGAGGAGAGGCGAGAGAGTGTGTGTGTGTGTCTGCGCATGTGCGAGAAGTGTGTCAGAGAGTGAAAAAACTTCGCCTCCCAAGCTATTCCTCATTCTCCCGACTGATGGCTGTTTAGCGCCGACTAAAAGCGAAACAGACAGCCTAGCCATGGCAGGATCTCGAGGCATCTCCAGCAGTGATGGGATGGGCCAAGGGAATTAGCACACACCAAGGGCAACAAGCCGGCGCGCCCGGCTGATGGCGTATTGTGGGGAAATGGGCTGACGGAGAGAGAAAGAGACAGTCGAGAGGTAGAAGAAAGGGTGTTTGGGGTGTGTATGTGTTTGTCAATTGTGTTTTCAAGAGAAAAGGAATAACACCACTGAATCAAATCATATGGGCGAGTTTCAGTGGCTTCATCCCGCTTGAGCCGCCGCTGCAGATTCAGCCCTCCGACTCCGGCGGCCTCCCAGAGAGCCGAATCAATTTGGATGGTGGGTGAAGAACTGCGGGCATTCTTGCGCTCCAATCAAGAGCGAGCCGGTCTGGCCTGGGCAAGAGAGCTCTCAGATGTCTGGAATGTATGCCTCGTGAGAACCTCAAATGGCCATTTCCCCAAGTCCAAGAAGCTCAAGGTCCGTGTCCGCCCGGAGCAAAGGGCTCTGGGACGGACTAACGGGCCACGAGCTGCTGGTGACACGCGCGGGGTACCTAGGCAAGATCGGCCACCGGAGGATCGGTAAGCATCCCATCCCCCTAGCCTAGCTGTTCTTGTCGTCAGAGGGCAGCACAGCTAGGAACTCCAATCCCGAGAGGCTACGGCCGGAGGATCTGGAAGAGGGAATACCACTCCCTCAGCTTAGCGATGTCCAAGTACTGCCGGCTCCTCGAACCCTGGATATCCGGCGACGCTACGGATGAAGCGCGGGCCATCGTGGGTAAGGTAAGATGCGACTCGGGTCAAGCCCCTGGCCTGGAATCCGGTGCTGTCGGGGAGGCTGACGAAGGATCATTAAGCAACGGAGCAGGTTATATAAGTCATAAATGCCAGGTTCATCTCTCCCCTCCAAGTGTAGAGAGCTGCTCCTCTGTGGAAGACAGAGCACTGCCTACGTGGTTGCCCCGAACGCCAACGGCTTTCACCGCTGCTTGACTCTCCGCCTCCGGCGTTGGGGTAATACCAATGGATCGAATCCCGCTGTTTACGGTCTGCATTGTCTTGTCTCGACGATGACTGGCTGCAGAGTCCGTGCTGAGCCGGGCGAAACATGAAGCCTCGATATTGGTAATCCTCAGTTGCTGACTCCAGCTTGAGACGACAAATCACAAATCAAAACAGCCAGACCAAACATCGGTGAGCAGCTCGTCGTCGATGAGGCAGCATGTCATTCATGCATGTCCAGATCCTGCTGCTGCAACGTCCGCTACTTGAAACGGGCCCGCAGCTGCTGCAGCAGTGGCCCCCGGAGCGGTCCAAGTTGCAAGCTGGCTTGTTTTTGTTTTGCCCCGGCAAATCAATCCCGCATCTGGCCCATCGTGCACACGGGTCGGCATCTTTCACGAAGATTCCCCCCTTTTCCATCCACGCCGTTGCTTATAAATCCGTCCCTCAGAGGACGTGATGGTCCCCTTGGTTTAGTAATCAGGCTCGCCCAAGGGACGATAGCTTGCCCGGCGCCCGCTTAGACAGGGCTGGTCGTGCACAGGGCGCCCCATCGCCACGCGGGGAAGCTCCATATCCGGGACCTCGGAGTAGTGTGAAGCCAACCAACCAACCTAGGCTCAGTCCCGATAGCGTTGTCAATATGTTTCGAAAAGGAGTAGTCGGAACGGGTCGTCGTCTCCATGACAAGCGCTCCACCACCATGGGGCATGTTTTGTCAGGAAGGGCGGTCGTTGTCGTTGTGAGGCTTTATATATACCTGGGTTAGCCGCCCACCTCGTCTGGACCCGATGGCTTCATCCGTGCCTAGAATTGCATCATCGCGAGCAGCAACCCCCAGAAACACTCAATTCCCATCCTCCACACGAACTTGACGTAAAAACGTCTTTGCCACCGTCTCCAGACCACCACCACCACCACCACCACGGACACTTCCACGCCATCGTCAACAAGCAACGAATAAACATGCCGGCCACCACCGTCCACGACTCGTCCGTCGTCCTCCTGGGCCGCGCCCTCGAGTCGCTCCGGGGCATCCTGGCCAAGGCCGAGTCGCACGCCCAGACCGCGGGCGCCAACCCGGACGGCTACGTCGAGGCCCGGCTGGCGCCCGACATGCTCCCCCTGAGCTTCCAGGTCCAGACCGTCTGCAACACGGCCAAGAAGTGCCTCGAGAGGCTCACCGGCCGCACCCTGCAGACCTGGGCCGACGACGAGAAGACCCTGGCGCAGCTCCAGAAGCGCGTCGACGAGACGCTCGAGCTGGTCAAGTCGGTCAAGCCCGAGGACGTGAACGGCAACGAGGACGGGCGGATCGAGATGTGAGTGCTTCTTCTTTTCTTTCCTTTCCTTTCCTTTCCTTTCCTTTCTACTGCCTCTCCCCTCTCGATTCCCTGACTGACCGTGATGAACAATAGCAACATGGGCAAGGCCGGCGCCATGGACGTCAGCCGGGTGGGCATGGTCTACGGCTACACCATCCCCAACGCCTTTTTCCATCTCAGCATGACCTACGCCATCCTGCGGGCGCAGGGCGTGCCTCTGGGCAAGGGTGACTACCTGGCTAGCTTCCTGATGCCCAACAAGCTGAGCTGAGCGAGTCGAGGTTGATGAGCTTTTGGTAGTCAGAGGGTCGACGATGGATCTACTATTGGCATCTGAGACAGAAGGAAAGCGAAGCGCAAAAGAGCAACGAGCGAGAGATGCCCGACTTATATAGATCTGACAAAATAAGCAAGCAAAATGAAGTACAGCACAAATGATTGGACATTGGCATTATGTCAACATCTCTGAGTTGCCATAAGCTCATCCCCAAGTGCGATGGTGTGTGATATGACGACACCCCGACCGCTATGATGGTCCAATCGCAGCGGGTGTATCGCTGAGTAATGCTCTAAAATGCCCCCTCAAACTGACACCTCGGCCGCCTGAGACTTCCGCTTCTAGTTAGCTGTTAGCGGGCACTCCCCTGAAACCCCCACGTTTTTGGGTGTCCAGTCCATAACACTGCAGCCTGCGCATGTGTGTTTCCCCGCTAAAGCTGCCAAGCAAGCTTGGAGGAGCTCCGATCCGGATCCCAGCCTCATCTCTCCTCCTCTCGACGCACGACGACGCATCATCCTCCCGAAAGCTGCTCAACCACAACCACAGCGCACGCACACGCACACGCGCATCGCCCCTCACGACCATGATAAGGTGACGTGCTTTTACAACTCTCCGATGTCACGATGCCGGTCCAGCAGCACATCCTGAACTGGCTCTACAGCGTCCTCACCAGTGTATGTCCCTCCCTCTTCGCCGAGTGTCGCATCGTGATTGTCAAACTCCTTCTAACACTCTGCTCTCTGTCTCTCCCTCGACAGGAATACCACGATGTGAACCGCACCTACAACGACGTCGCCCAGGCGCTCTCACAGTACCCCTCCCTGTCGCCGAGGACAGATGTCCACAGTATGTTTCCCTCTACATGTGCCTACCTACCTGACTAACCATGCTTCGCAAACAAGCATTCCCCAACGGCGCCTCCGCCCTGCTCCTCCACCTCTCCGGCACGATCCCCGTCCTCTTCCGCGGCACGACCTACCGCTTCCCCGTCTCGCTATGGATACCACACGCATACCCTCGCGAGGCACCCCTCGTCTACGTCACGCCCACCGAGACCATGATGGTGCGGCCAGGACAGCACGTCGACCCTCAGGGACAGGTATACCACCCGTATCTTGTCGGCTGGGCCGAGTTCTGGGATGTGAGTTCTGCAATCAGAAAGACCGTGGCAGTTCAACTGCCTAGATTGGATCAAAGGACTGACCCTCGACACCAACAACACAGAAATCAAGCCTGCTCGACTTCATCGCCATCCTCCGCGACATCTTCGCCAAGGAACCCCCGGTGATATCACGCCAAGGCGCACGATCCACGACCCCGGCACAGCAGCAGCCGCAACAGCAGGTAGCATCGCCGCCTCCCGTCCCTCCGCTGCCGCCAGACATGGCGCCTCCGCACACAGCCGCGAGCACACACTCGCCAGCTCCGGACCCGTCACGGCCGCCGCCTCCACCCCCCAAGCCTCACGAGCATCCGGCGCAAGGGCAGCAGACGGGACCTCCGTTACCGCCGCATCCAGGTCGGCCCGCCAGTCAGTACGGCGCCGGCATGCCCCCGCAACAGCAGCAGACACCGCCCCGCCAGTCCCGGTATGACTCGGCACCTCCTCTACCTCCCCAAGAGCTTCCGACCGGGGCCTACCAACAAACGACGAGACCGCCTCCTCCGCCGCAGGTAGCAGACCCAAGATATCAATCTCCTCCTCCAGCCCAGTACCCCTACCAACAGGGCCCTCCACCACCTCAGCAACCGCCATACACCTCCCCCGATCCCAGACGGATCTCCTCCTTCCCGCCACCAACGCAATACAACAGCCCTCCGCCCCAACAACAATGGCAACAAGCGCAACAGCCCCCTCCGCACGCCTTCCAATCACAACCGCAACCACATCCCAAACCCCCACCGCCGCCAGACATCATGGACGAGCCCCTCACGCTCTCCATCCCCTCGCCGTCGTCGGCCGCCGTCCCCGCGCCGCCGATCCCGCCGAACCCGGAGAAGGATGCCCTGCTGCACCAGCTCGCGCAGACGCTGCACTCGATGCGCGAGCACAGCCGCCAGCAGAACGAGTCGTCGCTCGCGGGGCTCCAGGCCCAGCGCACGGCCATGCTCAACGCCCTGGCCGCCATGCAGGCCGAGGCCTCGGGGCTCACGCAGCTGTCGGCCCTCGTGCAGGCCAACACTTCGGCCCTGCACGAGGCGCTGCGCCGCGCCGACGGCGTCATCGAGGACTCGGCGCGCCGGCCCGCGCCGGGAATCGACGAGCTGCTCGTCGCGCCGACGGTCGTGGCCAACCAGCTGTACGACCTCGTCGCCGAGGAGCGGGCGCTGGCCGATGCCGTGTTCGTGCTGGGCAGGGCGGTCGAGAGGGGCCGGGTGAGCCCCGCCGTGTTCGCCAAGATGACGCGGAGCCTGGCGCGCGAGTGGTATCTCAAGAAGGCGCTTGTGCGCAAGGTTGGGAGGGGGATGGGGCTTGCTGCTTGGTGAGTGGGCTTGCGATGGGAGGAGAGGTTGAGTGAGGGGGAGAAGGGAAAGAAAGGGGTTGAATGAAGTATCATTCTATGTAGCCTCTCTGTTGAACAGGTGAAGCGTTTGGTTCTGGAAATATAGCATGTTGTTTTTGTGATGAGAAGATATGAGATGATGTGTAGTTTAGTGTCGGCGTGATGAGGTTGTCAAGTGTCATCGACGGCGGGCTGGAGCGGGATATCATGCTCTCTACCACGAGGTGTGCTTCTTGGTACCAAAACCACATGTTAAAGAACATTCTTTTGTTATGGCGCCCGCAAAAGGGGAGAGAAATGTCCAAGATTTTCCGAAGTGCATCATAGCCATGCTTCACTCAATCAACGGTACCACATCTGTCTCATTGCAAATTCACACTCACTTCTCGCATCTCAAGTCCCCAGAGAATACGTTCATTATGCAGTATTACTTGTATTTCCCGACTTCTCTCCCCTGTGCCTGTCTATCATTCCAGCAAAACGAAATAAAAAGGGGTATCGTGAGTACTCTTGCAGAAACAAACACAACTTTTGCCCCGGCTGGAACAGTGCCTGCCCTTTGTCCTTTTCCCTGTCCCTGAGAACGCCGCCAGTGAGACAAACAGAGATATCAATAACAATCCTCCGACCACAGAACAAGTGTGTGGGAAGGCCTCTGATGGTACAAAACATCACCAACCATCATCATGATCACCATCACCACTCAAACCAGAAAATACCCAAACCTCATAGACGACCGTTCAACGGCCAGTGTAAGAATATGTGTGTGTGTGCTCCCATCAACGCAAAACTCAGTCTTTTTTTCGCTACCGCCCACAAAAACTAGTCTTTGTCTTGGTTTCTTTGATCTTGTCTTCTCTTCAACTCAACCCTTCCTCGCCAAACAGACAAACCAAAAAAACACCCCCTTCCCAACCACAGCCCAGGAGTGTTTTTCCCCGCCCGCCCATCTTTTGTGTTTTTCCTTTTCTTTTCCGTCCTTCGCATCTCCTTCAACTATGTCGCTCTGTCAAGAAAATCGGAACTTTGTTTCTTCGAGAGGACCCTCTGCAAGGTTGTTTTTCTCTTTTTCCTTCACAACAACCCGCACCGCCACACAACTACCAACACAAGACCAGGCACACTTTTTTTTTCTTGTCTCTCTTGACTTTCTGTCCATTCTCCTCTCTCTTCCACTCGAACCATTTTTCCAAAAATGGTCTTCCCGCTTCGTGAGCGCCGAACAGCAGAGCCGCTTTGGTCAAAGAAAAGACGGCACGTCTCTCCAAACCAGAGGGCAAGAATGATAGGTAAAAAAGAAAAAAAAGTGACCATGATATCGTCAAGTCGTGACCCGGGGGTATCTTCCAAAAAGTCCTACAGGAAAAAAAGAAAGGAGGCCCAGTTGGTTTTCCTTCCACTCAGGAGCGCGCGAGAAGAAGTAGAAACACAGTGTCCCTGCGCGCAATGCAAAGTCCCGTTGATGTTCTCGTATTGAAAGTGCGTACCAAACCGTCCAGAAAAAATATGCAGTGTAAGAGCGAAGAGCATCCGGTCTCTCCAGAGAACGTGAAGAATGTTGTTTGAGGTGAATCGCTGTTGTTTTCCCATCTGTTTTGTTCCCAGAAAAAAAGTAATGAATTTTGCCGATGAAAGTGGTGATGAGGTCGGGGCGCACGCTGACGGAAAGGCAAGCAAATGCAAAGGCGAAAGCGGAGAGTCCCGACCATGAAAACGCAATAATGAATCGATCGTACGTAGAGGCAGACTCGTCCCGAGGCACAGCCGCCTCAAAAAGCAAGTGGCGAAACGAAGGGATGTCGACTAGTCGGCGTCATGCTCATTGCTTCTACTCGACTTGCCATATCTCCTGATTAACTCGACCACCTCCTATACGACGGGCTGGATAGGAGCGACCGCAGGGGCGGGGACGCTGGAGGCGTCCTGGATGGGGATGTCGCTGGGGATCTCGCCGTTGGTGTTCTTCTGGGGGCAGTCGCGCGAGATGTGGCCAGCCTCGCCGCACTGGTAGCAGGTCTTGCCAGCCGTGTTGAGAGGGCCGCCGTTGGGGGCGGTGCAGTCGCGCGAGATGTGGCCGAGCTTGCCACAGGCGTAGCACTTCATGGCCTGGGCCTGGCAGTCGCGGGCGAAGTGGTTGGGGCCGCCGCACTTGTAGCAGGTCGCAGGGCGCGGGCCGCCGGCGAAGCCACCACGGCCGTAGCCGCCAGCATAGCCGCCACGGCCAACAGGACCGCCACGGCCCATGCCGACGGCGGCAGGGTTGGGGCAGGCACGGGCCAGATGGCCGGGCTGGCCGCAGTTGTAGCAGCGCCCGCTGGAGCCAGCGCCGCTCAGGCGCAGAGTCGGGCAGTCAGCCTGGACGTGACCGAGGCCCTGGCAGTGGTAGCACTGCTTGGCCTCCGTGGTGCGGGGAAGAGGGCAGCCGTTGGACTCGTGGCCTGGAGAAGGGAGGCGCCGTGTTAGACGTGGGCTCGACAAAACCTGTGCGAGGGCATGTGTTGCTGCTTACCAGGCTGCTTGCAGTTATAGCAAAGGCGCTCAGCGGAGGAGCAGACCTCGGCATAGTGGCCAACGTTGCCACACTTGTAGCACGCACGACGAGAGAGCGAAGACATTTTGAATGTGTTCTGACTATCAAAGCGGGTCAGTCAATCATGTAAAGTGGAAGTCGACGTAAATGCTTCATGAAGTGGTTGTAGGCATCTCCCCCTCCTGGTCCGGCTCGAAGATTGCAGTGTCGATTCAGAGTGTCTCTTCGCAGGTGGCGATGGCGACAAAGCAAAGGTCGCAAACCTGTTGCAAACGCCACGCCTCTCAGACTTGTGGCACACAACGCAACTGGAAGGGTGGTGAGGGGCGTGTCTGCGACCTGGATAAAATCGCTGGCCGCACCCAATAGCCTGGTTTGGGGCGGTCGCACAGGGCCTCGGTGAGCCGCAGCTTGCAGGATGCATGAGCCTTGTGGTACTGCTGTTCTCGACAGCCATTCGCAGGCTCGCAGACCCAGAACGGACAGGCCTGGGAACATGCGCGCGCACACAGGCCCCCGTGAACTCCATGGTCCTCTCAACTCGGGATTCAACTGTGTTTGCGCCAGTGTGCTTGTGGCCGATTTGGATATTCAGACGGGATCATCTCGAGAGAGCGATGACGCTGCGCTTGAGCATGTCTCGCGCTCCATCGTCGGGAGCCGGCCAGCCGAGTCGAGCATGTGGTTGATAGAGCCGAGCTGGGTTGCTCTCGCTCTCACCCTCGCCGTCAAGGCAGAAGAAGGGCGGTGTGTGGAAGGTCGAGGACCGTTGCGCGCATTCTTGCAATCGCATGAAGTGGAATCATATACACAAGAGGTATTGTCGTTCTCGAGAGAGCCTTGGTTCCCGTTGTTTGTAGTTGGCAACTGTGCTTTGGAATCGGGGACTGTCGCAGATGATGCCGAAGTAGCTGCGGTCAAGTTCCCGAAAATAGCCCTCGGCACGCAGATATGCATATGCATGCACGCACCAAGGCTCTCCCGTTTGACCACCCTGATGTCTCTGGCAGCTTGGAGTGATGGTCGACGATCCGGGAAACTGGGCGCGACCCTGAGGGCCCAGAGGAGTGGTGCAACAACCCTTTTGGCCCGATCTGGCGGTGGGAGGAGGAGGAGGAGGACGGAGAGGAGGGGTGGAGATGCGCGACAGTGTGCAGCAAGAAAACGTGGGCATGGATGGTGGGAATTGAGTGTTTTTGGGGGGGACAAACCAACCTGTTTGACTCTGAGACTTTCCTGGCTCTTCAACCTTCAGTCTATCCAAGACTTTCTTCACCGACGGACGACACCTTTAGGGGGGTTGTAAAGACTGCTTTGGGATGGAGAAAGCGATGATGTGTGGAGAGGAGGAGAAAGAGACCGGAGAGGCGAGATGAATCGGGGGAGGGCGAGGCAAGGGATTATGAAAAAAGAAAAAACCAGACAGCTCAGTGCGCGAGCGAGCGCAGTAGGAGGGACCGGAGCAGGCAGGTACAGGCAGGTACCAAAAGCGACTTGCGCCCGGGGCCTGGGTTGGCTGCTGGAGAGCGTTGCCTACTTCCGGACTAGGTACCTAGGTAGCCTCCAGCTTGTACCAGGTAGGTACCGCTTCCGGGCGAGCAACCCACTAAACTGCCCTGCCTTTTCACGATTTTTCGCCTCTCTTCGCGCCTTTTCCCTCTTTTTTTCTCTCCATCTCTCTCGCCCGTACCATACCCGCCCCCAATACCCGAGCGGGCAAGTGGCAGCCAGCACTGCATGACAGCCTAGACGCGATCCAGCCTAGCCGCACACACTTCCTACACTTTTTTCACCTCGTCTCATCTCCTCCATCCCATCCCATCCCATCCCATCCCCATCGGCAACAGCCTGCCCTGAGCTCGAGCCAAGGAGGGGAGCGGAGAGGCGGAGTACAACGAGACAGCTGGAGACAGGCAGTGTGTCCTTCAATCCCTTCTCTTCCCCCGGTGTCCCGCTAGGCCGCATCCACCTCCAGTTCCTCTCCAAGAGCCCTGGAGGGCCCTGGACCACCCGCAACCCTCCTCGGAACTCATTCCCAACTCGAGCCGCACCAGGGGACGGGATTTCTGGGTCTGCCTGGGCTTTGACCTCGGAATGGGGTAGGATCTGGTCGTGACAGGAGGAGAGGGGTGGACAGGAATAGCATTCATCTGGCGATCTGTCTACTCTTTCGAGTTAGACTACTGTCCAAAGGAGCAACACACATTTGCCTCTCTCCTGAAACCAGCCAAGATCTCGATACAGCAGGAGAATGTTGCTTGCTCCATGCGGAGTGATTGTCGGCATCTCGAGAATGCCTCTTTTCGCTTGATATCTAAGGAAACATAATACCTACAAATGACCTCGAGGATCAGACCTTTTCGCCAGCCCAAAACTCATGCTTAAATATGAGGACTTAACTATCCTACCTGGTATGGATGTTTGCTTCAGCTTTTTTTTGTTCTAGTTTGTCTCTGTTTGATTCCTGGCAGTTGGTCTCTTCGAAATGGCTGCGCTGTCTCGTTTTGGCGTATTATTATTCCGTGTCAAATGATTGGTCAAACCACATGTCAATCAATGATCTCAGTCTTCGTCGACAATTGAGCCTCCCCCTCGCGAACCATGTTGGAGCTTGGAGCAGCCGGTGTTTACATAAACTACCCAAGTAAGCGAATAGAGTAAATCAACTCATAAGGCCGCTCTGTAGGAACCAGCTCTTCTTTGATGTCGGAGTTCCCCGGTCTTGGGCCGTGAGTCTTCACTTGCCGGGGTCACAGACACGAACCAGGACCTGACTTCAGTCTGCATCATGGCTCACCAACCATGACACATCAATGATATTCTAAACCATCATGTCAACTCACTTGTCACCAGCCATCAGCCATTCGAGTCGCATTGGTGGGAATCTCAAGCCAAAGCTAATGCAGTACACCCGGGGACCAAGAGATGAACGTGGTGTGTCAAATCTCTCTTTCAGACTCGCCACTTACGCCTGTCCTCTTCTCTACCAAAAGGGACCCCCACCCTAATACAATTACACACAGACATATGCCTTAAATAGAGATTGAAAACTCATAAACGCCAGTTCCCCATTTTCCAAGGTATTACATCCACAATACAACACTGACACATCTCACCATGCCGCCGGCCTAGCCGCCCGGCCCGCCTCGGCAGGATGCTGCGGCAGCGGTAGCGGCACCTCGGTCGTCGGCGCGATCGAACGCGGCTGCGCCTCAACAACATAGCTCACGCCATCGTCCGAAGCGTAGCTGGGTGGCCTGCGCTGCTGCTGCTCGTCCTGTCCGTCGTCGCTGCCGCCGCCGCCGCGGAGCCCCGTCTGCGTTTCATGCTCCGCAGGCGCCGCGTTCTCGTTGCGCTGCCAGTAGATCCTGTCCGGGTCGACTCTCTGCAAAGAGAGAAAAAGTCAGCACATGCGCACACCTTGATACTTGATTTTAAGAAATGGAAAACATACCACGCTCTCCCGCCAGAGCCCGTACGCCGGCGGCCGCATCTTGGTCGTCTCGCTGTCCAGGCCCGCCGCCTCCTCGTCCCGCGCCAGCACCACGCGGATCGGCTGCCTCGGGATGGCGTAGCCCCCGGGCCCGTACATCTGCGGCAGCCGCCGCCGCTCTTCTTCTTCTGCGTTGCGCGGGCCCCTGACGATGAGCATGCACAGCCGGATGAGGCCGTGGCAGAAGAAGATGGTGACGCAGAGGATGATGAGGATGAGCATGACGGTGAACTCGCTGCTGTTGATGTTCTTGGTGATGGACAGGGCGAGGTCTAATGTAGGGTTTCAGTTTTAGCAAGTGGCCAAAGTCCACGAGGACACATCGACGACATGTGCAATGGGCACGGAAGAAGGAAAAGTGAGACACGTACAGACAGTCAGCAGCAGCGCCAGGAAGATCCCCGACACAAAACACCGCAGGATGTTGGTCCGTATGCGCTTCGACTTGATCCACGGGAAGCAGAACAAAAAGTGCTTGGGCGGCGACCGCCTCTCTCTCTCCGCCCGCCGGTGGGCCCTCCGTCTCCTCCGCCTCGCCCTCGCCTCATCATCATCACCGCCCTCCCGATTCTCCCGGTCCTCATCCTCCTCCCCGCTGCCCTCGCCCCGCCTCCTCTGCCTCCTCCGCCGCCGCCGGCTATCCTCCACCAGGCTCGCGAGATGCAGCTCCGCCGGGTCCGCCCCCTGGAACCGCCGGCTGCTGCGCCGCGATACCGATGGGGCCTGCGTCCGGAACATGTCGGCCGGTAGCGCGGGTACCGGTTCCGCGACCCCGGCGGCGGCGGCGACGGGAGGCGCGCCGCGCTGGCTCGCCGCCGTGGGCGGGCCGTTGGACCCCTGCGTCCACGTGCGCGCCAGGTTGGGCAGGTGCAGCCTCGTCGAGGGCAGGGGCGGCATGCCCAGCGCGAACTGCGGCGTCTTGGGTGACTCGGCGACCTCGTCGTCGTACACGCTGCTGCTGGGCCGCGAGTCAGGGCCCGGGTGGTCCTGCTGCTGCCGCCGCCGCTGCCGCTGGTCCTCGTAGTCCCGCGCGGCCTGCACGGGGTCGGTGCTGTTGGTGAACCGGCTGAAGAAGGACGGCCTGTTGCTGCTGCTGCGGCCGCCGCCCAGGTGGGCGCCCAGGAGAGACCTGGCCGCCGTGGCCGCGGCGCGCTCCTGCATCTCCGGCTCCTGGCGCGGCGACAGCGGCTCTCTGCTCGACTGCCGCTCCAGGTCGTGGTGCGCATCGCTGTCGTTGCCCGCGGCCGGACCGCGGCGGAGGAAGTTTGCCCTGGCGTTGCGAAGGGAGGCCATGTTGGGACGGGGTACGGTGAAGGGAAGGTTCATCGTGGAGACGGAGGGGGCCGGGCGGTGTTGTAAGTGTCGTGGAGGGGCGTCGTGTTATCTATGAGGCCCAGTGGTCATGACGGTCTGATCGAGGTGGCCTGGTGTGGTCGTGGATGTGGTCGACTTGGATCTGGCCAAGAGATGGGCCCGGGTCTGAGCAGTACAGACAGGTTTTGTTGTCCAAGTCGTAGAAAGAACAGAGTCGCGAGATGGATGACCAGCACTCCAAGTGCTACGGGTCCGGTTTCAGGCAGGGCTGTCGTCGACAAATGAATACGAGAGGAACCCGGACTGCTCGTCGTAATATCGATATCCTCCCACCCACTAACTAATGCAGCCCAATCTCCATCCAACAGGTCGCAAGCAAAGGGAAGAAGAGACAGGTGAACGGGTGCGCTAGTCACCTCCAGTCTATCGACCCGGGGAAGGGCGGCGGACGCCAGGGAGGGAGATGGTAAATGAGATTGAAGAAATAGTGTCGACCAATGGATCTAGTGCTCGCAGAGCAACCTGGAGGGCTTGGTATCGAGGCTGAGAGAAGGCAAGAAAAAGCAAAAAAGGACTAATCGAGCGAACGAGAATGCGTAAATGCAAGAAATGAGTTAGGTATTGGGGTCTTCCTGAAGAAGCACGACGAAAGGAGAGGGAGAGGTGCAACGAGCCGGCCAGCCAGAACCAGTCGATCCGGGGAACAAGAACCAGGAACAAACAACCACAAAAAAAGAAAAGAAAAAGTCCAAGGCGTGTGTGTGGTGTGCCAGCCACATGCACGGTTACAGAATACAAATTAAGAGATAGAGAGAAGCAGGATGAATGGGTGTGAAGGCCAGCAAAACCCGTTCAATCCCAGAGAGATCCTACCGACGGAGCAGGTGCCGCCTGCAACTAGAACGTACCTATGTGCATGCACACACGGGCCGCTGTCACAGCTTGAGCACACGCGCGCTCGCTTCTGCTTGCTGACCCGTCCGGGGTCGAGGGTCCAGCCGTCGCGAGGCTAGGCAGGATATCCTCATGTCTCTCACTGAGATGTCCCCCTCGTTTCGAAGCCAGGCAGGGCAGTGGACGTGCGTTGCACTCGCGCATCGCGCTACCCATTTAGCGAGCTTCATTGATCCTGTTGAGGGAGCTCAGCAGCCAGGGAATGGGATTCCTTGGTGTGTCCGAGCTCTTCCTGCTGTCAGCTCCTGTGACAGGGAGGATGCAGCCAGGCCTGGTGATTGGCCGCGAGGGCTGCCCCTGCGACGGGGGTTCTGTGTTTTGCATTGAAAGTGTCGACAAGGCAGGGGTTTGTTCTGCGCACCCCGTGTTTCGGGTTGGCGTTGAGCGGAGGCCACGGATTGGACGGTGGTCTTGGATTGGCCTCAACAGGGGTCTCTCGATTATTAGTGTGGCATCCTCCTGGATTGGCAGTGAGGTGCAGTGCGACACGACGGCAGCAAATCGATACGATACAGAAGGCCTGATGTTTGCATGGCAGGGACCGCGCCCTGGAGGGAGATTGGAGATGATACCTCTACCTATCACCCAATAAAGGCTGACAGGAGCCAGGTACCTAGCTTTCGAGTGAATTAAAGCAGTTTGTCCTGCGAAGGAAGGCTAGCGAAGGCCTGGAAATGAGCACGGCAAACTACCATCCTAGGGATGAAATAGCACAAAGCACAGCCATCGACAAATTGCACAGTCCAGCCAAGGGACGCGGAACTGAACTGCCTAGACAGTTTATTGATTGTCATCATTGCGAAGCTGTCTCCTTTACCTGCTAACCGGGACTTATCGATCGGAAGGCTCTGGAAGGTGAAGCTCTGCCTCCTCGCTTTTGATAAGGTACATCGCTGTCGCTTCTGTTTCTGTTTCTGCAATGCTACCGCACTTGACTGGCCACTTCTACGGCCCACTGTATCAAGCCCTTGATCAACGATAAGTTCAAGCTCGTGTCCGTACGTCCCGTAATGTGGCGTCGTTTGGTCCTTGACCACTCTTCCTCCCGTCCAACAAGCCTCGGCGCGATCTATCCCCTTCCGCAAAGCACAGGCTCGAGATGGCCACTGGCTTGGTCACAGCCACCCTCAAGCAGGCCTTTTGATGACCAGGCCCCAAAAGTACTATAGGATGAAATGCCAAGAGGAGAGCGCGATGCAGCAGCTGTGTTCGCTGCTTATCGCCAATGTGGTGTGTCATGTCTCTCGTGTTCCAAGTGCGACTCATTTCAGCTCGCCCAGGAGCATGTTCCGATCTGACGACGCGGAAAGAACTGTCAAGAAAGTCAGCAAAGAAGAAGCCTGGCTATGATGGTGCGGTTCAACCTACTAATCGGCTCAGCACCGGGCGCAAACTCGGCGACGTTGACTGTGCCCTTGTGGCCAGGCAGCTTGTACAGCAGCTTGCCCGTGTCGTTGGACCACACGACAACCGTACCGTCGCCTCCACCGACAGCAATCTTCTTTCCCTCCGAGTCCCAGCTGCCGCGAATCAGGTTCTTCTCAAACCCAAAAGTAGCACCGTCAAAGGTCCTGATATGCCTCTCGGTAGGCGCAAACGGCCGGATGTCCCACGTCCGGGCAGTAGAATCCATAGAGTACGAGAGCAGAGACTGCGAGTCGGGCGACACCCGCAGACTGGTGATGGTGTCCTGATGGCCGAGCATCGAGTAAACGACGGCCTTCTTCCGCACGTCCCACACCTTGATGTCATTGTCAATCCCGCCAGAGTAGATCTCGTTGCCCGCCTCGGAGATGGCGACCGCCGTGATGGGGAAGTCGGTCTCGATGTAGTCGGCCGCCTTCTTCGTCCTGGGGTCCCAGATGCCGATTGTGCCGTCGTCGCTTCCACTGAAAAGCATCTCCTCTCCACGCTTGCTGATATCCATTGTGTTGACGATCTCCTCGTGCCCTACGTACCGCCGTATCCTCGTGCCGGATGTGAGGTCCCAGCTGGCCAGGTGCATATCTGCCGAAGCGGAAAAGAGAATATCGGAGTCGCGCGACCATTGTAGGTCCAGCACCGCGCCTCGGTGGCCGTTGAGGATGCCATAGTTTTCGCAGTCGCCGTACGTTCGCCAGAGCACTAGATGCCGTCAGCCACATAGACCCAGCATTATCCATATATAAAAGCAACGTACTGATGCTCCTGTCCATGGACCCCGACGCGATCAGGTTACCGGAAGGGTCGAATTTCGCCGCAAAGATCTCGCCCGAATGGCCGGTCAATTCCATCACCGGAGCCTGGAGCCCGCTCGTCCTCGGCGCCTACATCAACAGAGGTCAGCATTGGATCATCTCTCGCATTTAAAGAATAGACATACCGCCTGCACCAAGCTCGACGTGGCATTGGCCCTTGTCAATGCGCCAGATCCCAGATTCGGCCTCTTGACCACCAGCTGCGATGAGCCCGCGTCGCTAGACGCGCGCCTCTTTTCTGACATGGCTACGTCTTTGTGATCGGAAAGACAAAGTGATGACCTTGAATAAGAAATTGAAACCGGGTTTCCAACAAAGATCTGGGCGATAATGCGCTGCAATTGTTGCGCCGATATCTCTAGCTCGAGCACAAAGCTTCAATCTGGTGGTGATGCTAGCAATCGAGGCTGGGCAATCAACCAAAAATCCGATGGCTAGGAAAATTAATTTTCCAACCCTTGTTGGCCTTTCAGCGCCAGCACTGCGTCTGCATGTGGTCGGTGGGGTTTTGCGCCGACTGGCCGACCCTCAATGCTGCTTTGGTGGGGGTCCAGTGCCGACGAGTTGAGGCTCCGTTTTAGCTGCGAGGGGCGCATTGAACCTCCTTGATACCGCCTAGACTGTTTTCAACAAACCAATATACAGCACCGACGACAACGCTTGGCTACCCTGCTACCTCTGCGCAGAAGTGATATCGAGGCTCAGCGCAGCGCGCTTCAAAGACCCATGGTGGCAAGATAACCGAGCACGCGATTGAAGATGTCGGCCACAAAGGCAGCCCGTGTGGGCGAAGAGTCGGTCAACCCCTGTGCCTCCTAACTTGGGCCAAGACCCAATACTAACGAGCCCCGACAGGATCTGGAAGTAAGATAAACCGAGCCAGGCACACGCCGGAAGTGAGCAAGTTGCGGACGTGTCTAACATGCGACCAGGACGCGGATCGACAAGGTCAACGCCGAGCTCGTGACCCTGACCTACGGCACCATCGTGGCCCAGCTGTGCAAGGACTTTGATGGCGACTATGTCGAGGTCAACAAGCAGCTCGATAAGATGGGCTACAACATCGGCCTCAGGCTCATTGAAGACTACCTTGCCAAGTCCAACACGATGAAGCGATGCGCCAACTTTCGCGAGACGGCCGAGATGATCTCCAAGGTAAGCCGCCTGGGGGATTCCATATACACACTACTGCCTCTTCAGCATGGAAATAAGGGGCGACGAAGGCTAATCGATGATTGTCAAACCAATAGGTCGGCTTCAAGATCTTCCTCAATATCACACCCACCATTACCAACTGGACGAGCGACAGCAAGCAGTTCTCGCTGGTGTTTGACGAGAACCCGCTGGCCGACTTTGTCGAGCTGCCAGACGACGCCCGGGCGCAGGACGAGCTGTGGTATTCGAATATCTTCTGCGGCGTGCTGCGAGGCGCGTTGGAGATGGTGCAGATGCAGGTCGAGGCGCATTTCATCAGCGACGTTCTGAGGGGCAACGACACGACCGAGATGCGGATATCGCTGATCCGGTATATCGATGACGAGCTCCCGCCGGAGGATGACTGATGAGAGATAATATTGGAAGGGTGACGGGTCACCTTCACTACATACCCGATCATACAAGCCGGTTGTATTGTTCTCTAGCTTGTGCAGCACGTGGTGTTCATGCCTAGGTTGCGGTCAACGGGCTAGCGTTCTGCTGCTTTGCAATGCTCTGCTCAGCATGAGGCGTTCACAATAGAGGTAACCGCTACGATGACGTGTCTTTCCTCTCTGGCACTGGAATTCAGGACGTTGTAACCTCATTCGACGATTTAAGACATGTGGGCGAATGTGGAAAGAGTCACAATATTTCATAGAGAAGTTCCCATATGGCAGGGACAGAGACTGATTTTCGAATGACATGATATCACTCGCACCACTCTCCCCGTACCGTTTCTCAATCGTCTTCTTACACTGGTACTCGTACTACCTAGGTCATTCACTGTCATTGAATCATACTTAGGTAGCTCTGGAGTATGATTGATGTCCCCGGCGTTGCCCCGCCGCCGTTCTTCCAGCTGAGTGATGAACCCCCGCAAGCGCACCCACCAAGGCAGGCCCGAGGCCCAAGCCCGGTTCGGATAGTGGGGATGAACCGCCAGGCGGGCGGGTAGATCACACGGCGGAACGCCTTTAGCTGGGTGGGCTCTCCCTAAAAGCTTAAATGCCCCAGGCGGGAGCTATGATCGTAGGTACTTGTAGACTTCTCCCAGAAGAGGTTGCAATTGATTGCGGACGCATCTGCTTTTAGGATCTGTTGCATTTCGAGCACAACCAGAGATCAGAGACTTGGGCAACAGGGAATTTGTTTGTGTGCGAGGAGTAAAGTTTGCTGCTAATGCAAGGTACAACTCTGTGCAAAGCCGATCGGTGCGGATCCGGCACTGTACGTATGTGCGCTGCGTTCAGGGTAGACACCGGGTTCTGTCTGCCGAAGCCTTTCACCAAAGGCATGCAAGCACGGAGTATGAGCAATGTACTTCTCATTCTCATAGAGCACTTTCCATGAAGTTTCATAGCTCGAGTTGGATCTGCTTTGCCGGCGAATCCTTTGCGGGCAAACTACCTTACGTAGTTACGGACCAGTGACATGCAACCTTTCTGGGTTGAGCCAGACCAATGGCCGAAACGCCGAGTTCTCCGGGTTGCAGCACAATGCTTACACCGAGAACAAAGACTGTTTAGGCAGCGCAAAAAGTCATTGTACATGCAACGAAAAGAGTCAGAGCCCCGCTGTCCAGGTGATTGAGGGTGTGTGGGTGATGACAGACGCCACCAGAAGCGCGATAGGGCTGACGGGCAGCATCGAGAGCAAGGGGGAGAGAAAGAGTCTGACTGACCCCATGGCTGCCCGAGCTCTCCGGCACAGTATCAAGGGCACTGGGCCACAGGGCACGACAACATCGCCTCAATGAGGCCATCCTCCCATTTTCGCCTTCCTGTCTTTTCTGACAAACGCATTGTTTGCAGAGGTTTCTCTTTGTTTCTCCAGCCTACTGCCTGCCGCGCAGGATGCATAATCTTGGGATTCAAACTAGTGGAAATTTCATGAGCCCAAGGAAATTACAACTGGATTTCACAGTAAATTGCCCAATTCGACCACTGAGACGTGAGGGCGGGCGGCTGTTTTAGTGGGCTTGGTGGCTTCAAGGCTGCCCTTCTCGGTGAGGGCCACCTTGAATTGACAGCTGGAGGTACTCCACAGAGTTACAGGGCAGCAGCCAGCCAGATCTGGCACGGTACCACCGACCTGGGCACCGGACATCTGCCTGTGATGATCGCCTATCGACCCTGCGTTGCTTTGTCGCACAGTATACAAGTACATGCCGCGATGGCCCATGGCATGTCTGCTGTTTTTCTCGCAGAGCTGTTGGGTTGTCACGACGAGAAGAACTTGAGAATTGACGAGCGAATGTGCGCAAACGGCCACCTGTAAGCTTCCGAGACCGTTGGACACGTTGCCTAGCAGAGAACGACGCCAATGGCAGGACCGGCCCTCGCTCTGAGATCCCACTCTACCGCCCTCGTCAATTGATGCCATTCGATGATGGCGATGCGCTCCAGGCCCGCTCCCCAGCGCGATCCCTAACCTTTGGCCCTGTCGTTTTTTAGGTGCCAAGCCCTTTTTTTCTGGCTACATTCCTGCCTGAGGCGATGAAATGATGCCTTAGCAGCCTGAACTTCCAGGCGCCAGTATGAGATCTACGCGGACAGTAGTGTGATTGAACACCAGAGACCCACGCCAAACCACGTAAACTTAAATGTGCCGGCGTTCTGAGAAGTGCGCGCGGCGGATCCCCTCCCACCTTTTTTTTCCATCTCAATGCTCATTCTCCTCGCCCACCCCTGGACCGACCCGATACCTACCTCGATGACCGTGTCGCCTCCACCATGTCTTGACGTGCCCTCCCACCCCCCGTGGTGTTGCTCTCTCACTGTGCTGTCTCTCCTCTTCTGAAGCCTGGCAAGGCCTGCGCACTGTACCGTACCGCACCGTAGCCAGAGCCTATTCGTAGCATTTGCAGCGTCTCTCTCTACTGGACTGACCTTCCCCGAAAATTGGGAAATTCCCAACCCCATCTCTTCCTCCCTCCTCCTCCATTTTCCCTTTTCCTACCTCCTCAATATTTCTCCCTCGACTCCCTTCCCAGACCGACCGATTCTGCTCCTCGTCGCCTCCGGTAATTTTCTTTCATGTGCGCATCGTGGAGCTGGTTGGATTTCTCGACCTTGCCGGATCGGCCCCCGAAGTCCCAGTGCGCGAACGGACGCGGGCGCTCAGATTAGCACAGAAAAAGGAAGAAAAAGGGCGGAGGCTACATACTCGCACAGCTGTCTAGCACAGTGCCCAGTGTCTCTCGCGCACCCACCCACACAGTGGTCACCACCCCCCAGCGAGCGAGACCATCGCCGCAGCTCGACCCATTTCTCTCCCTCTCCCCTTCTCGCATCTCGACAATTCCTCCCAGACTCCGTCGCCGGCTTCTTTCCATCTCCCGATCATCCTCGATCATTCGAGCGATAGCCCTTTCGCGACAGATCCACGCCCTTCGCGATCGGTGTCCTATTGCTGGCCTCCGCACGGTTTCGGACCCAAAAACACCGCTTCTTCCAGACGCAGAGATCCGCCCCCCGCGAGATCTCCAGCGCACCGCGTGCCTGCCACCGGTGCCACCAGTGGCTGACCACCACTGAACGGACTCTTTGGGAGCTCTCGATAAGAACACAAAGGGTCTTTTTGTCTTGCGCGCCCAACCCGCCTTGACACTATTTCCATTTACTCTGCTCGGTAGCAGGGGGTGATCGATTCTGGTACCGGCCGACTGGACGTTGTCTGCCCACTCGCCACCCGTCGCAATCATGAACAACATCAACATGGCGAACATGCAGGCCATGGGCGGTCCTGTCGGCAACCCAATGGCTATGATGAACAATGGCGCAATGGTCCCGCAGGGTGGACCTCGACAGCAGCTCCAGTCCAACGACAGCAACCGGGCATTGCTCAATACCTACATCTACGAATACTTCCTCCGCTACGGCATGTATGACTGCGCCAGAGCCATGCTCAGCAGCGATCAGCAAATCAAGGTTCATAAGGACAGCCCGGGCGGTCGTCGCGACGAAAATGGCAACGTCATTGGCAACGGCGTCGGCGATGATGCCATGGACACCGACTCCAAGGACGACATCGACAAGCGTCCCGATGACCTCCCCGCACCCAACATCCCTACCCCTGCTGCCGATAGTTGCTTTCTCTACGACTGGTTCTGTCTCTTCTGGGACATTTTCAACGCCCAGAAGGGCGGCAAGGGTGCCAGCAATCAAGTCAACCAATATGTCAACCACGCTCAGGTATGTTCACTCACTCACTCACTCGAGCTCTAGTCACAAGCCGGACTTGTCGCTCAACTATTCTCTAGCAACAATCTCGGATGAAGCAGGTCGCGCAGCAGGACTTGCTGCGCAACATGCGCCCGGACTTCTCCCAGCAGCAGCAGTACATGATGCGGAACATGCCCAACGGCGCCATGATGAATATGAAGGCCCAGGGTAACAACCTGCAGCGCGCTGCTCTCGCCAACAGCCAGAACAAGTACGTCTGCTAGTCCCACCGTCGTCAGCGGCTTAGAAGCTAACTTGTCAGTTTCAGTCCTCAAGCCATGCAGGCCCTCCAGCAACAGAAGCAGGGAGGTCAGATGCAGCGCGATCCTTCCGACATGGATGGCAACCGGCAACGACCCTCGTCACCAAGCTCCGCCGACAACGCGCCCTCACCATCGAAGCGCCCACGTCTTGATGCTGGCGCCTTCAACCCCAACCAGGCCGGCATGGTGCCCAACGGACGTCCAGGCGGTGCTCAGGGGATGCCGGGCCAACAGATGCAGATGCCCCCTAGCACGCAGCAGGTTCAGCAAATGTTGATGCAAAACGGCATCAACCCCAGCTCGCTGAACCCTGATCAGCTGCAGACCTTCACGAACCAGTCACCAGCCGTACAGGCAAAGACTATCGCGACCTACGCCCAGAACTTGCAACACCACCACAGCAACCAGCTTCCCAACAAGCCCATGCCCAACGCACCCATTCCCCAGGGTCAAGGCTCGCCCATGGTTCCTCAGGGGCCTGATGGCGCCGCTCTCACCGCCTACTACAACGCCGGTGAGATGGCCCCCGGCGGCATGCGACCCGGTCCCGGCGGCGCCAATGCTGCCGGCGGAAGCAACCACGCTCTACAGGACTATCAGATGCAGCTGATGCTCCTCGAGCAGCAGAATAAGAAGCGACTGATGATGGCTCGCCAGGAGCAGGACGGTATGGGCATTACTCGTCCTGATGGTCAGCCCGGCCCGGCCGGTCCAGGTGGTCCTCAAGGGCCTAACGGCCAGCCCTTCCAGGGAACATCCCCGCAGGGTCCTCGGTCTGGTGCCTCCCCGAACCCGGCTGAGCAAATGAAGCGCAACGCCCAGATGGGCCAGGGCGGCATGGGTTCGCCATTGCCAGAGGGCGCACAGTCGCGTGGCTCGCCCAACCCTGTCAACTTTATGGGCGCCACGATGGATCCCAACATGGCCCCCAACTTCTTCAAGGGCATGAACAACATGGACGGCAACATGGTTGCTGCTCAGATGAACGGCATGCGCCCTCCCAATGCCCACCCGGGCCAGCCTTTTGCCGGTCCGATGCACCAGCAGCAGATGATGGCCCGGCAGCAGCAGGCCGCTGCTGCACAGCAAGGACAGCAACCGCCGCAGCAGGGCCAGGGCGGCCCGCAGATGCAGTGGCAACAAGGAGGCCCCAACGGGGCCCAGATGGGACCCCAGGGCCCTCAAGCTCAGTCTGTGCAGGGTACGCCGCAACAGCGCTCCATGCCGCCCCCATCAGCACCAGCTGCTGCGGCCAACGCCAACCAGAGGAATACCTCGTCGCCGCAGACGACCAACGCTGCGCCGCCCACGCCTCAGCAGTCCAACAAGGCCGCCCCCAAGAAGAAGAGCGAGAAGTCGAAGAGCAAGGTAATGCACATCTCACCCTGTCCCTCTACCGCGATACAACGAACTGACAAGAGTCGTCGACAGGCGGCGTCACAGAAGAAGTCGAACTCCAACCTCAACGCGGCTGCCACCCCTGCAGCCGATGCTCCCGCCGAGGCGGAGGCGACACCGGCTACACCCATGACGCCTGTCAATCCTGCCGCCAACTTCAACAAGGGTCAGAACGCAGGCGCCGGCGCTGCTCCGGTCAACGGCCAGCCTGCTGCCCCGGCACCCCCGGCCGCAGCACCCGCCCCGATCCCGCCTTCGCAGCCCCCGACCGACCCCAGCCAGACCTCGTTCATGGATCAAGCTCCTCTGGTAAGCTTTGATGAGTTCCACATCCAGCAACCGCCTTCGCTGACGGACATGCAGGACTTCGGCGCCATGGACTTTGCCAACCCGCTCACGTCGGACAACGTCCTCAACGACTTCGACTTCGACTCATTCCTGCATGACAACGCCGAGGACCCCACCTTTGACTTCAACACGGGTGCCTTCATGGAGGGCGCTGGCGAGATTGGCACCGGCGAGTAGTGCTTCGACCAACCCGATCTCATACCGGATCCCCTCGAGGATCTGCTCGACTACCTAATTTGAAGTATTCTCGTCACGGCGTTGAGGTTTTCATGCACTTTACCTGCGCGGTGCAGGCCCCATCACGCATTTCACTGCATCTTCCTGATTTTCACACCCTATGCCACGCTTGGCTTTGATCAGAGATGCGACCGAGTAGATTCACAACCTCTTGCTTCACTGCATGCACTAGAGGACTCATTTTGCTCTACATGGTTCCATCGTCACGCCATCATCATTTTCTTACTCTCGACATAACTCCTACACATATATCTGGTCAAGGCGCATCATTTTCAACTCGTTCCCGCACTTTTGGCAATGGTCCAGAAGGACACCATCTCATCAAAGGCTCAGCATGTTTGGGTATGCCTCGCAACGTTGGTCCGGGATGGTGGTCGCGCGCCTTTCATTGCCATGTTTACGGCGTGCCTTGCTTCATACTCATCACACATTCTACACTCATCTGGATCCCTCCACATTCTGGCCTAGCCTACCTCGATCCTCTCTTGGCGATGCCCGGAGGCATCCGGGTTGAGTCGATAGACACGGGTCTGGATAAGTGACAGCAAGGCGTATGTTAATACAGCTCATCGAAGAAAGGGGGCTGGATGCTGATGGCAGCCTCGTCTGTAACAAGCAAGGCTGATCACACTGTCCCAGACTCTTTATTGCATTGCTCTTCTGGGAACGTAATCTTTTGGGGGGGCAGGGGTTGGGGTGGTTCTTCCCACGGTGCTCCTTTGTCTTTTTTTGTCCTGGCATTACCGGCGGAGGAAATATTTTCCCGTGTATCTATTGTTTTCTCACTCAAAAAAAGAAACGATGCTCTTTCTGTTTTCCTTGGGTTGGGCGGCTGGTGCTGGAGCGAGCGGCACGGTGGCGGGGCTTCGGTGATGGAAAGGGGAACCCTTGCGATTGGGTTGTGTTGGGTTGTGGTGTTTCTGACCTCTCGCGCCCCTTCTCCTGACGACCTCTTCTTGGTGGTTTCTCAAGAGAGGGAAAGGCTCGCGACACGCATGCGGTGTTTTTGCTTTTCCGTTTTGTCAACTATGTCGGTGGCGGCGGTGGACGGCTGGGTTTACCCCCTACCGTCTATTTTTGCTTTTTTCTGCTGTGCGCTCTGCTGCTCATACTTGATGCTGCTGTTGTTTTGTGTTTGTTTCGGTTTGACCTGAAAAACCAACGTCTTTGCTTTTTTGTCTGGCAAAGGGCGAAAGCGCTGTCTGTGATTCATCGCACATCTTTTCCTGCTCATCCTTCTCTTTTTCTTTTTTAACCACAGCTCTAACTTATCTCTCCTGTGCGATTATTTGGAAAGGCTGACAATGTCATATGGTTTATGATCTTTGATTTGGAAAGACTGTTCTGGTACTTCTGAATGTGAATGGATGTGAATTTATGATGTGTGTGATGTGGTATGTTTTGTGTGCTGTGGCATGCATGGAGTATTTATCACTCTGTGATTTGTCCATATGTATCCTGAATAGTGACAGCAGCTTCTTGTTAACACATTAGTGGTTTGAACCTTCATGAAAACAAACTAAGTATGCCCGAAAGGTTTACACTGAAATACCATACTGAAAACCACACTCCTAGCTGAAGAAAGAGACAAAGACGTACAACTACACAGCTTGACTCAACTCCAGGCATACAGTAATCGATCGAACAGATAGGCCAACGGGTTCGCTGCTTCAAGCAACACTCCCTCCAAGCAGAATTTGGGTTGCAAACTGATTTATTAATAGTAGTCATATTGTATAGCTATTAATATACATTGACCTGATCTGATGTACCACAGATGGCCATTGGGACGTGATGTGTTGTGACTGACCTGCAATCTATCATAAGAATCCTCATGCCCGCCCGCCAATGATGTCCCGTTGATGCAAACTGCCGCTAAGGCTTAGTAAATGAGGATATCATGTTCTTCAACGTCCCAGTCCACCCAGTCTTTACTTTTCTCAGTGCCAAAGCCGTGAAAGGACACGTAGTTGTCGCACTTTGATGAGTAGCCAGACACCTTCCCAGGCATATAGGCCGGTCCAACGCACTGGTGTGTGCTTTCTTTTTGCCCTGTACGCCGAAGGATGTATGGCAAACTGGAGGCAAAAAGGATGCAGCAGAGGTCGCCTGGTCTCGCAGCCTCTGGGACAAGGGCGAAATAGCCACGCTTGGTCAACGCAAGCTCTCTGCCGCGGCAGACTTGCTGAAGGACTGTCATGGTGGCTAAAACGTTGCCGTCAGGGAGGCCAGAACCGGAACCAATGTCACGGCCACCAAAGTCAGCCCCTAGCTCTTGCAGGAACTCCATAAAGGAGCTGCGTGAGTTTGTCCATCCGGATGCTGGCCCACTAGGTGGGAAGCCCATCAGGAGGCAGTCGAGAAATGCCAGGTGCAGTGAGTCGTTTCCATACGCGAAATCAATATTCTCGAGTCCTGTGATCCTGTTCCAAAACCGAGCTAAGCCAGCTGCAAGTACATCTTGCTCCAGCTGTTCTGGGCGGCGCAGGCAATCGCTGATGATCTCGATCTCGTCAACCAAGACGCCTCGAACCACCAGGCTATTGTCCTGCTCAATTTCTGGCCTCCAAGCATAATTATCCCTGCTGGTCAGATTGAGGTTGTACAGCGTTAATCCTGATACTTGCTCATTCCACCGTGGAACCCAAGAGGGTAGAACGGAGCCCGGAGCTGAAGGCGCTGTATTGACGAAGTTCAAGAGCGTTAAGTCGGCAGTTGTTGTTATATAGTCCTTTGCGAATCGCAGATAGGTATCTGTGAGTGAACAAGCATAGTCTGGGTCTAGCTTGAAACAATAATCGAGTGCAAACTTGTTGCCGTAACTGATGAATGCGTAGATACGATCTCGCTCATCAGACAGCCGTAGTGATTGATTGATAGATAGTATCATAGGCCAAGTCATTCCCTGGTTTATTGGGATTCCGAGCAGACTGGCAAGTATATCATTCCGAGTTGAAAACGGAATCAAATGTGACCAGGTAAAATCATTTCTTCTGGTTTCGCCTGTCATCGGCCGAACTCTCGTCAATTCCCAGCTGGCAGTCTGGAGTACGTGGTCCCAATCAAATTGACTCGATCCCCAAAAGACTTGTGCTGTTCGTGCCAGCGCGGCTTCTTGCACGACCCATCCTCTCTCAAACCACTCCGATTTACAAAGACGATCGTAGGACACCCAGCGCGCATCATGAACTAGCATGTTACCAGGCTCGGGCCATGGAAAGGCATGGTCCTCGACAGGAAGATCAGAGCCCAGAACCGTTTGGATCACGCGGTCGACGTCTTGGAGAAGCGAGGCCACATGCTTTCCGTCGTCATGTTCGTCGGGCCCCATGCATATCAGGACCCGTTTAGCGAGGCTATAGACGTCGCCCATGAGCCCAACCTGGTGCCCACGCTCCCGCAGGTTCCCTTGGTCGATGCATACGGCGTCGACCCATAGGCGGCGCGTCTTGTGCGGCAGACGCACTGTGCGCAGTGCGCGCTCGAGGTTCCTCGTGATCTGGACCTTCTTGCCGTTGCAGGTCATGGTGGCCAAGTTCTCCTGGCTGCCCCAGACGTACGAGAGTGCCTCGGCCCTGCTTAGTTTGCCCAGGCGGGCAACGTGCAGCTGTGCTGTCAGGGGCTCGTCTCCTACGCCGCTGTTCAGGACGAGATAGCGCACGTAATCGCCGCGAGGTAGGCGGCAATAAGTGTAGTTGGGGACCGCGCTGAGTCTGTTTGTCGTCCATTCATTCAGCCGGACCCCTTCGCTCGCCTCGACGACTCCTCGAGTGGTTTCGGCCATTGATGGGAGGACTTGTGATCCTGGGGGCGGGCTGCGCGCGCCTTTGACGAGAGACGAGGTTGCTTTGAAAACGAGGTTGCTTGTAAACGAGGCTGTTGTATGGAAAATAGAAAGTGACCATTCAATGCATAGATGACTGAGATAGAGGGTGTCAACAAAGACCATGGAGGCCAGCATGATATGCACCTAAAACCTGACGTGGGTCAGCGGCGAGGCTGAACCTTCGAGGCAGTGCATATGCAGGTACGCCACTAATGCATTGCTGCCTGAGAGGCACAAGAATGTTCCTGCAGGCAAGGCATAAGTCACTTCTTTGGATTCAGTTGCTCTCAGACTCTTGTTCGTGGTGGAATAGCCTGCCAGAAGTAACTAATACAATGTCCTTGTCAGTCTTGACAGTGAATCGCAATGCGACAAGGCACTCCGTGGTATATCTGCCTTCTGTGCTTTGACCTTGACGACCTCGGCCAGTTCGTAGATATGGCATAGAATCGCTGGTGGAGATTGATTGAAAATGCAGAATGCATCTTCGTTCGTTTGTGAGGGATTATGAGGGGATCCACGGCGTTCTACAGGAGTTCGTGTTATGAGACTGGGAAATACAGAATCATAGACAGAAGTCATTTGACTGCAGCCACCTTATTAGGGACACAAGGAGGAAACCCAAAAATGCCATCTTAAGCGGTCCATGATTAAAGGACCAGATCGCTTGATTTAAGAGCCTGGCCGAATCACCCCTTTGGCTTTGTTGGTCAGAGAACCGCTTCTTGACCTGAACGGAACTGGAAGATACGAGGCAAACTAAGTAAGCATACTTCCAAACTGGCTCATGTTGCAAAAGAAGGACAATGCTAAGCAAATACCTTCCCGCTGCGCGCGTATCGGCCGCTGCCGATAGGGCTTGAGGGAAAGGACGGCACATACGATTCTACCATTGGAGCCTCCCGAAGGAGCAAAGGTCGAACATTCATTTGCTCGCCGACCTCTCCTTGATTTTTCTGAAGGGTACTCTTAGAATGTCGACCATGAGATTCGGGCTAGCCAGAGGTGACGCGGGTGGCGAGATAATGGCTGGCTCGGCTTAGTATTGTTCTCACGCCTCAACACCACGATTCTTTGACGATGCTTAGTATTGTTCTCTGAATCCACCGCCTAGCCAAACCTAAAACGGACAATCCCCATCTCGGCTATTTTGATATAGCCAATGCTGCCAACGATTGACTGGCCTTCGTATTCTTCCGTCTGTCAGTTCTCAGCTATTTTGGCGACGCATGAAACAGCTGAACCGCGTCGACCATTATCCCTGGTAGAGAGAATGGGCTGAAGCACCGTGGCCGTGATGAGGCAAGATAGGGGGAGACGGCAAATAAATCGCTGCAAGGCACTCTCACTCCAGATCTTGCTTCTGTCATTCTTCAATCTCGCCGAGTTCTGGGACATCTTCGTTTCCTCTTCACTCGATCCACGGCAAGCAGTCACCAGCCTCAGAGTGTCAAAGTCAATCGCAGTTTGACAAGCAGCCTTCACCACAAGAAAACTGCCAACTGCCAAGGGCCAAGGTCAGTCAATCTCCCCCCTTTCGTCGATTCACGCCCCGCCAAAGAAACTGCACACTGCCTCATCGAGAAGAAAAGGGGGTAGCACGACATCTATCAGATCTGCCGTGTTACATCCGGATCTGTGTGCACCTGATCTGTGCAGTCATCCTCGAAGTCATTGACGAACCACAGTCATTGGAGCTTTTCTTTGGCATGGGCGTCGAGCGCAACTTTGCTCGTCTCGTGGGCCGTCTGTCGAAGACTTCGATGCTAACAACACATCTCCAAGCCTAGGACCGGCCATCCTCTCAGCAGCTTCAGATATCCATAATTACACTCAGTCATCTCGCCACAACATCACGGAGAATGGCCTCTCTCACTCCCGAAGAGATGGCCGACCCATCCACCCAGGCCATCCCCCTCCTCATCCCCCTGCCCAACGGCACCGTCGAGACCTACCCCATCCCCATCCCCCAGATCGACCTCGTGTACCACATCTCCATCACCACCGCCATCACCTACGCCTGCCAGATCGGCGCCTCCCTCGCCATGCTGCTCGTCGTGCTCGGCATGACCCCGCTCCAGCGCATCGCCCAGTCCACCACCGCCCGCGTCAACGTCGCCTCCCTCGCGCTCTCGGTCGTCCGCTGCACCCTGCTCGCCGTGTGGTTCCAGTCCTCGTACATGGAGTTCTACGTCCTCTTCTCCGGCGCCCCGGCCACCCCGGACGCCACGCGCCTATCGGTCGTCGCAACGCTGTGCGCCGTGCTCCAGACCGCCCTCGTGCAGTGGGCGCTGTGCATCCAGGCCTGGTCCATGGTGCAACTGTGGCGGATGCGCTGGCGCATGGCCGCCGTCGCCGCGTCGCTCGTCCTCGTGCTGCTGGCGCTGGGCTTCAAGGCCGCGTCCTCGGCGCTGCAGGTCCAGTCCGTCCTGGCGGACGAGGCCGCGCCTCAGACCGGCGCCGTGTGGGTGCGCAAGGCGGACCTCATCTGCGGCACGGCCAATGTCGTCTGGTTCTGCGCGCTCTTCGTCGCCAGGCTGGCCTACCACATGTGGAAGCACCGTAGCATGCTGCCTTCTGCACGCGGTGCGTCGGCCATGGAGGTCCTTGTCATGACGAACGGAGTGTTGATGATTGTTCCTGGTATGTATCCATCTTCTATTTTCTCCCCATGACTGTCTTTGGAGTCATTTGCTAACGGCCCTTTTCCATTTTCCATAGTCATCTTCGCCGGCCTGCAGTTTGACGAGTCTGTCTGGTTCGAACCCGGTTCACTCGTCCTCACCTCGGTGGTCATCATCCTGCCCCTGGGCACCCTCATCGCTGCCCGCATCGCCACCAAGACCACCGGCGCCGGATCGAGCGGAGCAAACAGCGGCTTCGGATCATCGGGTAATACGACGGGCAAGCGCAACCTCCACAGCTCGGCCACCAGCCGCGGCGTCACACTCGTAAGCCACGGCAGCAACACCGCAACCAGGCACCATGTTAAGAACAAGGCGTCCTGGTCGCACAACTCGACGAAGAGCCTCAACCCGCACGGCGGCGCGGGCGGCACCACCGCGGACGATGATCTAGTCTACTCGGGCAGCTCGCCGACCAGCGGCAGCAGCGCATGGCATCAGCATGCTGCTTCTGCTGCAGCTGCGGCAAGGAGCGCACTACCTCGCCGTGGTGATAGCATCATGCTTCGAGATGTTGACCACGATGACGACGACGAGGATCTGGAGAGACAGATTCGCGGCGGTGCGGGTATTCGTGTCAAGACGGAGTTTGGATCTACGGTTGAGTCGCGCCGTTGAAAGCGGAAGGAAGGGCCAATAGTACATTCTTCGTTGGGTTATATCAGAAATTGCTGCATTGGACGAAGAGAAAGGGCGCAGGAGTAGAGACAGGAACTCTTTTACATTCATTGCGAGCGCCTCATTGGCCTTGACCGTTTTCATATGTTTACTTTACTTAATCATTCGTTATAATTGGGACTCTTCTAAATATTCAGCGTTTCTTGATTCAAGACTCAAAGCACTGGGTGTTAAGGGTAGAACTTCTTCCTCTTCCCTCAATTAACTCAATCAGAGACTGAGCCCCCATTTACATCAATGGGTCATTACAATCTTGTTCTCATGTGCATCAAAGTCAAAAAGACCAACATGAACCCCCGCACTACTCGACTGACTGATGACTCCAGAATGTTTCTGTGGAAGCAAAAGGATGGAACCTTGATATACGGCCGGCAAAAAGAGAAGAACCGTAGGATTCTCAACGCTTGCATCAGCCGTGAATCGAACACGGGGCCCTACTATGGCAAAGTAGGATTTTACCACTAAACCACTGATGCTTGTGTGCTTATGTAAGTGTTAGTATGCTTGATGGAACTTCCTTCACAGTTGCCCCGGTTATTTCTGGAGACCTCTGGTCTAGCCCGAGCTTCGAAGCCCCTTGATGGGGTATGGTTCACAAAGGGAAAGATGCTCTGTATAACCCTATGCTGTACTTGAATCTTTCAAGCTTTGCTATAGGTCTTCTCTGCATGTTCTTTTGTGGGTGTACCGGGACGGATGGATGACGGGGATTACATGGACCTTGTTGCAAACAACCCCCGGCCCCAATTGCTCTCCTCCGAACCAGTGCTGATCAACACTTTTGTGGCATGGCCTTCTCCGGCCCATTCTGGATTGGATTGCAGCCAGGAAGTTTGCTCAGGGTGCCCGACACCTCCTCGTGGACTGCTGCCTTCTTGCTGCACTTGTTCTGTTCTTTGGCATCTTGAAGATATGGCTTGAACGCCTCGCACTTCTGGATATCTCCTCCTGTCTCGTCGCCGCAGGTGTCAATGGCCTTTTGCAGGAGGGCGATGTCCCAGCCGTTGAGGAAGTCGCCGTGGTGGCCATATCCGGTTGGGTCGCTAAAAGCCTCATGTTAGCTTCGAAGTCTATGAACCAACAACATAGGGGTAAAAAGGTCGAAATGTTGTTCAGCTTACCCATTCGAAAATACAAACGGCTGCTCTCCCTGTCCCTCTGTCCAGAGATGATCGAACTGATCCACGGAGTACATAACCTCGTAGAAGAGATACATCAGGCGGATGGGGTGGCTATCTGGGCAGATGCCGTTGTCCATGAGGGAAGGATACGCCATGTGGCTCTTGTGGTCGGGCGAGTCAAGGTTCTTGCCGTCCCAGCATGACGGGAACGACACCTGCACCCGCAGGCCGTTATTGCACTTCTTGTCTGGTAGGTCGTTGGTCTGGGGTCCAGAGGTAGAAGACAAGCAGGCGAAAGATATGGCCCGCTGCTCGAGGGTTGGAGGGTCGGAGATGTTGCGCTGGTAGGGATCGCCGGCGACCATGCGAAAGCCCCGGGGGAAGGCCTGGATGCCGGAGGAGTACTGGGGATCTTGCGGGTCAATGCGCTGTCTGTGTAAGGGGTGTGAGCGTCAGTGGACGAAATTTGCTTCAGAAATTCAGATTTCACTTACTCATAGTAGATGTTCATGCCACCAGCATTCTTGACGGATATGAAGCTGTGATTCTTGGGATCTTGAAAGTACAAGTTGGGAACCCAATAGTTGGACAAGTCCTCGGTGACAACACAGGTTGTGCAGTTTGACTCCTGAGTGCGGTTCTCGGTGGTGGGCATGTCAGCGCTGAAGGCATTGCCTCCCATGACAGCATGAACGTGTGACGAGGGCACTTGGCCGGGCTGCATGATTGGGTCAAGACGCTCAGTGACAACTGGGCGGCCACAGCCGAGGATCCAGTATGCTTGCGCAGTGGGAAGGAGGCTCATGAGAGCTCCTGTGACGAGCAGCATGATTGGGCGAGGCTTGGTAAGCATTATCGGTGTTGTAGTTGGCTTGATGTCGAAATGAAACGTGCGCAAAATGAGAACGAGAAAGCAGAACGAACTTGCTCAAGATATCGGCAGTGAGGAAATGTGAGATGGGCAGGTCATTGCAAAACAAAGAACACTTTGTTCAATCGTCTCATGTTCATGAACACACCCATTCACTGGGAGAATCGTGAAGGGTAGTGACTGCAATGTTGAATTGCATGGCACGCCAGTTTCAACCAACATTTTCGTCCGATTTGAAGAGGGAGCTCGTGCAGTTGTCAGGTACTTGATTTCTTCCACATGGCGCTGCTTCACTCTGTCTCGGGATTTCCACTGTGTTGTGGTGGCTTGGTTTTGGTGACAAGACCAAGACAAGGTGATGATCAAGGCCGAGTCATGCGCGCAAACAACAAAGGAGATCTGCACCAAAGTGCCCCCCAAAATACAACGTATAGCTTGGGGTTAGCTGATACTCGGAAAGCACCGCCCCGTTCAGCAGCTGGCCACTCTTTATGGAACCACTGGCTGAGACGAGGGCCACTGTAGTGATGGCCCCGAGCCATGCTGTTCCTGGCCCTACTAACTCCCTTTATCGCTATGTCGTCGCCTTGCCCACAGACATATCAATTGGCGTGCAGAGGTGAAGAATTGGACTGTGCCAAGGTCCACCAGCCACAGACAGAACTGTCAATGGCTGTCTGTGATCGCCGACTGAAAGGGGATGTTTGCACACTCTGCAGCAAGACATCCAATCGGCACAAATAATGGAATAGGTTGCGAGATGTGGAAATCTTGTTGCAAGACATGGTTGGTCGTATTAAGCCTAGATCCCAGCTCAGGTCATTCATGCTCCCTGCTGTTCAAGCACTCTAAAGTGAACCCCTGACCCATCCATCGTTCTTCCATCTAATGTACAGCCGTGACGATCATATAATACAGGTTTCGGGTATGTGGGATGAGGAGATTCGACATCAACTCTCGAGTCGGTATTTCGCGACATTTAGTTCATCCTTTAGGGGTTGTTAGCGGAGTATTCTGGCGACAAAAACACCGACTTGAAAGGGGACCTACGGAGGCAGCAGGTACTCGGCCCAGGAGCTGGCGAGGATGGCGACACCGACCTGTTCCAGTAGTTAGCAATTTGGCAGTCAGAGGAACAAGCTAGAGAGCTTGTGGGAGCGAGCATGCGACATACGCCAAAGACAGCAATGCTGCGGACGACGGGGGCGTTCTCGGCCGAGGTCAGGGTGTCGTAGGTCTGGCGGAAGACTCCCTTAGAGCCACCGCGCGACCGCGACGAGGTCTCGACGAGTACTCTCTTGGGAGGCATGTTGTGTTGTGTGGAGTTTGTGTGGTGATGCGAAAAGCGACCGGAGGTGATGACGGGGATGGGAAGAGTGAGCTTGAAGCTTTTGGGAAGATGATGGCATAAAATTTCTGGGGGTGGTCCCGAGGCAAGGCTGGACACTGGGAGTGGGGCCACACGGCACCATTTGCCCAATGACGTGGGGTTGCTGTCGCTAGTTAATACCTAGGAAGCGATGGAGAGCCAAGGCTGATCTTATCATACACTTCCAGTGACGACAGCATTAACGCCATCTCAGTCTACTTCTTCAATCGCACCGACATGGACGACAAGTGCCTGTCTCTTCGACTACGACCCAGCCACGATGGCAGATAGCACAGCATCCAGTGCCGCCCCGGGTGGCTTCCTTCCACAGTCACTGCCATCGCCAGCGCCTAGCACAAGCTCGCCAACCACATCTCTTGGCTTGCCACATCCCCGAGGCCACTCGCTGAGGCCCGGATCAGCCAAGGAAGAGCAGGTGCGCAGGTACGCCGAAGATCGCTTGCTGCACATCAGCCGGCGCTACGTCAAGAAGTACAGCATATCGTCGCCTGATGACGATGTCGTCGGCTACAAGAGCCTGAGCGAGCTGTGCAAAGACCTCGACAGCCTGATCAACATCCTCTGGCTCTCTGGCACTCGTGAGTGTGCCTCCATTCTCCATGCTGACCCTGCGGAGCCCAGCTGACGGATACGGTACATAGCCAGCCTACAAGTACCTTATTTCCTCAATATCAGCAACGAATTCCTTACCTGGATGACCTCATTCCCGCCCTCCCCGAACGCCACGTTTGTCACCCTTCGGAAGCTTGATCATTGCTTTGCCAGTCTTCTGGCAGGTGAAGATATCGAAACGAAAGAGGTACTGCCGGGATTCGAGAGAGGGCTGAGGTCTGGCCTCAGCCGGACGGACATGGTGCGGTGCAAGAGCGTAGTCGAGCAGACGAGAGTACTGGTTGTGGATGTCATGAGCCGCGAGCCCGAGGATGAGGATATGGACGAGGAGGAGACGGACGGTAACGTCACGGAGAGCGGCGCAGCGACCGACTCGAACATGTCCAGCTCGAACTGGGAGGACGATGACGACCCTTTCGAGATGGATGTTGCACGCGTCTACGAGAACACAATTGTGGCTCTGGGAAAAGCCTTGGGCGATGGCGGCGCGATGGGCGATATCGCGAAGACAGCCGAAGCGGCACCTTCTTGAACTGGAAGAGGAATGAACGGAAGACGAGGCATACAAGGAACAGAAACTCGACTGCAACCGAAGATCCTCCCTGAGATATGACTACCACCAGTTGGCAACACTTTCAACCCGGGTTGCGTCGGTCCACGGCTACATGAAGCACCCACACACAACATCGCTTATGGATGTCAAGGTAAGTTTTTTGCCTATCTGTTGACGAGCACATCTATGCTCATCTCGCCGTTGATTGCGAGAAGGCCCTCGATACGATATGAGATTACTATTCTCGACTTCAGCTCTTAAATCAATCATGAAGCTGTTCAATTCGTGCCTGACCGCTCCCGGGCTAGGCATTGAGCAATAGGGACCAGACGAGCGTACACAATACCCCGCGCTCAAGACGAATTCCATTGCTATCTACCTATCTGCAAGCCTGTCTATGCCTTGACATCCTTGATGAGACCCTCCTCTTGTGCCTTGATCTGAAGTGCCAACATCTTTCCATAGTACCTCGCGATGGCCAGGTTTCCGCCCATGAACCAGAAGCCCGGGTGGCCGCTGCGACGCCACATTGTTCGGAACTCGCCCTCCTCATCGAAAGCCCAGACATCCGAGGTCTTGTCCGCGACCGCATCGCCAAAGATGGCCCTCGTGGCCGAGTTCATGTTGGCATATCCCGTCGCGAAGATCACCTCGTCGGCTTGGAGCCTGGATCCATCCTCAAACACCAGCGCGTCGGGCGTCACCTCTGTGATGTCCTTGCCAGACTTGACCTTGATCTTGCCGTCGATGATCAATTGGCTCGCGCCGACGTCGATGTAATACCCGCCGCCGCGCTGGAAGTACTTGAAGAACATGCCGGCGCCATCGGGGCCGATGTCGAGGTTGAAGCCGGCCTTTTGCAGGCCCTCGAGGAGCTTGCGGTCGCGCTCCAGGGCCAGCTGCGTGACCTGCACCTGCACGGCCTTGGAGTACTCCATCGGCGAGCTCCAGAGCAGCAGATCGGCGTCGTCGACGGGTAGCGTGGCCTGCGCCTGCTCCGAGTACAGCGAGCCCAGGGCGATGTCGATGATGGCCCCGTTGCTTATGACGTTGGCCGACGAGCGCTGCACCATGGTCACGTTGTACCCGTTCTCCCACAGGTCCTGCGCGATGTCGTGGCCCGAGTTGCACGAGCCCACGACCACGGCCCTCTTGCCCGTGTTCTCGCTGGCGTCGGCGTGCGCCCCCGTGAACTCGGAGCTGTGGCACAGCCGGCCTTTGAAGGTGTCCATGCCCTTGATGGCGGGCATGTTCTTCTTGCCCGAGTGTCCGGTCGCTTGGATGACGTGCCGCGGGTGGAACGTCCTCGTCTCTGTCGTTCCATCCGCCGACCTCCGCTCCAGCGTCACCGTCCACCGCTGCTGGCCGTCGTCCCAGGCCGACGAGACGAGGCGCGTGCGCGTCCACACGTTGAGCTCGAGCAGGGCGACGTAGGCCTCGAAGAACTCGGCCAGCTTGTCCTTGGGCGTGAAGACGGGCCAGTGCGCCGGGAACTCGAGGTAGGGCATGTGGTCGAACCAGACCGGGTCGTGCAGCACGAGCTGCCGGTACCGCCGGCGCCAGTTGTCGCCCACGCGGTCCTCCTGGTCGACCACGAGGGCCGGCACGCCGAGCATCTTGAACCGCGCGGCCGACGTCAGCCCGCCCTGGCCCGCGCCGAGGATGAGCACGGCGGGCTCTTCCCCGTCAAAGCTCTGCGAGGCCAGGCGCTGCTCGAGCCAGTTCTTGGTGTCACGGTCGTCGCCGTGGTTGCCGCCGCGGGGCCGGCGGGCGCGCAGCGGCTCTTCGAAGCCCGTGAGCTCGTGAAGGACGGTGTAGAGCGTCTCAATCTTCCATGTCGTGTCGTTGCTGTTGCTGCTCTCGGTGGGGATGAGGCGGACGACGCCGCGGCCGGAGCCGACGTCGTTGGTCACGGTGACGAAGAAGGACAAGCACTGCGACTTGCCGTAGACATCCAGCGACGAGATGCTCGGGGCGCGGTGCGCCGCACTGTCGTCTATGGCAATGGTCTTGAAGCGGCCAGCGTTGGCGTAAAGGTGGTCTGCGATCTTGGCGGGGCCCTTGAGGGTGCGCAGATCCCACGAGGCGAAGAGGTGGTCGCGCCAGTACCCCTTGGGCGTGAAGAGCGCGGCCAGGCCGGCATGGTCCCGTGCAGCGAGCCTGCCTGAGAAGGTGGAGAGGAAGTCACTGGCGACCTGTTGGGCGTCGGTGGACGTGGGAATGGTGGTGGAGGGGAATTGGGCGGGCGGGATGTTGAAGGATCCCTTCTCGATCCTAGGGTCCCAGGGGATGTTCTTGAGGGAACTTTTGGTGCTGTCGGCCGCGGCGGCGCCGTTGGTGGCGACGCCGTTGGCCAGCTCTGCGCTGCTTGCTGTCATGGCTTTTGGGAAGCGACTGGATGGCTCGGTGTCTGGCGATGGATGTGAATGAAGGCAAGGAGGGAGGGAGAGGGGTATCTACAGTGACCAGCAGCAGCTACGGACGCGATTAAACTTGGAGGAAGGTGAAGATCATGTCTAAACTCATAATATATCACTACGCACAGCCGGGCCTGCGGAAAGGGGGAGACACTCGTTGATCTTCAGGGTTCACCTCTCTTCTTTCATGTTGTGTCTCTGGGGATGCAAATGGGACATGCAAACAACGTAGTCTAATGGCTAGCTCAAGAAGTAGCAACCTGCCCGAGACACATGGACCGGTACCTGATACCATCATGAAGATAAGTTCTCCATATACCTAGGTTCGTGAGGCGGGGACGCGGGGAAGTGGAAGTTGGACGTCGGGGGGTCTATCGAGCCTCCGGAAGAGATGCTATCTACCTACATATGTGCTTCAAGTGGTCATTTGGTGAAGCATTAGTTCTGTTAGTCTATCTCTAAAGTCCACGCCACAACGGAGGCTCGGCCGATATGCCGGAAACGCCCAGACAACCGATGCCCACTCTCTCTCCCCTTCCCTTCCATCGCCTCCCCGCACGTCCCAGAGTGCCAATGCCTTGTTAGCAAGGTGTTCAGTTAATTTGCCGCTTTCGATACGTGACCGAATTGTTGCCCAAATAGAGGATGCTCACTCATCCTAAAATAGTGTCCTGGAATGCAGGATTCTTGCAGGAAGCACAAGCTGGTGGGGCGCTTACTCGATAAACTTTGACTTTTGCCCAAACTCGGTGAGATCGGCTAGGAAACCCCCGCTCCGGCCTCACCATCTCATCACCGGTATTCGGCATCCCGTTCTTCATGCAACACGGACGAGCTGCACTCGGCAATCTACCACATCTGCCAACGCATCTAGCCGGAGGACGATCGATCCTATCTGACATCAGCCGGAACTCGGGGCGGCATCGTCAAAGCCTCATAAAGCCTTCCAGCTTGGTGACTGAGTCAGTTGCACAGAGGGCACTTCGTGACAAACCCAAGCTATCCGTATTATCTTCTCGCAACAAGCAGCTTAGCATCAAGGGTCGGAGACATCTCAGTCTGCAGCATTCCAACGACAGATCTTCTACCATGGCCTCAGCAGCCCAGACCGCCACACCTGACGCGGGCATGGTCGGTCTCTTCGACACGGTCGCCACCAACTTCAAAAAGACCAAGCTTGGCGACGAGCGGTGGTTCATCCTCGTGACGGCCTGCATGGTCGCCGGCCCGGACCCGGAGGCCGCCTCGCAGCTGTACCAGCACCTCTGCAGCCAGCCGCAGTACAGCACGTCCGAGGCTCGGCAGGCGCTCGTCCGCCGGCTCCGCGAGGCCCTGCTCAAGGCCGTCTCCATCGTCGGCGTGTGCAAGCCCCTCGAGGCCATCCTCGCCATCAACGCCGTCGAGCGGCCCGAGGACAAGGACTACTCGTCCACGCGCGAGGGCTGGCAGTGCGACGACGCCAACCTGGACCGCGGCATGGACTGGTACCGCAAGATCTACGCGCGCAACGCGTCCGACACCATCGGCCTGTTCGACGCGCACAAGGACTTTGCGTGGATCTCCAAGCACATCACGTACGGCCTGTACCTGAGCGACCGGCAGGTGCTCGACGACCTCGACACGGAGCTCGTCGTCTTTGGCGCCATCATGGCGCAGAACCTGCCGACCGAGACGTGGTGGCACATCCGTGGCACGCGGCGGATCGGGGTGTCCAAGGAGGACACGCAGACGCTGTGGGAGACCATCCACACTATCATGGGCCACTGGGGCATCAAGCTCCACAAGGTGCCTACGGTGGACGAGGTCGAGCCCGACGTCTAGACCTTGGATGGATAGATGGAGGCTCAGGCAGCGTGTTTTCTATTATTCCTACTCGTAGACCTGCATGGCTATCCGGAAGAGGGGGACTACCATAGAACATGGGATTGGAAGAGAGGAAGAGGGGAAGGGAGGAAGGGAGGAAGGGAGGAAGGGAGGAAGGGAGGAAGGGAGGAAGGGAGGAAGGGAGGAAGGGAGGAAGGGAGGAAGGGAGGAAGGGAGGAAGGGAGGAAGGGAGGAAGGGAGGAAGGG